GATCTGATTTCCATGGTTCACTTCCTGCTTGGAAAGGCTCATAATGTTGAATAAAAAAATAACAAACAATTTTTATTCTGTTAAAATAAAATTATCGCTTTTTCACGAGTATTTTTAGTATTGGTGAATGAATAACAATAGGCAAAAACCCATAAATTGACACAAACCCAGGTTGTTGCAATCGGTAAAAAGAAATACCAAATAATGACTTCAGTATTCGCTGGATCACTAACTCATCTTGCATACCTAATGATATTTTATTCTACACATTTCTGAAATAGGCTATAATAATAAATATAAATATAAATAAACTAACTTGTAGCAACCACACACAATAACGCGTTTTACCACAAACCGAAACATACTCGACGCGCGTTTCGCCAACCAAGTTGGCATCTTCAGGAGAAGATTAAAACTAAAACCTATTAAGAATAACAGATTCTCAGGGTTGCACCCGCACGCATGAAATATGATGTATCTCCTCTTTGAAATTCGGTAAATCTGTGAAATCATAACGAATTTCTTAATTGTAAATTATTTTAAAAAATGCCAACTAGTGATTAATTAACTATTTTAACCTTATTTGTAAATTACGTCTCGGGTGTGACGTCTCGTTGCACCATAATCAATATTGACAAATAGCAGTTGGTAAATGAAACAGTGCTACATTAGTTTCATTTGAAATTTTTATTAATTAATTTAATAATTAATTTGAAACAATTTCTTAATAAAATAATAATAAAAAATTGCTGCTGTTTTTTTATGCGGCTTTAATTGTAATTTTTTTATCAGCTATCTTACTAATTCGAAATTCCTAACTAAAAATGTTTCCTCTATGAAAATAATTACTTAATTAAACTTACAAGGAGAGGAAGCAATTAAGAAACAAAATTTTGAAAAGAAAATTATGAAATTTATAAAATAAAACTGACAATACTAGTTCCCACGTTTTGGTTAGAGGTCTTAAACGTATTTTTGTTTTACTTTAATAGCTTTTTTGGTTATAACGGAATACAAAAATTTTCCGCATAACTTAAAAATCAATTTTAGAAATCGGTCAAATCTAATTTCCAATCCAAAATCTGTGAAATCATTGTGAAATCCGTGAAATCTTGGTTGAAATCTATGAAAACTTAAGGTTGTGTGAAATCTGCCCCTCGGTTCAACGCCTGAGGCCCGCTGGACACGGGAATAATACACATAATCCTCCTTTAAACAGAAACATTTTGTCTGTAACTAGTGACTTACATTGAGATTAGCCTAAGGCGTAATATATTTCCTAATATGTATTATTTTTTACATATCTGATTATCTGGCAGGTGCTGTTAAGCGTCGCGCTTATGTTGCCATAAAAGAACGTCACGTTGTCACAGAACATTGTGACCAAAATACGTTTACTGAATTTGCAAAATATAACTCTTAAACGATAGCATTAAAAGATTTAGGTATCGTAACTTATTTTGAACGTAGGACCCAAATTTTGCAAGCAACCCATTAACAACGCAGTCAAAAGAACTGTGAAGATCACATTAAATCGCAAAGGTAATTCCACCACCTCCATTCACATTCTCAGTAGATTGCACTTTGAAAATCAACAAAAAAAAATTTGTATAGACATAGAAAAGTCCAGTTTTCGAGAAACTAATTATCAAATTTTATTCATATACGGGAAGCTGAAAGATATCAAATTCAGACAAGCAAAAATAATTAAATCGGCTATTTGGAAAAGCCACATCTACTTAACGTCAAATTTTACAGTAGGAAGAAAATTTTCAAATCTAATTACGCCAACTTGTTGGGTACATATAGATTTTCGTATGGTTACTTGTATACTTATTACAAAAATGTTCACACATAAAATACACAAAACAAATGAATTCGTTTTAAATGTGGTCTTTGTCAAATAACCAATTCTACAATAATCTTAAGAACTAAATTTTTCAAAACTTGGCCTTTAAAGCTGCTTTAAACACTGCCCCTCACAAATCGATTCACAAAACAATATAAAAAGAAATGTCGCAATTTTTGGAAACAGTTTTTATGATAATTAGCAAGTTCTCTTCACCTGTAGGTCACTGAGCGAATATTAACGAAATTTAACCGAGAAATAACGAGATTATGTTTATTAATGGCATCTGGATAAGATATTTGCTATCAAATTGTGTTTAATTCTGGGCTAAACAATGCCTATAACATCTATTTAATCATTTCTTCACTTCTTCACATAGATAATTTCGTTTAAATAAATTGCATGTGATTAAACAAGGTTTTATAATTACTGTACTGCACATTTTTAGGCCCATGCATGAACAAGGGTAGCCCGCTAGATACACATGGTGAAAAAGGCACCAATTACAGCTTTTCGTACTTTTATATGGATACTATACTTTATGCGTGATGGCATAAAGTCATGTAATTATTTACACCAATATTTTTTTGGAGACTAACGTAAACGCAATTCCACATTCATGACGCGTTCCAACCTGTTGGCTTCCGTAGAGATAACTGTTCATGCCTGAAAGAGAAGCAAAGATTTCTAATGTCATTTTCCTTATTTTAATAGGTAGGCCCCATGGTATTCGACAAACCTTTTGTCAAATCCATCATGTTTTTCGTATTGCAAGAGGTCACTCCCACCACCCCCACCAGAGTTTTCGGTAAAATACAACAAAAATTTAGTGCCGTTACCATGTAAATAAACGACAACAAAACAATGGCAATTCTGGCATGCAACTTACCGATTCGTTCAATCAACCCAAGTTTACAGGTACATACGAATACAAAACACCATTACAAAAACAAATAGAGGCCCGGTAATTTTTACGGTTACGTCAAATACTTACCCAATCATTTTGAGGTGTGGAAACAGATAAAATCGGGCAAGGGGGTGAAACAACACAAAGTGCGTCAAAAAAACACAACAGATAACGTGCGTTTCGAGCAAGAATACAGTCACACTCAGATATAAAAACACGGGTTAACAAGTGGTTTTGATATGCTTGAAATTGTGAGTTGCCAAACTAATAATGGAACAGTAATTATCGATAAAATAAACAATGGAAATGCCTCTCGATATCACGACACAAGATGCACTAGCAGCAAGTTTGATTTGTACAAAAATACGTCTCTCCAAACTTATAAAACATAAAGTATTTGGTCCGGTTTCAGGTTAATTACATTATTTGGTCCACAGGAAAAATCGACTGTCAGATTCCGTGCTTGCTCAGAGGAAGGCGACGTTGTCACCTTGATTATAAGTTATCCTATTAAGATCTGGCTAGCCAATGTTTAAAAAAAATACGTTCGTAAATTTTCAATATTTAACATGCATTTAATAGTCGCATAAAGCCGTCAATAATTTTAGCAGAAAACCAGGTTTAATCGTGATCTCTTATAGTCGAATTTCCTTTACGTAATTGAAAAGAGCGGTATCTGTATAAAATTGGGCTGCCGTTTTTTTTTTTGAAAAAACACAAAATTTGTTCAGTTACTTTTATACCATAGCAGCTACCTACACGATCTTTTTCCCGCATTTTCATTGCACGTATAGTACATCATGGCAACCACGCAGTCTCTAGAAACGAGAGCGGATAACGATCGGTAACATAGAGCACGTTGGATGAGCAACGTAGATGTCTAAGGTAGCGTTAGACGTGAATCATAATATTATTGTTTATACCAGCTTTCAGGGCAGTAGTATTGCAATTACTCTATTCTGTAACAGTTCTATAAAATTCCATTTCGCGGTTAGCAAAATTTGGTGGCAATATTGGGGAACCCCAAATGCGACACCAATTTTAGATACTTCAATTTTAAGCAACTCACTGCAATTTCCGAAACTCACTTATTAAAAATCCATCGTGTTTGAATAAAATCTAATATTTCCATAAATGTTATTAATAATAATGATAAATTATAACTAAATTTAAATATCACGAAAAGAGATGATTTAGGGCAGATTTAATTTATTATTATTTTTATTAACATTAACAAATCTAAATCCAACCCAATCTCAATTCGTAGTTAAATTAATATTCATAAATAATTCTGCAAATTCTCAAAACTAACAAAAAAGGTAAGAGTTGGGTAGACATGTAGCTTGCTATTAAGTTTACAGTAAACTACAAATTATACCGGTTTTTAAAGTATAACTCTGCAATAAATATCTAATGTAATTTTCATATTTACTTGACAAGTAATTGATTGGTTACTCATTAGCAGAGGGCATTTCATTTATTAATACATTTAACATACACATTATTTTATTATTCTTTGATCGAGGCTAATGTAGTTCTTCATAAAAAGTGAACACTAATCATTAAATTTAAGCAAATCATAGGATTGATTTAGTATGCGACTATTTGAACATTACGAAGATTTCTTTCAAAATTGTTTCTAAAATTGAAAATTGTTTATACCATATAAACTCCCAACTTCATCAACCTGGACAATTTTGAACCGGTATACTTCATAACATAATAATTGGTAAATGTAATATAAATAATATATAAAAAATAAACATAATAAACAAAGGTTTAAAAGTTTTTTATAGACATTTAAAAACAACGCAATTTTAAAACCGACTGAGATTGATTGCACACGTCAGTTTCAGCTGCTTATGAACCGAATAAAATCACAATAAATCAATTTATTTCCCCATTCACTTTTTTTTATTATAAAACATAGGCTAACCACAGTTTTTTAAACAACCAATGGGTGCCTTAATCCTCCTAGTTAGTCATATTTTGACATTTGCACACAAAGGATTGTTTGGCTAAATACAGTAGGGAAAGATTTCCGCTAGTCTTTTATTATTTTTTGTAAATATTAATTTTTATTTTACTCTTCCAATGAGTCCTAAAATAAGTCTTGTCAAAGAAAATCAATAAATTGTAATTACAAAAAATAGTTTGATTTATCCAATAATTATCAATAAAAATTGGTGATACGCTGAGCTGGCGAAACGACCATTCCACTCCACACATTAAGTTTTAAATAAATTTTATATAAGGTGAACACACTTTAATTAATATATATTTCAAAATACAAATCACTTATTCTACCTCCTAACTATCAAAAATTTTGAAAATCACAATTTTTGCAAATAATAAATAACCTAACAATATTTCTGAAAACTTTTATGATATTGTATATGCATGTACTAACTTTGGTTAATTGTATACTTTAAGAGAAATTGGAAAAAGGGTGAATCTGTTGCTTTATCGGCTTACACAGTTTCATAGTCGTTTCTGATTTGTCTTGATAAATAGCATGACAGGATTATACCAAGAAGCTGAAAGTAGAAATGGTGTTAAAATAGAAAAATTACAATCATCACAATATAGACAATTACCTGAATTAAGGCAAGTGTGATGCCCACAATTTCTATGCTTGAAGTATTGTCCCTGATGTAATCACCGAATTTTTCGAGGCAACCTTCTTTATACAAATTAGGAGAATTGTTTTGGCATTTAAATATATCTGTTGATCCAGTAGGAATTGAGCAACATGATATCGGAATTTTTTTATTAGTTGAGTTTGAGTTGACCCAATCGGTGTAGTTCATCACTCCACAACACTTGAGCTGTCACAAAAAAGCAATGTCAATTAATTAATATCTATAAAACCAGATATAGACTTTTCAAGTTACTTCCACTGGACATTTTTTAAGTTTAATTTTAATTGGGAACAACCATATAAACTTTTGCTATGAATCTGAAATATGTAATAAACATTTGAAAGTTTGGAGAATCAAATAAAGAAAAAATTCAGTGACATTTTGCATGGCAATTGTAATTTTTTCCAATGAACAACAAATTTCTAAGTCCATAAAATTTTCAACCAAACATTAAAAAATAATAATAACTTTCCAGGAACTTGTAAAATTCAAAACATTTACTTTTATACCTTATTTTATTTCAATATATTGCAATAATTTTCCCACCATTTACCAGGTGTCAAAAAACATAAACTAATCAAATAAGAACTTAGTTTGTGGGTTACACTTCCAATTTAATTTAAATTGTGAAATAGCTTTTTCTTATGAAAATTGAATTATGAAAACTTATTACACAATTAAAGCCAAAATTAACTTGCCTGAGATTGTACAGCATCCCAAGTTGCTGTTACTTCAGTGTAATTAGAGTTATTGTAAAAGTTCAGGGTCTCATCAAGACTATGAGCTATAAAATCTTCAGTTTTGCTTTTTAACAATATTGATCCAAAGCCAACAACAGCTTCCATGATGAAAATTACGATTAGCAAAGTGGAAAACTACAAGAAAAAGAATGTCATTGTCATACTAAACACATTATAAAATCAAATCTGGCTACAATCCTAATATAAATAATAAATCCACAAAAGGCCTCACCGTAGTTGTCATGCAAGCATTTTCTTTCATTGCACCATAACATCCAAAAAAGGCGATAAAAAATATGATAATACCAATGACAATCAGCAGGTCAGAAACATAAAAGTAGTTATTATTTAGTAGGTGATCAAACTCATTGTAATAGGCCTTTGCACTGATTCCAACAGATATAATTATTATACCGGTAACCTGTAACAAATACACTAGGTACTAACATTTTTTAACACTAAACAAATAAATAACACTTGAGGGTGAGGGTAACGTGGGATATAACTTGAATACTAGAATAGATATTCATGACTTTTCGATGATTGATTATTGCGCAACATGTAAAGATAAAAAATTTTCCTATTCCGTCTGCAAAAAACAAGCTTTTAGCAATTATTAGCGTCGGTAATTTTATCTTCGATAGAAATTGCAACTTTAGAACAAAGGAAACTTACCACAAAAAATAAATTGAAAATAATCATTAAATAACGAGAATAATTTCGCAAAAATGCTTTGTATTCAATCATCTTAATGCGTTTTGAACGAACAAAACAAAGCACTAATTTTGTTTTTCAAGATTAGAACAAACTCTCCCTACTCTGAAACAAATTCTAAGAAAAATTAGCTAGTCACAACGGAGATTACCGGAGATCACATGATATGCGTCAATTGTCAATTACGGAAAGGATAGTTCATAGCAACATCTATGAACACAATTGGTTGCCTTATGCTTGCTTCCACTTCAATCGTGGCAACTACAGTGACGTCACTCGGAGATCGTTTCTATAGCGATTATCAAACGCTCTCTTTTCAACTCTTTTTTTCTTTTCTTCTCCACCTAGTAGAAAAATACATAGAGACTTAATTTTATTGCCCGTTGTTATAATAAACAAAATATTAAAAATACCTTTTACATATTCGTGCAATTTTGCAGCCTATTTTTTGCTACTACTACAAAACTTTATTGTATATATTATTTTAAAAGTAAAATAAAACAAAAGGCTAGGGTTTTTTCAACTTTAAAAAGAATATATTCATCTTGCTCCTTATGGGTGAAATCACAGATACAAAATACCAGTTAATAGAAGTGATAAACTTCGCCCAACTAAGATACATATCCTATGTGAATATTTTATTTATAAAATAAAAAATAGCATATACATCTTTTACTTATTGATAACATACCTATTAAGTATATACATTACTTAACATTTTTTATTCATTTTTTTTACCATTTTTCGTTGACATAAGTGTGAAGTCTCTTTTTCTTCAACTTTTAGTTTCAATGTTTAATCTTAATGAATAAACTTTGTAATCTTGCTGGTTCCAATTTAATGAAAAATTTTAAAACTTCTGTTCAATAATTTTGCTTTTTCCTTCCACTAACATATAGGTTGAAAATTTCAAAATTTTATTCTGTAAAATATTCAGAACAAACACATTTTTCACTCTCCATGTACCATAATTTCTTCTTTATCGGATTTGAACAGAAGCAGTAGCAGTACAGACCGGCAATTGTTACTACTAATCAAAATGAAAATCGACCATAAGTCGAGCGGCTAAATCAATATCGATATACTGATTACTATTAGTAATAAGTGTACTGGTATAAGTAAATACAGTAGTATAGTATTACTAGTACTCCTAGTAATAACTATAGTCGAATTGTCTACGTGACGTCACTGTAGCAGTAGCACTGGAGATAAAGAGACAAGGATAGAATGGATATAGACAAAGAAATTATGACGTAAATGTTTCAAGAAAATTTCAAGACCATTGGAACCATTCTGCCAGCACATCTTTCTCTCGCCCTTACAAAAGCTGTATACCGGGTAAATTTCTGGAAATATTTTTTAAGTGAGAATACAATAGAATACAAAATCAAAGTGACCTAACACACGGCACACAAAACGTCTATCATGTATAAGACAGAGGTGATACGCCTTTGTCGTTAAATTCACTTTAACTTGGTATGGTGGAGAGAATTGAATTTCGAAAAAAAAGGCGAAAACTAACACGTAAGATTCCTGTGACACAGCCAGAACAGTAACATAATGATGTTACTTACAGCGGGAACCGTTGATAACAGTTAGTTGGATCGACCGAATGTATAGGGAGACGACCACAGCAATAAATTATGTTTGTTATAGAGAGTTTACATATGAGAATGTACAGGCACGTTTGAAAGAAATATATTAAGAAAGGACATTCAACATGAGCATGCGCAAGTCAATAAAACCAGTTGTTTCAAGCCAACCAATAAGACCTAGAAATCAACATGGCCGCTAACAGATCATCAGTTGAACAACTTTGTCAACAAAAATGTCATAACCGTCTGAGACGCATGAATGCCAGAGTATTAGCGGCCCCTATATCTATTAGCCATATTACATGTGAAAAACTATACCGAAATGTACCACATTCCTTCAGAAGTTTCGTAAAAAGTATTACAGTAGCCTGTGGACATTTCCTTGACAAAAAAAAAATCGAAATGTTTTTGGACAGACATACCTACCACCTACAACACAACTTTTAAACAATGATAAAGTGTCAGAGTCGCACGGATAAAGATAAGAAAATTTTTCAATTTCACCATCAATTAGCTCGTTATTTTTTTTTTAATAAATTGAGATAGACATAATATTCATTTATTGCCTTGATTAAGAACATCTTATATTGTAATAGTAATATTTCAAAATTAAATTAAATATAATTTTACATTCTTTTGGGCAAGTTTACCAGTTACTAAAATTATTGAACCCTGTTTTGAATGTCTTTTTCTTTCTAGGCTGTAATTCTGATTCAACTTTTTCAGTTCTAAAACATACAGCATTGTAAAACATATTAAAATATTAAATCTGAATTTACCTCTTCAAAACATTTGGATTTATATATTTTCCAATTCCTTTCCTAAATTCTGTTAAAGGTACATTTTTAGCGGGCCGATTTTTTTCCTCTGTTTCTTCCTTTTGCTTAACTAGCTCTTCTTCCCTTTCCTTTGCCAGCTAAAATACCAGTATTTAAAAAGGTAAGTTTATACAGCGTGTATCAGTGAGAACTTATTCGCCTATCTGTTGTCGTACAAAACTAAAACTGCCTAATAATTTGAATATATGGCATTATATTAAAGTAAGTCATACAGCTGAAATATCTTCAATCTGGCGCCAGTATCAGTTATACCAGAAGGAGGTGTCAACTTGCTTATTATATAACTTTGTGCATGGATAGAATTTTGACGTTTGTCAATTCTGATGGTCATGTCACATGTCATTTAATAAATGTTAATAGTGTTGTTTGTCGTTAATTGTCCTAGAAAAAATGTAGTAAATTTATTAAACACGTTTTTCTCTACAAAACAAATTATAAATATCTTTTTGTTAAAGGAATTGACAGATGCTGGGGTTGAAACGTCACTGATGACAGAAAATATTAGGTATCTCGAAAACAGTGAAAGTACATTATAGGTACCGACAGCAATCGTATATTAAGCATTTTATTTAAAATAAACAAGGTGACATTCTCTTGGGGGGAAAAGCCAAAACCCTAGACATAAATATAATTTCCCAATGGAACATCGGGTGTTACAAATTCAATTCATAGAGAGGAGCCCAACAATATTCCACTAAAATTTTCATGTTACCTTTGGAATTTTCGGAAATATATTGTTTTCATTTTTATATTTTAGGGGTTTGTGGGAACTTTTTTAGTTTTATCTTATTTTGAAATCATTTGTTGCAAAAAAATGAAATAAGTGAACACTCAGTAAACTACTGATTTTCTTAATAATTCAGTTTTTGCGTTACAAGTAAAAAGGAATAAATTACTCAATATGTGTGTTGTGAACTCTGAGGGATTCACAAGTTATAAAAATGTCATGTACAGGGTGGACCTTTTTTTGTATTTTATTTTATTGTCTCAGAAACAGTGCTAAAAAAACGTTTAATAGAAAGGTATTTAGTTTAAATAAAAGATTTATTTTATTACATTTTCATATACGCAATGAAAACCCTATTGGGTCATGACATTAACTTTCTTATGTTTTTTAGTAGGACACCCTATTGAAAATAAGTTGCTTTTTAGAAAACCCGCAGATAACTTCAATTTTTTAACAGAATTGTATTAGCCTCATCAATACACCTAATTTGAGCTACCCCATATCTCTTATTTTTTTCAAAATTCCAATGGTGCGAGCCACATTTGAAACACTGGGTATATTCGCAAATATTTGTAAAAGCACAATATTTTGTATAAAAAAAAAAACCTGTTCATCTGCTTCATCATAAGGATTAACAAATATCTGAGCTTTTAGGAGTGTTATATCATCAATTGGTCTATCTTTATTATCCACCTCGATTTTCTCCATTTCATTCAATGTCTCCATACCTCCCACAACATGTCCAAAGATTGTATGTTTATTATCCAGATGTTTACAGGAACGATAGGTTATAAAACTATAAAAACCCATCAATCAATAAACAGGAGTTGGTCTGTTACACAATACTTGCAACTGTGATCCATTTGTATGTTTACCAGAATTGGCCATTGACACAACACCCCGCCCTACATGAGACAGGTTAGGTCTAAATTCATCCTCAAATTTATTGCCCCATATAGAAGTTCCCCCGTTGCCGGTATTGGTGGGGTCTCCACCTTGAATCTGAATTCAAAGAAACAAGGCAAACTGTTAAATAACTGAATTACTTTAATGATACACTAAATAAACTTTCATTTTTTTAAAAGCATAAAGAATTTTATAAACCTGTTACATTTTACATGTCAGTAATTTAGATAAACTGTATTTGGGGGAATGTACCTTACCATAAAATTCCTAATGGACCGGTGAAACTTGGTACCATTATAATAACCATTTTCACAGTGTTTAATAAAATTTTCGCAAGTTTTGGGAACTTCATTACAATAAAGTTCTAAATTTAGTGGACCCAAATTTGTTACTAGTCTAACATACCCTGCAAAATTACCACTGTTATGGCAATAACTATGTTGAGAATTAAACTTATCATACCCTTTTTTTTTACCCTTTCATACCGAACTTCATCATTTGGTCTTATTGCTGCTTCATGCACCATTTCAGGAGCCAAGGAAGTTGATGTGAAACTTGCTGCTACTTTGCCTGTTGAATAATGGGCAGCATTAAACTTATCAGCTTTCTCCAAACTTTGCTGCTTATTTATCTCAATAGTAGGAGACTTATATTCTCTGCTCAATTCATCCAATGTATATTTTGTTTCCGGGTTTATACTTTTCAAACGAGCTTGGGGGTTTAATCTGTCAGCAATCTCCGCTACAATAAATTGAATCTTACAATAATAATGTAAGTATTATAAACGAAATTACCCTCGGTTTCAACTCTTAGATTATGTTTCACATGATGGAACTGAGATATGTTAAATTTCAGTAGATTGTTAGGATCTTGAAGTACAATAATGTCTTTTCTCTCAAAGGTTTCATCATTGATCAGATCTTTCCAATTATTGTTCTTTATATTTAGCTGCTCAACAGCTTCCATTGAATAAACATTACCAGTCTTTGCAATTGCGACAATATGAGTGCTATTATTGAAAGGTTTGTACAATACAGGACACTCATAATTCTCATCCACATCTTTATGCATATTAAGTTGCACAAGTGAATGGAAATCCAGAGGTTTACCTGAAACTGGATTTATTTTGAACTTCTTTAGGAAGGGAATCAGTGCATCTAAATCAAATATATTGCCGTCTAAATCGCAAATCGGAACTTCATAGGGTTGTAAAGAGAGGCAACAGTGATCAAAGGGTAGTCTCTTGAAATTTAATTCTTCCTTGGATGTTTGGCCGGGCCTTTTGCCACCATACAATGTGGTCCATTCCGTGTAGGTCAAGTACATCTTATCCTTCTGATGTTGCCGTTTTCCCATCTTGAATCAAAATCTTTCGCAATAATCTACAATCAAAAATTTCTAGGTTATACGGAAATTCAAAATAAAAAAGATACAAACAGGATGGCAACTTAGCGATAGGATACTGCTTATCTTGGTTTCTATAATTTTTTTAAATCAATTTGACTTACATTTTAGTCGCCATGTAAAATAAGTTTTTAGGGTAAATGTAACAGAAACTTTTTATTATTGTCGAAAAAAATACTAATTAATTAAATTTCTAAAATTGAATTAAATCAGTAGGTCGGTGACAGATCAGCAGGGTTGGCAATCCTTCCAAAATTCCTCGTCTCAAGTACGCCATGATCAGCCGTGAATTCTAGAAAAGGAGTGTTGTTTGAGTTTTAATACAATTTGAAGGGTTTCTAGGTAAGTTAAATACAGCAAAAAACATTGTCAAATAGAGAAACATTTTAACCAAAACACAGACAACTACCGTTGTCGTTTTCCTTATTTTTTGGAATCTTTTTACTGCATGTACTAAACATTTTTTGTTTATGCGTATTATTATAAAATATAATCGCGTAACCTGATCATATTTAAAGATTTTTTGAACAGGTGAGTCTTGGTAATAGTTTTTCTGTAGTCGATTTGCGACTGCCTTTATTTCTAATCAAAATGGCTGACTCCACAAACAGAAATCAATTTTGAAGGAATTAAGTGTTTCAGTCATTATTTTGTAAATTTTAAATGATGGATAGTGTTTAAGACCCAGAAATTCTTAGGGAATTGTGTCATTATAATGTTACACAGCTCCGCAAGAGTTCAATTATCATTTTTTTCCAATTAACTTTAGGTGCAAAAGTTTAGTGGTACCTTTATGACTAGGAGTTGTCACAAACCACATCAACCCAAAATGCGCAATGACTTTCTCTGTAAAAGTTAAGCTTTTTTATGGTCAGGAGTAACACTTTAAATGCAACGAAATAATTTTTACAGTGATACACCAATAACTTGTATGCAAGTGCTGTACAAATCACTATCCTGTTCAAAGTGTATTCTAAAAATCTTTTAATTCCTTTAAGTTTATGAATATTATGGCTTCAGCCCATTGGCACTTGGTGTATTTATTTATTAGCAATAAAATGACTTCATTTTGTATTCAAGTTTTCCTGTAGAGCTAACGCTTAAATTTAATCCTTTTTCATATATATGTTAAGTGCATTGTGGAAAATCAGGCATTGCTAGCAGTGCCGGACCATTATAATGTAGTGCATATGAAGAAGGTCTCACTGGCGAAAATATTTTCGCAGTTAATCACACTGCTAAACTAACCAATGGTCATTGCAATTTTTCCACTATGTCAAGAACATATATATAATATATAAATTATTGTAGTTATATATTTTTACAATTTAGAAAAAAATCAAAAAATTTTAAATATCAATAAAGAAAAAATCTATTGTTTAGTAGCAGAGTTTGATACATTTTCTGTCACATCGGTTGATTATGTATGATTGATTAATTGAATAAATCATTAACAAATTAAATAAATTTTAATTTCTTTTTTAGAATATGTCAGCTGCTGGTTCAAGTGGTTCAGGCCGTGGCAGAGGACAAGCTTCTGTAAGTGACCAGAAAGAAACAAAAGAGCCTAAGCCTAACCCAAAAATGTCCAAAGCTTTGGGAACATCTGCTAAAAGAATTCAAAAAGAGCTCGCTGAGATCACTTTGGATCCTCCCCCAAATTGTAGCGCTGGGCCTAAGGTATAAATGTACTATTAACTCCACATTCTTTTCAAGACATAATTTCCTTTTTTTCCAAACTGACTTCAATGATTTTAAATTTGGTATTCTGATATGCAAGGTTTTTAGACTTTGAATTTAAATAATTAAACCCACAAATCCTTTTTTAAATCTTTTGATATTCTGTCTGATCTGTGCTCTTACTCAATGACATCAGCATTTTACATAGACTTGTTTCTTATATAAAGCTTTTTTCAAAATTGAATTGAAACATGATCTCAGATCAGAAGAATCTAAAGAAAGTAAAGATAAGGTACAATAATAAAAAAAAACTACAAACTGTGACTGTAGTACGCATTGAGAATGCAACATTTGTATAACAGTGATGTGGATAGAATTTCATATCAGTTTTTTCCCAAAGGGCGAAAATTTCTATGAATGGGTCTCAACTATTTTGGGCCCTCCTGGATCTGTTTATGAAGGTGGAGTGTTTTTCCTAGACATTCACTTTTCACCAGAATATCCATTTAAACCTCCAAAAGTGACGTTCCGTACTAGAATTTACCACTGCAATATCAACGGCCAAGGTGTGATATGTCTGGATATTTTAAAAGACAACTGGTCCCCAGCATTGACCATTTCCAAAGTTTTGTTGTCGATTTGTTCTTTGTTGACTGATTGCAATCCAGGTAAGGAAAATAGATTTTGATTAAATGTTTGAACACATCTTTTGATTAATTTGAATTGAAACACTTTTTAGTTTGTCCTTTGAGATTGGTAAATTCTGAATATGTACTTGGTTACAGCTGAAAACTAATATTTCTGTCACACAGTCAAGTAATATTGTAAAAATGATTAAAAAAACAATACAATAGTTTTTGCTTACAGCTTCTCAAAATTATATTTACAAATTTAAATGGACAAAAACAGTTCTCTCCATGTATGTGTGAAATGAAGCTTTTCAAAAGGGTGGTGCTTACCATTGGAAATTATCGTATTTGAACCCTGAAATTAAAGCACAGCATGTTGAACCAATAAGTCTTTAGTTTTATATTCTGATTCCTGATATTTGATATGTATTGTGCTATCAACACTTTTTTTTCAATTTTTGTAGAATATTTTGCAAAAGAGTTCAAACCATTAATATCTCAAAAATGGATAAACTGATCCTTTTGAATAACTTTGTTCAAAAATTGTAATGTGTAAAACATATAGCACCTGTTATTTTTAGCTGATCCGTTAGTTGGAAGCATAGCAACACAATATTTGCAGAACCGTGAAGAACATGATCGCATTGCCAGATTATGGACAAAACGTTACGCCACGTGATTGGCTTCACTCCATCTCAATTCTTCCATTTGTGGTTCCGTTGTGCCAGTCCAGGCAGAAATGGTAATTCTCATATAAAACCTTATTGAACTGTCTTCGTTTTTTCTTTCCTTACATTATTTCATAAAATTCGCGAATCTGTTTCATTGTATATTTATAGGTTACAAAATTCATAATAAATTATTTTTGAACTGATACTTTGGACGGAGAAATTGCTGGTTGTACTCCAATTTTAGACCTCTTAATACTGCCCATTAAATAGATTTTTTATTATTTTTTTTTTCTTGGATCCAAAATAATTCAACTTATACGGGTGTTTAAATTCTGGCACAGGCAATTTAGGATTAACCAAGACTGGTTTCACATTTGGGTAGCGTTATATCTTGGTCGACACTGTGGTTCTTGTTCTATCACAGAGTCAAAAGTGTGTATTTTAATGTAATAATAATATGGAGAACAATATATACAAATTTAAGTGCCAATAACCGCTTAAAAAATCAAAAAGAAATGAATAATATAATCCAAAACACTAGGATCTAAGCATCCTGCTCCGGGCAAATATGATAATAGTGAAACGGTGGAGGCCAAAACTGCAATTTTGGTCATACAATTTATTTTATTCTTTGATAGCAGTAATTTTGTTTTTTTGTTTTTTTTAAATATCTGGTACAGTGTTGAAACTATTTTCAATTGGTGGTGGTAGTGCTTAATATAGGTGGCAATGAATTTAATATAAATTAAATGAAAACCCAAACAAACAAAACAAGATGGGATAAATTATTGTATTTTAATTTTAATTCAATAATTTTTTTGGTTGAATAAAAAGTTGAGATGCGAAATTTGTAAGGGATCTATTGAATTAAGCATTTTTGTCTTTTGGATTTCCCTGTCCTTTCTCTTTGAAAAATGTATCAACTTACAAGTTGACATATATAAAAAAAAGTATACATCATACAAAAAAAGAACATCCTTTATACTGACCAAACGGCAGTGGTAAGTCGGTATGTAGGAAGCGGAGATAAGTAATTTATTCAAATTAGAAAGATATAAATATAAAAATAATATTTTGTGCCCCAATTAAATAAGTCACATAACCACCATATCAATTTTATTCTGTAGAGCTTATAAACTAAAATAAAAATCTGACAATTTAACGTTGCTGGCGCAAGGAAAACCACGCAGAAGCCAGATCCTTCGAAATCATCGCACTAAACTGTCATCGTAATTGCTCCGCATAACAACTTAGCAGTGTTCAATAAGCCTTTTTGAGGACTCACCTATTGATTCAGATTAAATCTGACCAACTGAACTGTTCTGATAATAATTTTGATAATTTTAATTAATAAAGTTCAACATATAAAAATTAAAGTAAACATAGGTAACTAAGAAATATCAAAAAAACAATGCTTGAAAGACAAATTAATGTTAGTAAGAGCAAATCTTTTGATTGATTGGGGCGTAGTATGTGACACATTGGGATCAATGTCGGGGCAGGGTTAGGACACTCGACACATTTGCTCTACAACCGACTGGGGTATCCTCTAACAAAACGCGATCGCTGGTAGCAAGTGTTTTCAATAAATTTCACTTAAGTATCAATGCCTGTTCTACTATTTAAATGCCTACTGCCCCATATTTGGAACAGAGCAATTATACTGAATATTTGTGCGGCACCACAATTTTAAGTTTCTGTCATATTTATTTATTTTTTGCAATACAAGTTAATGAAGATGACCGGCAGCTCTACCACTATATTTGCATTGAAAATGCTTTTATTTGGGGTTCGCCACATTTCTCTATTCAGAATAAATCTATTTTCTTCTGTGTAGTCCAGGTAATGTTGTGTTCATGTCTTAAAGTTCTCTTAGAAATTACGGAAGTTCCTTGGCTGTTCTTAATCGTCCTATGTTGCGGTGAATGAAAAATTTGTTTCGGAAAAAAAGTCATTTCGCACTATTTATTCAAATAAACTTTGTTTGGGAAAAATTTAATGCCAAACTTTACTTGTCAGTTCGAAAATTAAAAATTATGTAAAATGTAGTTCTCTGAAATAAGTCGACTTGCAGCGAATTATTGATACAATCGTAATTTGCCAGTGGTCTTGAAATGTTGTGCAATTAACTCCAATGTAGATTGTTTAGGCAGAACTACATGTTTTTGTTTCAATTGCAATGTGTTTGTTATTATAAAATTAACAAAATATTGCAGTAATAGCCTGATCAGATTTTTGTTTTTTTTTTTCACAAAATTGTAAGAGAATATGGACTATTCTTCTAGGTATTGTTTAGTTAATATGTAATTGTAATAAATTTTTAGTGTATCATATGTTGTTTTTATATCATATTGCAAAATATGGAGACATATATAATACTTATTTTTCCTTAAAAATACCCTACTCCCTAAAATGTTGGATAATGGATGTATGGGATTCGGGTATCGGATCATTTTAAAAAAAATTAAGCTCAACAAGAAAAATTCAATTTTGAACATTGAATAATTGAAATCAAATTTAATAAATAGTTTACTTACATTAAGAAACTAGAAAATTGCACACTATATGAGAGAATGGATCAATAAAAAATTGTATGAACAAAACTACATCAATTTAACCTAAATTGATACCAATTGGTTTGTGGAAAAACAAACAGGTTCCTTTTTCTTGCGTTTTTTTTTTTATAATGTTACTTAGGTCCACAAGGATTCTGGTCATTAATTGGATTCCAGTTAAATAAATGGCAATGGGTAATGTATGTGTTATGTGGGTATTAAGTTTTTGTTTTGTTTATAGGGACAACTATCGTTAGAAATTTTTTGAGTTACCATTTCAACCTTTGAGGTGGACATGAATTTTTTCTTAGTAATGCCACAAACTAAAAGAAGCCATGAATCAGATTCCTAAGGTGAAACCATGGGACTGCAATAATAAACTTGATAAATATTCCAAAATAATCATTACCTTTATTCAACTAACTAAACTAAACTTTAACAAAAATGACCAAAAACCAGCAGAACAGAGATAAAAGTAAATATATTTTGCTTTAAAAAATTGCATACTATGAAAAGAATGAACAAATAACAGCCGTTAAAATAGAGAACTTAGAGACAGGCAATAGTTTGAGTACAGTGGATGACAACAAAAACAAGTATTCACACATTTAATATTTATTTAACTTTGGTGCAAAATTAAATTGTAAAGTATATGTTAGCAAATACATCAAATACAAATTCTTAAGTCTAGAAATAAGGGCATCTATTCAATACCTGTCAATCTATAAATTGCAAAACAATGAATTTCTCACAGATAAAACAAAAAAAAATATATTCACTTGAATGTATATACGACTTTCATTACAATTCTAAGTGGTTACTCTTACTTTAAATGCCCTTAAAAATACATTACATTTATAAATGTAAATATATCAAATAAATATTTTTATGAATATATTATATATTAAAAAAATAAAACTATAAATATTCTTGTAATACTTTTTGCTTCCAGCTCTTTTGTTTTTGACACAACAATGCTTTGGTATTATACGAGTTTATGGACTAGCAACAAGATAGTCCTGTTAAACATGATTTCTAAAAACATCTGTTTGAGTTTGCTCAGTTTAAAATTGTTTGTCCTTGGAAAAAGTTAACTATTCTCTTGTAGTAAACGAATACAGTAAATGTGTTACAGTGATAAAGTAAAACTGAATATTTATATTTGAAAATATTCTAGAAAACAAGTGCACTCATGTTGCTGATCCATATATTGAAAACACATCCTAAACTACGAATAAACTACAAAATGTTAACTGTGTAACAATTAGAATAAAATCAGTCTGTGAAGGTGAACACATAGAAAAAAGTTGAGAAACGTTCGGTTTGCAGGGGGTTTGCAAAGAATGCATACATTTTTGATATTTGTAAATTCACTGTTATTATGAGCATTTTTTTTCAATAAGTAAGTTTCAAAGAGATTCTCTCATCCAACAATATTAATATAGATATCCATAAGATTCTAATCTGTCATGGTATTTTATTGCAAGACAATGGTGTTTCCTTGGAATAATAGAAAAAATTGGTTGAGCAGGCATTACTTCCCATTGCATATTCAGTCTTAAGAATTGTTTATTACTTATGCAAACTTTTCTAAATGCAATAAATATCACTGAATACACCATTGTTAAGTTGTAAAACCCCTGTAAACCTAGATCCATAGTCTAAATAGTGAAAAATGTTAATATATTTTGCGTTATTAAAGTAAAAAAAAGTGAACAATAATATGTCTATCAACAAACCACATAAATACAAATATTAATATATTACATTAATATATGGGTGCACACAGAGACAATGCTTTATAAATTATTTTAAACCGTTTCATATTCTTTACGAATATGCCGTGCGAGTACACAGGCAAAGATAATTCCGAACATCTGAAAATAAACTTTAATAAGGTATCTTTTCAAAATTAAATAACAGTACACTGTATATTTATCATTTATGAAAATCATGAAAAATTGTCATATGAAACGAAATTTTTAGTGTAAATATTACATTTACAGAGTGACACCACAGCATAGTTGTGGTGGAGTTCTAGTTGAAAATTTGTCTTCTACCAGTTCTGTAATAGGTTATAAAAATAACATAATTTTTACCTGGCCACCAGCAATGCCCAATCCAACTGCACCAATCACTGAAGCATACATCACCAAATATTCCTTCAGTTTGGTAACACATGAATCTTTGTAATAATCTGGTGAGTCTAATGTACAACTACCATCATCCTTTTTATCTGGGCAACAAGTATATGGTAGGATTTTCTCGCGAGTCACCTTTTGCCAATCTTTTGGACCATTCATGCCGCAACACTTTAGCTAAAGTTGGACAAAATTGCATAAAATGATATAACATATATTATTATAATCATTGTGCAGTATAACAATTTCTATATCATAGTGAAATATCTTGACAATGAGTAAAGTTAGACTTCTAGTAAAGAGCTGCATATATTTGGTGTAAGATATTTTGCTTAATGAACTTTTATGAAAGATTTTTGATAAGTATTTTTCATTACATTTTATTTAGTTTTTAATTGGAGTTTGTGTTTTTTTAACCATCAATGGCTCTGTAAAACTCTACTATTTATAGGCTAGTAATTCGCCTTCCGTGTTATATATTTTATGGTTATATGGAATTTATGTTTTCTCAGTTTCATAACAATTTTATCCTTTTGAAGAAAATTTAGCTTAATACTTAAAAAATGTTTGTAAAAATAAACTATTAAAATTGTCTACTTTGCTCTGGCTATGGAGTGACCTAACGTTAAAGTAGTTGTAAAATTATCACACTAATTTGCTTAATGGTATGACTGATTAAATGCAACCTACACAAATATTCATTCAATTGGTCCATGGCCTTGGAAAAATTTAATTCAATAATTAATCACAACTTACATCATGCTGAGCAGAATTCCATGTTCTTTTGATTTCTTGGTTTGTATTATATTTATACATAGTGGAATTCAAAGTATCTTCAAGCATAATGCCGACATCATTACGGCGAATGTATCCAACTACTCCAGCAGCAACTTCCAAAATAAGTACAAGACACAGTAATACAGAGAACTAAAAATTTTAAAGCAGCAATAACATGTATATTACATAAATTGCAAAATTAAATATTTACCGTAATGATCATGCAATGGTTTTCCTTAACTGCACCGCAGCACCCAAAGAATGCTACGACAAAAATGATCAAACCCACCGCAATTAAAATAACTGGGGCAAGTTGGTAACTGGGATACACAAAGTTTGAATATTGGGCATAAACATGCAGGTGTACTAACACACCAACCACCAATATGGCCAGACCTGAAATCTGTTGAAAGAAAGTTTACTTTTTAGATTTTAAACAAAATAACTTTCAATACCTACCGCAAATAATAGATTGAAGAAAAACAATAAGTATTTTACACAAGTCATCCCTCCAGACACCATTTTGTCGTATTATAAAATCAGTCTAAAAAAACAATGGGCATTCAGTATATTATAAATCTATAAAATCACTAATAATAGATTATTATTACCTGTGAGAATTCAACAGCTGTGAAATATGTTTTCCTTTTTATTGGAGTGAATCCAAAAATAAACAACTTTCAAGTCAACCACAGCACATTTATTTGGTTTGTTTATTTTCAATCAATAGAAGAAAGAAGCGGAGAGCAAACACCAGCGGAGCTGCGATCAAGAATGCAGTATATGCAGCCTGTTATAAAGAAGAAGATTGTAGCAACGCATGCGTTTGAAGTTTTTGTGCAGTTTGAAAAAATATTTAAAGTTTTCGTGGAATTAAATAGGTTAGATTTTATATCAATGGATGCCTTAAATAAGAGAGAATAACCATAAATCCTATATTGTTTTAAGAAATAAATTTTTAAACATGAAAAAGCCTTCGACCATCTTCGAAACTGGCCAGCAACGGCAACACCTCGAACACCGTAAAAAAGGTCGCCTGCAAAGAAGGGGCGCTGCCGACACTTAGATAGACCGAGGGATGCTGGGTGTCGGCATTACAACCGGTTCTAGCAAACGTTAAGCTTCATTATTCATTTTCATATGTTTTTCCCTTTTTTGTTAGTTGTAAAAGTTTATTAAGTTCTAAAAGTTAAAAATAAAGTTATCGAAAAATACAGTCCACTAAATCGAACAAGAATCAGCGCAGCAAATAACGTGGACCTATGTCGAAACCCGCCAAAGACTGAAAATTCACATCGAATTGTTTTAAGTAAAGACCTTGCCGAAAACATACAAGCCCTTAACTGATGTTTATTTAACTCAAGGTTAACTGTTAACCGGATACAACAAATTTGGTTAGTTTTTGACTTATAAAAGCAAAAAATTTAGGTCACGCAAAAAATTACAAATATTTTGGGAAAAAGAGTTTATCACCGAATCGTTGATCTAGTAGCTGGTAAATAATCTATTATATTATTTAGCATTTCATTAGAAAATGTTATGTTGGCTTTTAGGATTTTGTCGAAAAACAGAAAATTTATATTAAAAACAAAGCTCAATCAATTTTTATTTATAACTAAAGAAACGAGTAACAATTAAAAATATTGATAAAACCTGAAAATTAATAATGCATCCTCTTGCGTTTACGACTGCTTGTAATCAACGAGGCATGCTTTCAATGAAATTACGGTGTAAGTTCTGGTCATTGTTGTTCCATTCCTGCATTAACAACTCTCTCAGTTCTTGGTCATTTCTTGGAGCTTCTGTATATCTTTCAAAAACGTCGTTCCATCTCATTCTACTCATGTTTGATGGGATTCATGCCAGGACTGAGTGCTAGTTAATCAACCCGCCTAATTCCCACCTCATCCAGATATTGACTGCCATCTTCGCCCATTGTGATCATTAAGGATTTCTGTAAGACACCTGTGAGCTTCGCCAAGAGCCATTCTGTATAAAGATAAACTCTGTACGTGTTTCTAAACTGATTCTCGACCAAACCATGACTAAACTGCCACCATGTGGAAGTCTTTCATCAATGCAACCTGGGGCATATTTGTCTCGGGGTCTTCTCCATACTCGTCGCCGTTCATCTGATCTAGTGAGGTAAAAACGGGATTCATAGAAAAACAGTAGCTTGCTCCGTTCATAAAAATTGGAATATAAGTGGTTTCTGGCAAAAGCTAATTTTTTTATTCCATGCAGTGGATGCAATGGCGGCTCTGGAGTCATGCGTTGATAAGACAATCGCCTTCTTCTAATAATACATTTGCTAACATTAATATTTTTAACCTCTTGAAGTTGATTGTGAAGCCAAACAGCAGAAGCTGTTCTATTCCGCAAACTTGCGCACATCAAAAATACATCATCACTTTGGTTGGTGATCCTTCTTGGACTGGACCATAGTCTTCTAGTGATCAAGCTGTAGCGTTGGTATACATTTTGTACAGCATATAGACTCCTACCAACAATTCTTGCAGTTTCCCGTTTTCCTCCACCATCTCTATTAATGCTACAATTCTACCCACAACAAGATGATCTAAATGCATTCTGACCAGTTAAATAGACCTTAGACAGAAAATACACCAAACAATCATGTTTTATGGAGATCAATGAACAATAAACTGAAAAATAGCTAACGCACGAATTTCTAATTAGGCCGAACTTACGTTATTTCATAAAAAGTTGAAACTACGCCATCAACAACTGAATATATAACAAATATCTCCATCTTCATTTGTCGGAAAGCAAATAATTCACTGCCTACTAGGCCGGCGATTCGGTGATTAACTTTTTTTTTTCAAATTATATGAAATTTTTTGAGTGACCTATATTTTTTGCTCGCGAGCGTAGGGAATGTGATTATGGTAGCGATGACAAACGTATTCTTATGGCATTTGCTGGTGTTATCATTGTGACGTATTCGTCATCTTTCCTGTTTTCGAGGTTAGACTTATATCTTAGAATTAATATGGTTGGTTTATTAATCTAAGCTTTATACAACTGGGCCACAGTGTCACCAACGTGAAGAAAAATATTAGTTCAAACTTATTTTTCCTCTTACAATCCTTTTTTTGATTGCAGTATGTATGGTTGTATTGTAATATATATATATAGAGTTTTTAACCTTATGTGTTTAAATTATTCAAATTCTCTCAGCGCCTTTCTAACCAATAAAGATAATTTATGAAGTCGCTTCCCTGTTATTTTTACTTAGGGATTATAGTAGTATCGAACTCAGCGAATCTGCGGGTAGCCGTTTGCAACATGTTAACACTTGTTCAAAAGTCTATGCAATAACATAACTGTTGAGGTACAAATTTAATAAACGCTGTTCGGTATTTACAATAAAATTATGATGTTATCGATTAGTCTGCGCTGTTTTCCACGATTTCCACAACACTTTTTCAAATTGAAATGACCAATAAAAACAGTTTTCTTTATTACCCACCGGCAATGGCAATCGGTACGGCCTCCAACATTAAAATAATCAATAATAACAGTTCCTATTGAGTATTAATATATTAGTACAAAAATGGAGATACACAACATAGCAAAAATTACGAAGTGAACGCAGTCAAGTGAAAAATAACGCAGATTGTGGGTGAACGCGAAATTTGTGTCCCTGTCAAAGCCAAAAAATTTCATTTTCGTATCCTTGGAGACTGCCTAGCAACGTATACAACAACAAAGTAACTGGGTAAATTCGGACTATTTTTATTACATTTCTCCATTTTATTTTTTCGCGATTGATTTTTTTACATTTCATTATGCATTTTGAATTTTTATTTAATTTTAAGGTTATTTTCGCATTACGTAGTTTTTATATATTTTTATCATTTCAAAAGATTACATCTTTGTTGAAAATGTAATATACCTCGAAGTAAATACATACCGACTGGGTTAAATATTTTCCCTACCAGAAAGTAATTTTAAAAAAAGCCAAGAGGAATATAAATTAGTAATTGGGGTGTATTAGGATTAATAAGTATTCCCAAGTTGTGTGGAAGTAATTACCTCTAACTTATCGCTGTAAGAAGCATTCCTCAATGGGTAAATTAAGTTTTGATTGCATTTTCCGCTCAAATTGGGGTAATTTGTTAGGATGTATTCAGAATACCAGGGTGTTTCTAAAAATTGTGGGGAATGTAATAAAGGTTATGAAGGAATTGAACATTCCTCTATCAAGTATCCTCTTTTAAATGTGACATTTTTGTTTGTGTGATATATCTGTTGCATGTTAAAAAAAATCTCTCTTTATAATAAGACTTATAGTGTGTATGTATGTACGTATGTACAGTGAACTTTCCCTAAGAAAATTTCGTGATTTATCTTTTAGATAGAGTACACAGGTATTGTAATAAATATTTTAATAAATATATAAGTAAAAGGAGTGCAACATATCATTTAAATCACTCAATCTTATAATTATCAAGGTATTGGTGGAAACGAATCAACCTGGCTTTCAATAAATATTTCCCCGTGACGGCAGTGAGACAGCGCAGTCGTAGATTCAACTGACCGATGAGCAGATACAAAAATAAAATGGCTAGTAGAATATAGCAATTGAATTTTTCAGTTTTTATAATTAAAACTTCTCCAAAAATTCTCTGATATATTAGGTGATTTCCGGTTGGACCCGTGGTTAGGCCTTTATTGCAAACGAATGGAGTCCTTTTGCGAATTCGGCCGTTTAGACATAAGCAATGATAATCTATAGGTCCAAAAATATAGAAAATGGAATATAAACGAAAGCAAGTATACGACTGAAACTTTTGAAGCATTGTTCTATCAAAAAATTGTTTAATTTTTACGTAAGGCGTTTTTTGATATTGTATGTACAGAATGTGCCAGTTATTGACAAAAAACGGAAAATGAATTTTTTATATGATAAGGGTTTAATTAGATACTTTCTTAAATTGTCAGTTGGGTTCTAATAGCGAAATATTCCTTTTTGAGAGCATAACTGGTTTTGCGTTGGACACACAGAGTGCGCTTGAAAATAACCGTATTTTTTCTTGTTATTAACTACATTTAATTTAATCTATTTGTTAATTTAATGCCAAGCCTTTAATTCTAAACTTTCGAAACCAAGAGCTAATACTGTCAATAACTTAATGTTCATTGTAAACCAGTACAGGCTAATTAATTCTCGTAAAGGGCTGCGTTCGCCAGCTATGGTCGAGTTTTCAGCCGTGTGACGTATTACAGCCCACAGAATCGAAAGATTTAGTAATAGAAAATTGCCTTCAAATTAATCCTTTTCTTTGGTTTTTGATATTGGTAAAATGTCAAATGTGTATTGTTTGTGGTCAGTAAATTCTGTGACTTTCTTTTTTAATAGTTTCACGTTTTTTTGTAAAAGGCTTGTTCATTTTTCCTTGTTTCTCTAATGTAAAAACAAATCTTATGGATCGACATTCACATGATAACGTTGCTTTATAAGTTCAAACTAAAATTTGTCGAAAATCAGAAGTCAAAATAACAAAACTAAAAGGCTAAATCATATTAACACCGTCGTAAACAACACATGAAACGTAATGTTAGTGGACGGTATGACGTTATGCAGCAGTACCTACGCGGTTGTGCTAAACTCACCGAAACAAATCACCGATGTAACTATCCCATCCTCATTTACTGTCCTCGGGTTAGTTTTGGTTTTTAATGCTGTGAAGGTACAAAAAGTTTTTTTTATATATTCTGAAATATTTACTGTTTTTGAGAGTTGAGGGATTTAGAAAAAAAAATGGCCATATGTGGTAATTATTTATTTATTTAAAATATATAAATATTTTAAAATATTTATGGTCATGCTGGTACATTTATGAATGGCTGGATGGCCCAATCACGTTCTAGTCTTAGAAATATCAAAGCATGTAGTTTATGCTGTGTGATGTCACCATAGATTGGATGATCGTAACTGGTTAATCCACGCTCTAAGCAGCGCAAAACCATATTAAATAACTGTTTACTTAATATTTAGAAACTAAAAACTTCTGAAATCACCAACAGCAAAAAAAACATATTAAACGTTCAAATTGGAAATGTAAAAAAATCTCAAAGCATATGACTTTTTACGCAAATGGTAATCGTGTGCCCTTAGAATATGCCTGGAAATATCAATGGCTTGTGATGTCTCTTTGGATGTGTTTGGCTAGAACTGACCGCGGTTCGCCTTTGCCGATAGATTACTACATTGCTATATTAGATAATATAGTAATGCGCCGCAAGGCAGACTGTAGTACCGATCTCTCAGCAGCCATGTTGTTTGTTGAATGCTGTAAGATCATTGGTTAAAAACGAAATTTTGAATCTCGCGTATGCGCATGTTGCCTGGACCTGCTTAATTTTTTTTTCTTCTTAATTGCTTCACAAATTTCATATGCATATCTCTAATAGCTACATGACCGAAACTCGTTAGACTGTTTATCATAGTTAATAGTTTTCAGGTTTTAGTATCTTTGTTTTTCTAATCCACTTTATTAGTGTTAATTAATTTTTTCAATTTTGGTGCAAGTATGTGAAAAAATTTCACATGGTGCTGGAATTGTACAACAGGTTTTGAAAAAGTCTCCTTGCACGCGAACGTACAAAACCTACTTGGACGAAATCATGAAAATCACATTTTTATTTTTATTTTCTGCATTTGAGTCATAGAAAAGGCATCGTGTGCACCTCATACCTCGCACTCTTGTGCAAAATGTCTTTTTCATAAACGAACTGAGGTGGGTACACCTAAGTATTTACATGTTCTTTTTTCTGGCAAGATGTTATTCAAATTTCTCGAAACTCCTTACTTTCAGCATTAAGTGCATAAAATAACTTAACACTTAAGCATAAAACGTGTTATTATTAATAAAATGTTATATTTATTAGGATTCTTATTCCTACTTATGCCAGTGTGTAGCATTTTTTTGTCAGCCGTTGTGTAAACGGAAAAAAGTAGTATTTACAAAATATTTCGCATTTTTCAAAGTTCTCCGGCATGTTTTATTGCGTACCCTATAAGCAGGTCACCACATTGATCTGTAACGGCGAGAATGTTGAGAGCTCCGATGAAAGCGAATCATCCCCATTTTGTTGCTATGGAGTGTAGCCATAGTGATAACTTTCTCCTCCAAGAGGTAATTTGCCCTCCGAATGACAATAAGCGGGAGTTACATGAACGCAGCTCTAAAAATTAAGAAATATGAAAAATCTGTGTAATAATTGTCCACACTGTTTTTTCTCTGTTGGTGATCTGTTTATTTCTGCCAATGGCGTTATCTTGACAAAATGTGTTGTACATTTGTAAATCGTTTATTCAGAAAAATGTGATATGAAAGTAATAACTTTGAAACATGCCTTATTGGAGCACCAGCGTTCACAACTATTTAACGAAAATAAGCTTATTTTTTCGAGCTGGTCTGTTCCGATGCATCATTTTCTTATGCCGTTAAGGTTATCTTTTCCTTGGTGGAAATTAATTAATCGAACGCAGTAAAACTGCACATTCCTTGGCTAAAAGCTAAGGGTGTTATTAAGTTTGGCCAAATTTAGTTGAATGTTGGTAGGACCGAGCTACAGGATGTCCAAGCGAAAATCAATTTTCGGTTTTTCTATTTAACTTCATTTTAAACCATAATTTTTGGCCCGACGGATTTGAAAATTGATCGTAATGTAGATAACAATATATAATATACAAACAATGAGTCACATTAATACAATAAATAAAATTTAAAACAGTAACCAAAATTTATTCAGAAATATTGATTCAAAATGAAGTAGAAAAATTAATTCAACTTTCTCGGTTGTTATCTTTGACTTAACTTTTGGACTAAAGTGAGTTTTGAAAAACCTTAATATTTCTGCCCAGGGAACAATGCAACATGCCGTCGATTAGTGACGTTATTTTTCTTTAGAATTTGTAATATTCAAGTGAAAAGGCGTTCAATGATTATATTAAATAAAATAGAACATTATTTGCACCCTTACACCCACCGAGTAGAAAGGGACTAGATTATAGATAACATTATTTCAGTGACGTTCGTAACGCATCACAAAGATAAGAACATAAAATGCAAAAATGTTGCTATTAGTTTAAACTTAACAATTTCAATCTATTTTTTTTTATTCCTTAAACCAGTTTAATATCTAAATATCGTTGTAACATTAAATTTGAGGTAATGTTGATATTTGCATGTAAACTGATACAAATTCAATTTATTTTATTTTTTAACCAATTGTTAATTAATCACTAGAAAATTTTTAACAATAGCTGCGAAAAATCTCCGCCTCCTCTTTTAATGCAGGAAAATCAGTAGAATTAAATTCCCTACTTAATTAACGCCATCATGTTAAAATATTCTAAAATCTAGGAATATTCCGATCATAAATGAAGTTGAATGAAGATGAAGTTGGGAGATTGGACAAAATTTGCCATTTTCCGGTAAGTTTTTTTAGCCTTAAAATTGCCTATTTCAGACAGCTGCGCACGACACGCTGAAATACCGTGTATAATTATTAAGACCTCTGTACCATTTCGTATCAGGTTGTAAACTGTCCGCCGAATGGTTTCCCATAATCAAAGTCCGCAAGTCCTATGACTCACTTACACAACGAAACCAGGTGGATGAATACTTTTCGAAGATAATTACGCCACAGTTGCACCCCTTTTTAATCCACACCGGTATATTGGGAACTGCATTATCTGTCGGACAGGTGCGTGAATAGCAGAATAACGCCACCACCTATAACCGTCATTTTTATTCATGCTCAATGCGTACAACTATGGACCGAACCCACCTTTTGCTGATAAACCAATCGAAGAATAGTTTATTTCCTTTTTTGTCCAAATTTACAACGTTAAATGCAAAATGTCATTTATTTCAAATGGTTTAACTTGAATTTGTAGTACCTTCTTTAAGTTCAGATACTCCTTGGTTGAAAAATAAGTATTTTGCATGGAATATACTATAATTGTGTTTGTGAACAGAGTATGGCAGTGTACTAATTTTACTGTCTATTATATAGTGGGCCCGAGAATTAAACCGAATAACGAGTGGTGTTCTAGTAATATCAAACTTAGCTTTTGTAAGTTAACTCTAATATATTCCTACCTACATTTTATTTTGTCCCATAATATTTACATTTTTCACATTTTGTTTAGTTTAAGTTATTGTTCAAACTGTCAAATATCGAAATGTATGTATTATTCTTTGTATCATTAGTTATTGAAGTATACTTTATTGTAACTAGAATATGCCACACATACCCTTTCTGTTCATACATCAAGATATCCGTGTCTATGTTATTTATAAGAATTGTCATAGTTTGGATCGAATTATTAAATGTCATATAAACATTCTTTGTGACGGTTTGTTGAACAAGAAACAAATTAAGGTATTGTACGGAAGAAAAATGTTTTATGTTCGACATATAAGGACAAAGTAACATTGGTCGACAAACTCTCAAGAATTTTACAGCAGCAATTTCCAGGTACATAGCTCCATCTAAGAAATTATTAGACAAAAGTTTTTGGAAACACATGGTAGCCCGCATTGTAACTAATTGTAGAAATTTTGCCCCAAACAAATGAAAAGAAAAGGCAGAAAAAGTCTTTTTTAAATTTTTATGGCATCTATGTATGTAAAAGAATCAGTTGTCAATCTGACAGTTGCCAGTTTTAAATTTTTTTACTTCCAGTGTAAAACTTAACAGAAAACAAAATCAATTCTTTTTTTTGACCTTTTAAAAGTCAACCGAATTAAAACCAAAGCATGGTACAATTTTTTTATATAAAAATCATTTATTTCTGTAATTAGCATTGCTATTTTAAGTATCATAATCTAAAAAAGTGTTTTCGTTGTCCCGAGTTACTAATTATATTATAAATTATAAAAAACAACTTGAGCTGCTACAAGGTAGTTCCCGGTAGGAAAGGGCACTAATGTATCATTAGGGTATAACGTTATAGTCATCGGTTGTTGTTTCCGTCCGCAGCTGTACACGTTGCTTCGATAAGGGCGCCTTTTTACGTGGTTTAAGTTATGGGGGTGCACCTTCCAATTTAGTGACCATCGAGCAACCGATCCTTATGTATATCAAAATGGGAATTAGTAGTGCTTCCAAAACTCTCTGGCGTTAAGCCGAGGCAATTAAATAGCCCGTGTGCAATACTTATCGTCGATTATTATACCGATTGGAGGTTTAATGGTGCTTGAAGTTATAGCTAATGTAAGTTTCTTTTTTGGATAACCACGTTGCCGCGTATGTTAGTGAAAATTTTTAAATTTTCGAGACCTAATGATAGTTTGGGTTTACAAATTGTCGTACCACTCAGATGACGTGCGACGGGTAGATGGATCCTCATTCGAATTATTATCGGAAATACTACTGTGAAATTCGCATTTTTCAATCTTCTTTTTGTTGTTGTATTAAGCATAAAAAATATGTTCTGGTGGTATTTTTAATAATTTTAGTATAATTTACATTCTGTTTTTTTTGTTGTCAATAGGCGTTTTTTTCTAATTTGAAATTTAGAATCGCTATAAATAAAAACACCCACTATTTAAAAATCTTCGGGATTCGGTTGTGTGTCAAACTTGCTTGATATAGTTTCAGTTAAGTTCTGAAGAAGCCAACAGCAAGTTTGATTACAATGGCCTATGGAAGTTTCTTTGAAAGAATTATTTTTTTCGCTTTCAAATAAAATTTATAACTTTCAATACGCCAAATATATTAGCTTTCTAAATTCCCATTCGTTCTTATACCACTTATAAGGAATTACCGGCCCAGAAAGCTACTTCTATTTAAAACGGTAATTTGTTTTTAACTTCAGCAGCAAAACAATTTTTAAAAATGTTGTACAAAACAGTTTTAATATTCGTTGGGTACATAATAAAAGAAAACTGGCGAGGATAATATTGGACCTTTTTGTCACAAATAATTGGTCCATTTACAAACCACCCAATGGAATAATTATTTGGAATAAAATAGGCAATCGATTTAGAATGTTCGCACTATACAACTATGCCAATTTCGATACGCACTAATCTTTAATGTTAGAAAGATGCAGTTTTTGCATTCGTTTGCTACTTGTTTGTGAAACGAACGACTGCGTAAACTGAAATTTCAGAATGAGGCCCGGTCATAACATGTTTTATTTTGAATGAGAATCATGTGGACTTTGTTGTCAATTTTATTCACTTTTTTTTTAATTTAACTTTCAAAATCTTCAAAAAAGGTCGGTGATAATTTTTATGAGCATTTGGTTGGACTTGACATTCATTGAAACAAATGTGGGGTTTTCAAAAATATCCACTGTATTTTAAAAAATTAAAAAAATTAAGTGTATTCAGATTTTATTTTTTAACACCCAAGACTACAACATTTACTAGCACATGGTTTTCATGATATATTTGTATATTATTATTATTGCTATTATATGGGAAGGTTGTCAAATAAGAATTTGAAAATTCCAGAAGATGATACTTATTGTTTTCTTTTTTTTAGCACAAACAAAATTTTTTATTTAAATTCTTTCATGGTTAGCAATTTTTTTTGTGCAGCTCGTTGTGGATAAAACGGCCCTTTAATATTAAATTAAATAAAATGCAAATTTATTCAAAGAAATCATCATCATTGTAACTTATTAATTATTTTAATTTTGGTTATATATTATTATCATTGCGTCTCTTTTGCCTTACTTTGTGCAAATATGGATTTACATTTTTCTCTTACATCACAACTAAATGAAAAACCATGCAGACCAAATCAATTAATGAGATATTTTCAAACGCATGTTTTCCATACCAAATAAATGGCATACATATAACTGCTCGCGTTCCACTTTGTTAAGAAAAAAAGAGCTCTTTTGATGCAGCTTGCCAATTTGTCAACTTACAATGTTCGTTTGTCAACCTAGCTACGTTTGTACATAAACATGTATTATAACAGGTAAAACTCTGCTACCAAGTTGTGTCGTAAATCCAAAAAAAAAAAATCACGTTGGCGTATTTGATTTTGATCCTGCATACCCGAAACATCCGACTAATTCTCTCCCGTATTGGCCATTCCAGAGGGCAACCAGAGTAGTCTTGGAGACGCCGCCATGGCAACAGCAGCTCGCTTTGCAGCAGGAAACAGCAGCAGCCCGCCTACTCCCGCCCCTGCCACTACGCCCCCTGCTCAGACTCAACCGACTCAGCTCATCGTTCTACCAGCCAGTTTGCATCAGGTATCGTTTGACATCATTTTCACTTTTTACATAAATTTTTTTCTTCTTTAGTTAGTCGGTTTTAAATATTTTTGTGTTGTTATATTCAATCGTGCGTAGGATTAGATAAGATGTAAGTCAGTGTTCATTTTGATCTTGGTTGAAAATGTCGCCTATGCTCAGACATCAATTACCACTGAATAACGCTTAATAAACTTAAAACAACTCCGTCAGTTCAGCACGATACTTTCTTAATCTTCAGGTCATAAGAAGGCTCTGAGTTGGAATTTTACATTTACATACTCATTAGACTTAAATTAATTAGATTTTGATTATAAGCATCTGTTGTTTTTCCTTAACTTCTGTGTACGTAAAGAGCAGTGGCTTTTTTTTATAGAGCGCGGCTAATGGTACTTTAGTAAACGGGGTACCGGTAATCACTTTGGAACAGTCAGGGGACTCCAGCAACGAAAGTACAGCAGTCGGAGAACAACAAGGTGATAACCAAGAAGACCCCCTTGCGACTACGTCCCCTCATTTTATTACTGTTACTGGTAAGTGTTACAAATGACGAAAGGAAATCTATGCACGATAACAATTAAGATTTAAAAATGGAGATTGAAAGTTTAGTGCGAAAAACTGTTAAATTGAAGTTACTAAATTTCACTTATAGCACTGTTAATTTGTAGAAAAATATGGATTAAATGTTGGCAAATAGTTGTATTCAGTTATTTTAGGAAACAACCGCAAAATTTAGTATTTTCAATAATATATATGCTTAAATTTCTTAGTAGGATATGACTACTCTTAATATTAACATTGAAGCATACACTTACAAGCTTAAATAAGGCAAATTTATGTAGACTTGCATGATAGGGCAACTGGTCACATTAGTTTCATTTTCCCAAACCACAGCAAAAGCACGTACCCAACCTAATACATGGAGGTCAATACCATAAATTAATTTGTGTCTGTAATTTCGCAAGCTCTAGTATTTTTTTCCATAGGAAAGGTCAAATTTCTTAATATTGCGCAAAAAAATATCGAGACAAAGAACATTTTTATCCTATGTTATCATTTGTAACTTAAGCAGTCATCCAAGTGATAAAATGTTTTTTTCCTAATAAAATATCTTTCAGCATAACTTTCTAATGCTTTAGGCATTGACATGTCATGTAAAAAGTAAGATCCCTATATTTTTAGGGGATTTTTTTAAATTATTATAGTTTTTGTAAACATGAATAAATAAACTTCATGGAAAAACTAAGTTAAAATGTAAGATCCGCTAAAATAATGTATATACAGTGTGTCCCAATTAAGAACTGTACATCCTCGTAAAATCTTTGTTTGTGGTTGGATTTTGATCATTTTTTTTGCGTGATAGGTCTCTGAAACATGCACTAAAACATTGTTTTGCTTATGGCTTCAACTTAAAATCATGGTAAACTGAGACTATTTAACAAAAGAGAGAGAAGAGAGAATTACTATTAGGGATTTAAAAAAAAATGAATCGCCACGCACTAAAGTCTTATGTTTGTTATTACATCAACCTGAAGTCGTTGCTAACTGGAACTAATTTCTTTAAGAATAAGGTGTCCACGAATTCTTAATCAGGACTACATAAAACCTAACTATACTAATTTCCATAAATTTCGAATATCGCGGGCGCCTCGCTTAAGCATTACTCCAGTAGAATGTTTGTTTATGGCTTAATTATTGACAATTCTTTTTTTGTTGGATAGACTTCACTGAAAGGCTCACTCAAAAATTAAATATGATTAGAGAGGATTAGATATGAACTAAAGAGACTTTACAACGCTGTATTTTTTTAATTAAAAAAGATTTTCAATTCTCATCTAATAATAAACAGAAATATCAAAATTGATTGACGTCCTTCCTTTCCTTAGTAAAACCAGCTCGCCATGGAGAAGCGAATATTCGACAGTCAAATTCACAATGATACAAAAAAATAAATGTCCCTTAAAAATTCTTTTGTATCATTATTTTTGGAATTTGTATAATTAAAATTTTTAATATCTTCAAATCCCATACAAAATAATCATTATTTACAAGGTTTACAATATCTATTTTTTTAAAACATTAAGAACTTTGGTTATTGGTCTAGTTACTTTTAGGTAGTCCTGTTGTCATTTTCAATCTTAAAAAATCTCTAAAAGTACTTCTCGATTTTTCGCTTCAAAAAATTGTCAGTTTAGCCATGATTTTAGTCGATGCTGTATGGAAAAACCCGTTTCATTTCTCTTTAGTAAGATCTATCCAGCAAACAAGATTTACCAAAATTAAGGCATAAACAAACATTCTACAGAAGTAATGCTTCGAGGCACGCGCGATATTTCGACCACCTTATATTCGAATTTCATGGAAATTAATATAGTTAGATTTTATGTGGTCCTGAATAAGAATTCGTTGACACTGTATTCTTAAAGAAATCCCTAATAGCCCTTCTCGATATTTGACATCAAAAATGAGCCCCGGTTAGTTTGATGTAATAAGAAACAAGGTTTAAGTGCGTTTTTGAGAGATCTATCCAACAACAAAAATTCAAAATCAAACCGTAATTAAAGATTTCACAGCGATGTTTGTATATGAATGTATGAATGTATTGAAACATTATGGAAATTGGTATAGTTGGGTTCTAAGTACTGCTTTGTCTTTTGTTAAAATCTCAATTGGCCATGACTTTAGAGACCCATCCAACAAAAAAATATATCAAAATCGAACCATAAACAAAGATTTTACAAGAGTCTATAGTTCTACATCTTTTTGGAGCAACAAAAACATGTTCAGCGAGGGTTGACTAACCCCAGAAACAAAAAAATCATTTTTAGAACTGATTTTAATGTTCTCAATACTCAATTCAGTATTCACCACAATTTGTTTTCAGTTTAATTTACTTAGCGATGTAAGGTGTAAGAAATGTTACATGTTAAAAGGCAGCTTTTCGTCATTCAATTTTCAAATTTAATTTCATCATCGATTGCTTGATGAAATCGTATGATAGTTTGTTTAAGTAAAGAGCGTCATCAAAAAACTAATCAAAACAATCAATTTTTTAAACTAAAGTATTATAATCATTAAAAATAATCAGAGTTATCTCAAAGACATATCGTTCTTTCCCGACTTTCGTTCCCCAAGATAACTTCCACTACCATCTACATAATCACTTTCCGGCAATCTATACGTTGATTCCATCCGATGCTCTGGGGGTATGACGCCCATTCCTTTTTTTACCCATATACACGGACGAATTGAAACAATTTCGTTGTTTTCAATATTTTGCGTCACCAAAAGATGGATTATAGAATTATAGAAAGACCATGGAAGGATGAAAGCAGGAATGATAATAAGGCGTCACAAATAATGAGCGTTGTGCAACCTCAAAACTCATAATCGTAATAACGAATTGTAAAAGTTGTAGGGAGAAATTAAGAAACATTTTGTTATACAACTTTTCAAAAACCCAGTAAATGGGTCGGATGTAAAATTAGAACCACACGCCCGGAACAGTACACTTTCCTCTTACAACTTCCCAATATTTGTATTTAGATTTTTATTTTTGTAAAAATTTTCTTGGTTGCAAGGATGCATTGTTTTCCTGCACTTCTATAAAAACACTTTTGGGTAATTACGAAAATTGTTACTGATATCATAGTTTATAAAAACAGTTGTCTTATTTCCTTATTGAGAAAGTATGGTGAAGTGGTGAAAATTTCACTTTACTTTCACTTATTCCACCTATCAGAGGATTGATTGATAAGTTGCAGGTGAAGCTACAAATGATTAGAAAAGAAGTTAAAATCTTATGCTCTAAAATTGATGGTCCGAAATTCTGATAGCATTTTTTGGTTGTTTTGGATTAACGACCTTTTTTATGTGTTTTTTTACAAAAGCTGCAAGCGATGGATTTGTCATTGCATAAACAATAATTTACAAACATTGCAATCAAGAGTTCCAGGAGTTTCAAAACAATGTTAAAAATAATATTTTTTTGTTTTAATGTTTTCTTATTATTCTAATGATATTATTTTTCTTATTTTAAGCTGGTCCTTTTTTGTTTAAATATAACTTTAGTATGAGAGTGAAGTTTGTGTTCCAACACTGAAGAATGCCGTAAATAAAATATTATTTGTGAGGGGTTGCTTTGTTATTGGCAGGATAGGTATGGTCTGCCGGAACATTCCTCACAAATTAATTGCGATCTTCAACTTATTGTCACTGGGTAAACATAACGACCGATAATTTATTCGTAGTTAAGGGGCAAGACAATAACCCGTTTTAGCGTGTACTTCGAAAAAACTTTTTACTAGTATATATAAAGTATTTTCTATTAGTGCCAATGTGATTTTATTACACCTAAATAAACATTATAGAATAATTAATCTTTATATTTTTGAAACGTCTTAAAAGTCCGTCCCTGATGCTCGGTCCTAGAATACCGACTGGTCAGGAGTTGTATTGCCTTCGGAACGTTATTTCGATACTTACCGTCAAAAGCCTAGACGATGTACTTTGAGACAGCCTAAACATGGACGTATCTATCGGCACCACGTTAATATTATAAAAGAATGTTGCTTATGTAGTTTTTACTTAGGGTTCAATGGAGGTTTTTTTTATAATGTATTAATTTTATAGAAAATTTTCTATTATTACGAAGTTTTTCAAACATTATAATTACCTCTATTTCATTTTTAAACGAATGCAATATAAATACAAAATCAAAAACATCTAAAAAAAAATTAAATTGATTAATCAAAACTAATATTATGAATAAATACTACTGAAACCGTGTGCCTTATTAACCTGTGTTGTGAAAATAAAAAGGCATGCTAGACATAAATATGTCGGACATATTCGCTGTGCATTCAGGGTGTCGGGCTAGAAAAATCTTCTATTGAATTTGTAAGCCACTAATGAAAAAGTGATTTAAAATGGTTCCTCTAACCACTTTCATACCTTCGATTATATAGGACCAACGATGTATTTAACTGTCTGGAAATTAAAATAAATAAGAACGGTCAGCAATAACATATTTCTACTCCCGTCTGTAAAATACCTAGTTACCCACCGATCTAGGGTGCGGAAAGCGTCACTTTACCACGTCAGTTTCGTTTCCCACAGATCCAGCAATCGGATGTTTTCGGATTTATTTTAACGTTTATCAATTCCGACAGTCATGTCAGTGAATGTATTTGTATTGTTTTGCGAAAATGTACCCAAAAACTAACGGTCGTAGAAAAAGTATAGTATGCTGCATGCAACACGTTCAGTAAACTTTTTAAGTCACTCTTTTATTTAACAATCGCTCCGCTCGTGTCAAATGCCGTTTACCGCACTTGTTGCATAATGTACTATTCTTAAATTAACCGATCGACCCCCCCCCCCAAATAATAAGCTACAAAATGTCCAAATATTTCAGTCTATTTATTTAGTTAATATGGAAACCAATTCAGAGGCCACATGGTCTGAATAGGTTTTTTGAAACAGTCGTTAAAGCAATAAAACGGACGCTCCAAGTTTTAACGTCATTTTCGAGCCAGGTTTTAAAAAAATATTGGATTAGCAAATTATTTTCTAATTTCATCTCACGTGAAATTTCCCATAAAAGGCAAATATACAAAACAACATTCATTCAACTTCATTCTCTTTAAATAATTGAAAACTCGACATCCTATCTTTGATTGTTTGATTATTTACTGTATTTAATATTAATATATACTAGTATTAAAAAATACGACCTAAGAACGAAAGTCCCCCATTAAATATTGCAATTATGTTCAAGGATGCGTCCCTTAAATTCTCCAATTTCTTTTGATGTTAACAACCGCCCTAATACTCAATTAACTACCTGCCTAGTTTTCCCTAATGTACGCCCTACGTATTAATTACATAACTCCCTCTGCCGCCATAAGAAGTCTTAATTTGACGTGATTGGGTCCAGATCTTCGTACGGATGCATTTCGCCCTCCTCTTTAGTCACCCCTACTTGTTCCGATGTTACAATAGGCGAAATCACGTACACCTGATCGGTCACATGTTTGACACACGTCACCTGAGTGTATCAGATTATCGCTTCCTCTCGGATGTCAAATTGAGTATCGTGTTACAGAGTGTCTTAAAAAAATTGAATTGCGAATCGGAAGTATGGACGTCAATTCGATTAAACCTTAACGTATTTATTTATTTGCTATCGTTATCGCATAACTATTTTAAAACATTAAAACATTAAACAAGTATACACTGAAAAGATTTTAAATTATGTAACAAGTTAGATAAACGCCAATGTAGTCAAGCGAGAGAGTTCTTAATAAACATATCATCAAAGAGGTTCAGTAATGGTAAACGGCATTTGGCACGAGTGGAGGTCAGCGGCGCGAGTGTTTAGTATATTTAGTGTTGCATAATATCCTTTTTTACGACCATTATTTTTTGGTACATTTTTGCAGAACAGCACGAATACGTTCACTAGAAGATGTGTTACGTGACCATCAAAACTGAGAAATTTCAAAATACCAGCGACTAAAATCGTCAAAGTACCGGAAACGGTTAACATGCCCAATTTTGGAGTAGGGAGTAGAAAAACAATTTTAAATTAAAAGAATTCATTAGTTTTATGGCATTCCGGTCTTAGTATTTGCCCCTCCTCTATTGCAAATAAACTACAATTATACGCTTCCTGACGGAACACTGCCATTAACGATCGCTTTCCATAACAAGATTCCTTCTTATAATCCTATGACCATTATGATATATGCTACCTGGTAAGCAAAACTAAATCTCCCTGGACCAAAAGAAGTCATACTTTACACAAAAATTATAACTCGACTTATTTGTACACGATCCTGATATGTACTTAATTGTCATTTGCTTTTTGCCAAACTGTTAAAGAAAAAAATCCAAAATTTTAATGTGAATATTCGAAAATGTTTTCGTCACTGTATGTTTGTACCTTCACGTGACTCATACCTATCGAATATCTCTTTATAATTCTTTATTTTGGGGGAACTTTGGGGCGGTGGTAGTAGTTGATATTGTGATTGAATTACTTCCACCTGAATTGACTTTTACCTCTGAACGTGCTCATCTCCGAGCTTTGATACAGTGCGGTGCGGGAAGTTTGACCGGAAAAATGTTTTGAGAACTGGTGGCGCGGCGTTAGTTTTAAACATGTTTTGTCATAGGAAACATGTCATACACAATCATGATATGGTTTTCCAAGGTAACTCTCCAAGCTGTTTTTTTTTAAATTTTATTCTCACTCTTGCCTTAGTTGTCTAGCTATAGTATTTTCTCCGAAGATGAAAACAATAATCAGTTTGAATTTAATTAAGTACGACAATACTTGTCAGAGAAAAGTGCCCTCACTCCGTAATAAAAGGAAAACCACGTCCACAAAATTTGACTGCATTTATTTATTTGTTGAATCTAAAGCGTTTTAGTCTTATTATATTATGTTATTTTGACAGAAAGCCACCAGAGGAGAATTTTCTAATATTTCCTATTTTTGTTTTTTTCGCTTTTGTGGAAATAGAGCATATTTATTAAATAAATTTTTATGGATTAGAAAAGTTGGCTTGTTTCTTGTGACAAGCACTATTGTAAAATGTTCTCGTATAGAACAAGAAGAAAAATTTAAAAAAATACGAATATTGGTCGTCTAGTGGGCCGTTCAATTTTAAGTACAGTCCGTTATTGTACAATAAAGTTTAGATTTAGCCTCGTGGTCGTAAAACCGTACTCCTTAAGTCAATCCAACCAGATTAACCCTACTTGAACGCTTTGGTAAGAAGTACTTAACTTAACTTCAGATTCCATTTTGCGTGTTTAAATCCCTTTTGTAGTAAATTCTTTGAATTAATCTTTCATCAGCTTTTTTGATATTTATAAATTTGTGAATTTAAGTTGGTCATTTTGTTGGCCTAATAGCAAACGTGCGTACAAATTTGTATATTTTGACAAAACCTAGTATACTACTAGAAAAAAATTATATCTGAAGACTGTATTTTTGATTTTAGAACATGCAGAACTTTTTATAAAGATAGTTTTTTTTTTCTAAAATTCGCAATAAATAAGTTTCTCATATGGTTCCAATTTACTAAGACATATTGTATACTATATTACTACACTATACCGATCGATGAACAGTACAGTATGTACAGTATATGGATGTCTGAAAAAAAAAAAACTTGAACATGTAATAATAGAAACACTCCAATTTCCAATCATTTATGTTGTGTGGCCAACACAGACAAATTACACTGGTGTGCAAGTACAATTTTTATATTTGTTAACAAGTTAATTTTAGTCACTACTTACTCTAGCTTACTCTTCATATTCTAAAATATTTTCCACAATCTTACTTTAGTATTAGAATATTTTACCGCAAGTTTTGATGATGAAGAATTTACGAAATATAGTACTTTGTATTACTTACTTGGTCACCCTGAACAACCCTTCTAAATTGTGCTAAATAAACGTTTCTGGCTCCTACCAGAGACGGAAGTACGACAGGGACATTTGGCTGATGTCAGAATCGATTGCATTCTACGTAAATTTTTCTAATTTTTTTAGGATACATTTCACAAAAAAATAGCTTAGGTTTGCGAAACGCTCCTAATTGCAATCAGGATGCGTCAATCTGTATAAATTAAAATTATTTGAGCAACTTAAGTTATATTTGTTAGAAACAATTTAAAAATTAAGTATCACCATTCATACTTCTCATCCCGTGGTATGGTTTTAAGGAATAAATAATATATTTTTAAATAATTATTAATTTGTTTGTTAATGTAGAGCGCAATTAAAATGTCCATGTTTCTTTTCAGTTGCCGACGGAGAAGCTGTGGCTTCGCACCAAGGTTACCATATCCAATATGTTGAACCGGAAATTTACGCTTCACAAACGAATGGTGGCCCGACACAGATGTAAGTTTTATGTGACGATATTAATCGAGAAACATTTTTTTTTAATAATGTGTTGTTTTAATTGACCACTTATTTGGCAACTGCAATTTGTTTTTTAAAAAATATTCGCTAAAAAACGTAGTTCCCATGGACACAACTTCAGTATGTCATAAACTTTTGCCATTAATTTCACTTAATCATCGTTTAGTTTTACTTTATATTCAGTGAATGTGACGCACAAATTTATTGGTAAGTTGAGTTGCGTTTGCTTGTTGCCAAAGCAATTGAAACATTTGACAACCCAGCAAAAAAAATGGTGATGTAGCTTTTGCACTTAATTAACCTTACGGGAATCAAAAAATGCGTCACTCAGGTGGTAAATAACAGAAGTTTTTATCATCTACATGATAAAGTTCCATGTGTTTTATAACGGAAAATTTATGAATAGTCTTGGTTAGTTGAAGCAATGAACTAACATTATATCTAAAGAAGAGCAGAGGTTCTTGATAAAAACACCTATAAACCTATATAAATAAAGGTTTCATTCAAAAGCATGAACTACGAATGGTAATCTACTCGTTTCTGCAACCTTTACAAACACAAATTAAAATATCCTGAAACTATTGTCCTGTTTTTCTATAAGCATCTATTTAATAAGTTTAAAAATAAATAATGACTTTTGGGAGAAAATTATTACGTAGTAACTATTGGTAATTTGAAGCTGTAGTAATTGTTAATAATAATTAATGAATTTCAAGAGGAGCATATTCATGGGTTGTAAATTAACTAAACTACTTGATCTTTATTCTTACTAAATAAACTATAACTTTCAGTGATAGCCTGCTATGCTAGAAAAATATAACAAGCAGGATGTTTCAAAAAACGCTTTAATATAATATTTTTAAAATTATTTTTGAAACGGTTAATATACTTTATACCACAACTACATTTAATCGGGTCATAAAGTCTACTGCTGACAAAATTTAAGTTCAAAATTCACAATACTATTAGTTCATTAGTGATGATACAAAATACACTAAAAATAACTCTAAAACGAATATTGTTTTTCACTTTAAGCAAGTAACAAAATATTAAAAGTTTGTTTGCAAAATTTAGGTATTTTAAAGCATTTCAGAAATAATACTATAAAAGCGATTTTTTATTTTTTCGGACACATTTTTATTAACTAAACTAACGTTATTTCTATTTACCCTAAAAATTGTGTGTTTTTGGAAATATAGTGGCCGTAACTGATGCGTTTCGCCAATGTTATTTCACACACTTTATGCCATTTTCATTCTTTGCAATTAACTATGACTACACCCGTAACTCGTCTTTCTCTAAACACATATCAATATCTGATCATATCTTGAGAAAATACTTCTCGTTATTGAACGTGTGCGTATTGCCCTTCTCAACATTTATTTCATGGTGGCTTTAAGAGTTCCTGTATTATTCTCATAGCCCATTATGAGGGGGGAGAGGGGTATGAATAAAATAAAATAAATTATTTGATTGATTTGATTGTGCGGATCTGGAGTAAAGCTCCACCTCCATTTTAAACATAAAATATCTGGCCGCGAACAAACAAATTGGCGTTATAAAACGTTTTTGGGAAGCAAGAAACTGATGGTCCTCGTTGTCTACGTTTTGCATAGTAATCCTCACAATTGTGCCACAATTAGTAACTATATCCGAGCGCTAATGGGCCCACAATTTGCGTCGAATTAAAGATCCCTTAATACTTGATTTCTCCCAACAATTAATTTCATTTGGAAAGGGGTTACGAAAATCCCAAAAACAACAAATTTATTTATTTATTTATTTATTTATGAAATATTTTAGAGTTATGGGATCTCCACGCACGTTCGTCATTATAATTTGATTGGCACTCTAAGTTTCCACTTCAAGATTTTTTGATACTCAATTTCTCCCAAAGGGTTAAAAGATGGGGTTAGGAAGATCCGAATGTTATCAAATTTATTTGTTGCGTAGAATTTCATATTGAAATTATATGCAGTTAAACAAACCAAGGTACTACAACGTTTAGGTACTAACGGCCACACTGCATGTCTGTCGGTATAATTTGATCCCTTTAGCGAAGAAATCCGCTATTAATAACGGATTTTATCTGACATTTACCATCTTACAATAATAAATATTTTATTTCAGGGCGTATCCCGTTTATGCAGTGGGCGATTCTGCAGCTACTCTTTACCCCATAACAAACACTGGCCAAGCCCAGGGTCAGTATTACGCCACAGCAAACCCCAACAGTTCAGGAAATACCACCACCGGCACCACCGTTGGTTATACAACTGCCGGAGGTCAATACGTCGTCCATCATGCCGTCGACGCCGAGACGCTCATACCTGCAACTAGACTGTCACCTCAAACTGCCAATGCCGTAAGTTTTTACTGAAAAGTAGATGTTTAGCATAGGTGTAGACATCAAATCATACCGGGGACTAAAAAAAAATTCGATGGCCTGGATGGTTAAAGATAAGCCTTTAAAAATTGAGTTGACTGTATCGGAGATTATGATATCAATTTTTAAAATATTTGGGATATTGGATAGTTGCCGCATCTCCTGGAGCCAGACACCAACTTAATTTTTTTAGATTGTATGAAAAGCTCTAATATATTAAAGCTCTTTTTAGCTGTATATCAGATTAAAATTCATTTTTAGAGAATTATGTATCTTTTAACAGTTTTAGATGGCAATCTAAAATTTTGTTTACGGCTTGTATCATAATATTTAAAATATCGCATACAGAGTGTTTACAAATTTATGCACCTTTTGCAAAAATATACTGTATATTACTGGAATTTTATTACGACAATCAAAAAGAAGGATTCATTTATGATCTATAAATATTATAGCATTATCACCATGGCATACTGCTTAAATTTCATTATTCTAGTCTTTTTGCTTTTAACCCCAAAAGGGTTCAAAATAGGTATGGTATGTGTTAATACTGTTAAATCGAGAATAAATTCCTCTATACTATTTACAAATCTTCTGGATGTTTGCCAATCATCCTCTTGGTTTCTTCAGACTGTAACTGAAACTGACTCGCAGGCTCAAAGAACATGAAAGAGCTAAAGACTGAAAGACTACTGCAAATAAGCAGCAGTTGAAAAATCCAAGAATCTATAGAAATCTATAACCAACCAAACAATCTTAACCGCGATTCAGGTCTTTCACCAATATGGCAATGTTTATACCTCCCTTCAAAGAATATATAAGCAACTACAAAGTAGAATGCGAGCCAGTTTCAGTTACGTTCTGAAGAAGCCAATAGGACCATTGGCGAAACGTCAGCATTGTCAAGCCGGAAAAATAAAATTTCAGATTTTGACCTAAAATGGTTGAAAAATAGTGAATTATTTCCATGATCGATGTTTTTCGTTAAATATTCTAAGAAACTACAACATATGTTGCATAGAAAGTTTCATAATTTAAAAAATATATATATCGTAGCCTCCTATGGCGGCCGCAGTCCAATTTTTAAATGCCTATCTTTCTCCGTTCTCCATATACTTCTAAAGCGCATCGCGTTTAGGGAACCCTGTATCAACATTAGGAAAGAAATTTTAAATATTATGTTACCAAAAAGAATGATTTTAATGGTATAATGATTCATCCTCCCTCCCGTCCCAGATATAAAAAAAAGTAGTAGTAATAGTCATAGTCATCAGCACTATGACGGTTTGCCAATGACACTGTTATTTTTGTTAACTTTAATGACTAACGAAAAGTTCTTTATGTGAGGATTAAACCTTATCATTTCTATGTGGCAAAGGTTGTTCCACAATCGTATTTTGTCCAAGAATGAATTTTGCTTTTTAAATATCCACGATCCATGTTCCATGCCAACTAACTCCGTAATCAACTATAATTTACTTGTTAAGTCCGATTAGAAATTTCCGTTGGTTTCTTTCGTGCGATAATATTTTAATGATGCTCTTGGAAAAACCCTCCCCTACCTAATAAACCTGGTTTTTTCAAATTTCCAATTTTCAAATTTTAGTTTATTTCATGTATTTGGTTTGGACTTAATGGTTGCACCAAAACTACTTGTGTCATGGACAAGAGCCGACCATAACCAAACAAATGACAGAAGGTCGATAAAATTAGTTATGTAATTGTTGTATTTAATTTATTATGCTCTAAATAAAACACGTAATAATAATTAAGATCAAAAGTTTATACAGAAATTCTCAAATAAAATAACCTCAGTAATACAGTACTGTTAATATTAAGAGTTTATTTACATTTCGCTGTCACTATTATCAACATTTATTAAATCGTTTGAATTACATCATGGTCCAGAGTATCAAACAAGAATTTTTTATGATTTCCACATGACAGACTGAATTTTTTCAATTATCTGTGGAAATAGGGCATTGGGACATTTTCTTATTAATTCTACAATAAAAGTCGGTCAAGCATTTTCAGGTCTAACAGTTGCCTTTAATTGACTAAAAATGCAACAGAAGGGTGAGAATCTGTGTAATGGTTAATTTTGTGCGTGACCAGATTTAGCAGTATGATATAATTAGCTTCAAATATTCTAACAAAAATTGCGAAGTTACGGGATTTTGGTCCAATTAACTTTTTGACCACAACCTCGGTCAAAATCAAATGAAAATACTATTAAAATCAAAAAATCTACTCTCACGTTCAATTAATCAATGAATCGTTCTTTGGAACGTGTTCCGGGTGGTACTTTATAACATTATTTTTGACGTCTTAAACTCTGAACTCTAAGTTGTTGGATGGATTTTGCACTTTATTAAAAACAGCTTTTCTTGTTATTGACTTAGGTTAAATGAAAACAAATTGAGTTTAAATATTATGTTATCAAAAAATGTAATTGCCAAATAATACTTTTAAAATTATTTTTATTATTGAGATTCATCTTTTCACCTCGGAGGAGTGGAGCCGGATGTACCACCTATCCCAGATTAGAGAAGTAATAGTTAATAACCTCGATATCAAAATAATATAATATATACACTGAACAATATACTAAAAACTATCATTACACGGGTCAGTGGATCATCACTACTTCTTCACACAGTCTGCCAGTGATATATTAGAATTCGTATTAACTTTAAAAATATGTTAATAAAATTCATTCAGCACGGAGTACTGTTGCATTGTCGTTTCTATGTGATAGATGTTGTTCCACAATCGAGTTTTGTCTAGTACAAGTGTTGGTTAGTGTTATCTTTCCTAGCATTACCGAAAGCAGGTCCCTCTATGCAGTTAGTAAACGCAATTGGTAGTTGCGTCATTAGTTTAGGATTTAAAGCACCACCCCTTGGATTAGATTAGTTTCCATACTGGGGGCACCACATCTTGTAAAATGTCACTTCAAAATATTCAATTCAGTATTCAAATTGTTTCTGTTTCCGCACTCTACGGTCTCACTCTCCCCCCCTCCCTTCAATAATCGCCTTCGCGCGATGGTTTATTGGAAACCAGACAGGGCCATTCGGTTCGCTAGTCACGATATTACTCTTAATTCTCATTTTTCTTCTTTTGTGTTTTGCGTGTAAGATATCCAGTCAATTTTCTTATTTTAGGTTATATCCCCACAGTTTGCTGTATGAAAATATACATGTCGTCGCTGTTGCCAATATTAGCGATTGTAATGTAAATAAACCAAAAGGTCCCAAATCTAGAATTTGAGAATACTACACAACTAACAAACGATATAAACAAACTAATATCCCACTTTAGCATAATAAAGAAAATTCAATCGGCATATGTCCAGGTTTTACGGCCAAGAGTATCAGGCCTTCCCTATTGCAACCAAGAAATCAATGAATATTTCTAAAACTGACTTAACATAACTTAATCCCTTTCCTAACTAATCCATGGCGAACAGGAAGGAACTTACGTCACTACCACAGCCGGTCAGTCCCAGGTAGTGGCAGTAGCGAGCAACGAAGAAGTTGGATCTCCACTCGGGCACGCAACTCGTGTGTCCCCCGCGACAGTAAGTCACGCTGTTGCGTTATTTTTGTCCCATCGCCGTTTTTGTTTTATTTATTTTTTTCGTTTGGCACCGCTTATTTTTTTTTCTTGCAATTTTGCTTTGTAGATTATCTATAATGCGTCCGTCCACCAAAGGAGAACCTTACACTTTATATTCGAACGGGTTCTGTAGAGATTCTAGTGGAATTCACGGATGATGCGTCACTTATTGTTTAATAACTTTTTTTTTTTTTAGTGTGCACCTCTTAATACTATATGTTGTCGATTGATCTAGATATTCCAGGTTGTGGGAGCATTTTAATAAACAAGCAAAATACATTCCAAAACCATTACTGGTTCAGATTTTTAAAATGCAAAGCTGATATGCTAAACATAATTGTCGGTTAATAGCATCACACTCAATGTCATAAACAACATACAAAATGTTTTAAAATTGTTTAATAGTTTCTGATAGTTATCCGGATTTTGCTAGAGACCCGCCGCCTAGTCAAAAATTGATTGAATTAATTGCCTAGAAACCCAATAATGCTCATGAGGTTCGCCATTACCTTTGTAGTTTTTATTTTTTGGTTAGACACTGCTCCAATTTATAAAACACGTTACTTATTTACTTGTTTAGTCTTTCTTCCTTAATGTTTATTTAAAGGTTCAATGGCTCCTAGAAAATTATGAAACTGCCGAAGGTGTGTCTTTGCCCAGATCAACTCTGTATGCCCATTACTTGAGACACTGTTCGGAAAATAAACTAGAACCAGTTAACGCGGCTTCTTTTGGAAAGTTGATTAGATCTGTCTTTTTGGGCTTGCGTACAAGACGCTTAGGCACCAGGTGATTAAATTTAATGGGAATGAAAAAAAAAAATTAAACCATGTTATTTTTTTAGGGGCAATTCCAAGTATCATTATTACGGCATTCGCGTAAAACCGGGTTCCTCTTTAATGAACATTGAAGACTCAACCAGCAGAGTCATTTTGACGACCAACAACTCTACGGGAAAAGCACAGGGAACTGTTCGCCCATTTAAACGTAATTCAGACTCTTCGGATACCCAATCCACCAACGGCGCTTTGTCACAACACATTACTTATCTGGGGGATGGAAGCAACTCGATTCCAGCTTTCCCAGATATCCACTTTAATGAGCCTTTGCCAGACGATTGTGGATACGAAGACGTCGATACTTTAAAGTAAATCAATCCTATTAGAAATGTTATTTGAATATATGTAATATTTTCAATATTGTTTTCATCTGGTTCTTATTTGCTGCATAAGTAAGCCCTTAAGATTAAAGTTAACTTTAAAATGAGTGCTTTTAGGAAGGAAATTTAATGCCGAAATTTAGTTTTACTGAATGCCTTTTTTCTAGATCTATATATAGGGAGCATTTAGAAGCATTTTTGGATGCGATACTAGGTTTGGAGTTTAATACGGTTGAATCCTTGTGGAGGGAATTTTGGCGCTCACAATATAATAACAACAGCGACGAATGTGAAGAAGAGAAATACCTCTCAAAGTAAGTATTTTTATCCCAAGCAGCATCTGATGTTTTCTAATGCCGCTTTTGTTGCCAGATCAAAATTGTTTTCTTTGTGTTCGCTTGAGCCAGTTCAACAGTTTATGAAACAGGTCGATTTGGTTTTTTACCAAAATCTCATACAGGTGTTGGTGCCGGATGTACTCAAACCAATACCTGCCACTTTAACACAGTCTATAAGGAATTTTGCCAAAAGTAAGTCTTACGATTTCATAAAGTATATATTACCAATAATATATGTATATAATATATTACTGCAATATACACAGTTAGTAACAAATAGGTCAATTCGTTAACCATATACAGCGTGTTTCCTAATTGACATATTATAATTTGAGCGAATTTGGGTAGCATCCTGATATTGAATCAACATTTGCTTCGATTGATTTAGAATTTATAACACGTAACTCTATCCTGCCCGACAAAACTACTATGGTCCCGGCCGATCATCTTTTTCAGACCGACAACCGTGGTACCCAGCAAACAATCCAATGTTACCCAATGATCATGTTAACGGTTAGTACTACATTGTCAGAAACTTGGAATATGAATTAGTAATAAGCAGCTTCAAATCATTAATATAGACTAGTTTGGTTTGAACATTTATAAAATGACACAAATTTTAGGTGCAAAATTAAAGAAACTTTTAATTAATAACTTGACTGGATTAATACACATATTTGAGTTATCACTACTGTTAAGATGTTAAGTTCAGTCATGCAGGAACGTGACGTTACATTGTAGCATTTTTGATTAACAATATAATATATAAACATAATGTCTCTATGATAATGGAACAACTTTGGTTTTATTAAGCCATGCTAAGTAAGTAGGTGTTCGAAAATTGTAAAATCTAGCAACCCACAGACTAAGAGGAAATAATAACAAAGTGGATATAGTATTAAAAACTGAAATTGAAACTGTTAATGATCCGTGGTAAGCTCTTGAGGTTAAAACTGGTGATGTTAATAGAATAAGTGATTTTAAAATAGGCAAGTAGTAGAACTGAAAGAAAAGGAGCTATTATGGTCATTTCACCTTCTTAGAATATTTGTATTGATAAGTAATTGTGGTGTTAGTAGATGTAGAGGTATTTTTTCATATTTAAACCTATTAAACTAACAATATTAAATTGTATGATGTCAATTTAATAACACTTTGACACTCTTTATGTTATACGAGGGCTGCCTTTAAATTTGGGGATTTTCTTAAACTAGTCTGGCCATCTGGCGACTAACATTTTTATAGGGAAGTTTGACATTTTGAGGTTAGGTTTACTCAGGTTTTGGCGAAAGAGTGTTGTTTGTGTTATTTGTGATAAATTAAAAAAATTGTGACGGTTAAAAATGGAACTTAATCGGGAGCATTTTCGTGCAATAATTTTTTACAGCCTTTTACGTGGACTAACTCAACAATAATGCATTGATGAACTTAATTCTACTTTTGGAGTTAAAGCACCATCTAGGTCTGCTGTTCGTCCAAAATCGGTGATTGTCCAAGAAAACATTGATGCAGTCCGGAAACTGATTTTGCAGGATCGTCATGTAACTTACCATGAGGTTAAAGTATTATTGAGCATTAGTGAACATACAATTGTTTACGTTGGATTCCACACAATTTGACATCAGCTCAAAAAATGCATAGTGTTGATTGGTCGAAGTAAATGCTAAAAAAATACGATCCCGGTGCTTCCAAACACGTCTATGATATCGTGACAGGTGATGATGCATATGAACCTAAAAGTAAGCGGCAGTCGACTGTGTGGGTCTTTCAGAACGATACAAAGCCCACAAAAGTTGTTCGTGCGCGATGAACCTCGAAACAAATGGTAACCTGTTTTTTCGGGAAAACGGGCCACATTGCAACTGTTTCTTTAATTAAGTTAAAAAGTTTACTGAACGTGTTGCATACTATGCTTTTTCTACGACCTTTAGTTTCTGGGTACATTTTCGTAAAACAACACGAATACATTCCGCAGTCCGAATACATTCACTGACATGACCGCCAGAATTGACAAATGTCAAAATTCAAAGCGTGGGAAATATTCCCGAAAACATCCGATTGCTCCCAAATCCGTGCGGTAAAATCCCGGAAATCTCCGAAGTGGCTCTTATTCGTTAGAAAAGAAAACTGACGCTTCCCGCACGCTAGATCGGTGTGTAATTAGGTATTTTACAGACGGGAGTAGAAAAAAACGTTGTTTGATGAGGCATCCACCATATAGTCCTGATTTAGACTTCGTTTAGAATTCATTACGAATAAATTACGTGGGCCACGATTTTTGACACCGGAAGAAGCGATTGATGCGTTTAAAAAGCATGTTTTGGAGATGTCCGAATCGATGTGAGAAAAGTGCTTTGATGATTGGTGTATTGATCATCAGGGTGAATATTTTGAGAAACAGTATCTTATCTTTTTTTAGTAGAACTCCCGAAGTATAAAAGGTAGCCCTCATATTCTCTCACACCGCTCATATTCGACTTAGTCTTTATCTTCTTTCACGAGATAACGTGATAGAAATACTTTTCTTCGCTATTCACTGCTGCTTTTGAGTTTAAATTACACTCTTTTGCAGATTTGGAAAGCTGGCTAACTAGCGCAATGGCCGGTGCCCCAGCACCAATGCTTCAAATTAAGCTGACTGCCGTGTCCGCTTTTAGTTCCAGCCTTCGAAGGTATACTTCCCTAAATCATTTAGCACAAGCGGCGCGTGCCGTTTTGCATAACGGAAATCAAATCGGACAGATGTTGGCCGATCTGAATCGTGTCGATTTTCATAGTGTCAGAGAGCAAGCCTCGTGGGTAAGCCTTTTTTTACTTTGCATTTAAAATGCAAAGTAAAAAGCATATTTTTGTAGGTTCAATTGACGCTTTATTTACACTTTATTGTTTGCTTATTCAAATGACATACCAAAACACCATATTATTAATAATAATAATAATAAGTCCGGACTTGCCTTTAGTGGTGAGATCACAAAAAGTGATTAATATTTTTAACAAAAATAGAAAAGATAAATGGGGATACTATTTTTAAATGACATATTAGTATAAATAAATACCAAACTTCAAACATAAGAACAAGTTGTGTTGGCATTTAACTATTATTTTTGATTGTGATCCAGCGTGGAGATCACTTGTCTTCTGTTGGTGTACGAAATTCAGTCACTTTATGAGGGTAAATGTTCTTCAGGCTTTCAAATTTCAGGTTGTTGATGATTGGTTTTAAGAATTATTACCGCCGGGCATCAGCAAACGTCCTTCTGATTTTTAAGCTCCAAAATGTCAACCCTTAGATTTAATTATCTCATCTTTCCTATCATAACAAATACATATCTTACAGTTTTAGAGGAGCATAGAGGCGAGTCATGTTACTTCTTGGACAGTTTCATCAATCTCTAAACGAGTAATCGTAGCCAATGTAGACGAACTTTTTCTAGTCCCCAAGCGTTAACTGTGTTTCTTATCGATTGGTATAGCCAACGTCGACTGTGGTCTGGTCTGGTCTGGTCTGCACACCTCTCTCTAGAAGGTGTGCATTTTCGTTACTCCCCAGAAGAATCATTGATGCGCTTTGCACGTTTGATTTTTTTATCAGTAAACAGTAATCGCACTTCATTTTATGATAGGTTTTAAGTATAAATAAAATGTAAACCAACAAATATATGCATAGCAAATATAGACATTCACCAAACAAATATTAGTATAAATATGCACACATAAAATAAAAAATATATTTAATTAACACATTTTAAAATTAACATTTAGTATACATATGTACTACAGAGGTGAGTCGTCGATATAGAATTCATCTACTGCATTTAGCTATTAAAAGTGATTTTAGTTTTTTTTTTTAACAGTGGTTATTTAAGTTTTTCATCCTGTAAGCTCTTGTCGATCTTTGCAATTTAAATAATTATAATAAATACATTTATTGCTTTGCCAAACATACATATTATTAAAGGCCTAATAAAACGCAGACATACGAACAAGAAAAAAATTATCAAATAAACATAATTAAATATGTTACGCAGAGTTTATATACATCAATCATTAAACATAGTTTTCAATAAAGAGAGAAGTCGCAAGACAAAGGAGAAAGAGGGGGTAAAGGCAAACAGCAGAGTGATTTTTCGATACAGTTAAATAAAATATTGTTAAATTGAAAAGACTTCAATTATTTATTGTAAGTGCAATACTATAAGACAATGATCTTTTATTAAACATTAATTTTCGATATTGTGGTATTGTCAATATAAATTTTTTTCTTAGATTCAAGTCATAAACATCAGTATGAGAAGTGATTTTCTTAAAAATATATTTGGGAGATTTATACTTAATTTAAAATAAAATGTAGCACGGTGCAACCTAAGCTAACCCCAAACCGCCAAGTATGGTATGGATGTGGTACACCTCATTCCAACGGAGAGTGGTTCGGAATACACATTGTCGCAGAACACCTGTTGAACACTATCGGATAAAAACGAATTTAAAAACACGCACGCACCTTCACTAAACCCGATGTAGTGTAAAATTGAAATAAGCAATTTATGATTGATCATCGTTGATATCGATCAAAACACTCTCACAACTACAATATTTTCTAAACCCCGATTGTTTTGTAGGTAATACATCAAGAATTTTCTTATTTGCCTATCAATTATTTTTTCTAAAACTTTTGAAATAGTGGGAAGGATGGTAATTGACCCCACTTCTGTGGGGTTCTTTACTCTAGGAAGTAGTGTGACCTTTGCATGCTTCGAAGATTTTAGAAAATAAGAGTTCAATATACATTCGTTTATGACATGTGTAATAAAAGGGATGATAAAAAGGCAGATCAAAAAATAGCCAAAGGATGTATTCCCCTATATATACCCTATAATTCAATGAATTATAGGGTAATGGTTGATTAAGAGCAGTACTAGTTAATTTATTCATACAAAAGCCATTTTGGTTTTTTGAGAGGAACTGAAATTTTTTCAAATAATTATTTAAACGCGAGTTGTAACAAAATTTAAAAACTTTACCAAACTGACAATGTAAAGATAGTGGTCTATAATTTTTAGGATTGGTTCTCTCACCGCGAACACGGATTAGGTCTTATTTAAGGTATTTTCAACTGTGTTGCCAAAATATGCTATCGATTTATTGAATCCGATTAAATTTCTATCATTTTTTGTTTGTCCCGCTAAATTGTTGTTTTTTTTATCGGTGTACACAATTTTCAACAGGTTTGTCAGTGTGACAATGAAATCGTCTCTCGCTTCGAAAACGACTTCAAATTGACGCTTCAACAACAGAATTCTTTAGAGCAATGGGCGTCTTGGCTAAAGAATGTTGTCAAAAGCGCGTTGAAGCCGTACGAAGGACGACCGAGCTTTTCAAAAGCCGCTCGGCAATTCCTTTTAAAATGGAGTTTCTACAGGTAAGTAAAAATACTTTCTTTTAAAACTGAGTGAGCAAAAACTTGTCATTTTCCAGTTCCATGGTGATTCGAGATTTGACGCTTAGATCTGCGGCCAGCTTTGGATCATTTCATCTTATCCGTTTATTGTATGATGAATACATGTTTTATTTAATTGAGCATCAAGTTGCGGAAGCGACGGGGGTCGTCCCGATTGCTGTTATACTTGAAGGCATCGTAAGTAATTCATAATATTTTGATTGCTATATATATATATATATATATATATATATATATATATATATATATATATATATATATATATATATATATATATATATATATATATATATATATATATATATATATATGTATATATATATATATATATATAAATTTATTATAAAAAGACATATCAAAAAATAGTCAAAGGATGTATTCCCCTATATATGCCCTATAATTCAATGAATTATAGGGTAATGGTTGATTAAGAGCAGTACTAGTTAATTTATTCATACAAAAGCCATTTTGGTTTTATATATATATATATATATATATATATATATATATATATATATATATATATATATATATATATATATATATATATATATATATATATATGATGACACTATATTCCGGGATATCATCCGTTCGCTCGTTGAACTCCGACTGGAATCCTGCATCCGACTGGAATCCTGCAAATCTTGCATCCGACTGGAATCCTGCAGACGTTTCGCCAAAATCTCACTTGGCATCTTCAATGCTCGCGTTCCGAAAACACTTCGAACACTCGCGAACGCGAGCATTGAAGATGCCAAGTGAGATTTTGGCGAAACGTCTGCAGGATTCCAGTCGGATGCAAGATTTGCAGGATTCCAGTCGGATGCAGGATTCCAGTCGGAGTTCAACGAGCGAACGGATGATATCCCGGAATATAGTGTCATCACATTTTTCCATCCGTGAATCAATACGTGAGAATATATATATATATATATATATATATATATATATATATATATATATATATATATATATATATATATATATATATATATATATATATATATATATATATATATATATATATATTCTATAAAATTCATTTCAGTGGAATATATGTTTTGTTTCACTGAAGCATTGCGAAATGCTTATACGTGACACACCAATAATAAACCAAACCAATAATAATTACAATAATAACAACGAGGCAAAGAATCTGCTTGTTAAATTTATAGTAATATAATATCTACTCATACATGTAAGCAAAAATAAAAATAAAACGAGGATAAAAGCAATAACTCACTAGGCATGTGAATATGGATTGATGGTGGATTTAGGTAAAAAAAACTATGTTTGATAAATATAATTCAAGTCTTATTTGCCTTTGATATTTTAAGTTACTGAGGTCATCAAAAAGTCGTCCGCCCGTCTGAAACATCCATATTTTGACATCTTCTTTAAATTTCGTAAAGATAGTTTATTCTCTTATATGTGCTGGTAGCATGTTATATAACCTAGGTGCGAAATACGTATATGATCGTTGTCCGTGTGTTTTTGTTCTAACTGTGATGATAAGTGTGATTATCATTAAGAACAAGAATTTTTCCTTTTTGGATGTTTTTTAATATACTAAAGCAGTATAACTGACGTATATCGAGAATTTCATTCATGTGTATGTATATATATGTATATGTAAATTTTTTTATTTGAAAATTTGCGTTGAAAAGTTTGCATGCGATAACAAATTGATATATTTTATCAGAAACAAGACATCATGCAGAACAGCCTAAGCATCTACGGCAACAATGAAATTTGCAATGGATCCTCTGTTCCGAGTGGCAAGATGGGTTGTGTTAGTCCGACAGAAATGATGTCAAAACGTCAGAAAATCAGTTAGCCTGGTAATATTCAGTTATTCGTTGTAGTTTGAATTCTGGTCCATCAATTTGACTGAGTTTTTCTCTTTTTAGTTGTTATTACTTCTTTATTTTGTTGTTATTTAAAGTTTTATTTAATTGTAAAATGTAAATATTAATTTAATAAATATTGGGTTGTTTGACACAAAGAACTGAATTTAGTGTACCATTTTAAGCAGATATGTTTTTCATTTCTCAAATTTGTAGATGTTAATTTGTACAGGGTGGATTTTGCCTGAATGAATTTATAGAAAGCAAAGATTCTTGTCAGTGTCTAATTAATGTTAATATATTATGGTTATGCCACGCGTTGGTCATATTTTTGTTATTTTTTTATGGTGACCAAAGACGCTGTTTGTAATAAAAAATATTGATGTGGCAGGTAAAACATCGAATGTAATTATCAAAAACTTAATTGGAATTTTTCATTGTCACAAGAAATATTTTTAATCACTGATTAAATCTGTCGTAAGGCTTCAGTTAGCAAATTCTACTTATGTCACGCGTTTTGTTGTTCAGTAAGCACATTATTTTTTCTACTAAAATTGAGGTCTAGGATTAAATTTTTATCTCCAAAAGAATTTTAACATGAACCCTTATAAGGATGTAAAATTATGGATTAGGTTGAAAGCATCAAGCATAAACAAAGACAAGAAGAGACAGTCGTACGTTGGTGGCATACTTCATACAAAATGCGGCCGATCCAAAATAGAACTTTAAATTAAAGCATTGTGCCATTTCATTAATATACGTATTTGCGAGGTTTGTTAAACCGACTTTTTCTTTTGTTGACATATATTTAACAGACTCAGTAATATTTATAAATTTTTAAACTTTAATTTTAAATTTTGTTCCCTCATTTGAAATTTAACGTAACGATTAGTATATTTGTTAGTAAATTTTATTCTATAATACAATTTTTATAAAGATGTGTTGTTCTCTAACATAAACTGTAGAACAGTTTTCGGAGACATATTAAGATCACCAAATTGTTTAAACAAGATTTGTTAAGGAAACTGTATATTGCACATTTTTTATATATGGTCACTAGCCTTATGTATTTCACATCAAAAAAATGTTTTTAAAATTTCTTGCTAATTTTTGCCATCATCTGCGCAACCGAGATTGCTCTTTTTGGCCTTGTTATTGTTGTTAAAGTTGCAGTGGAACGAAAGATATCACTTGTTTACTAAATCAGAAATAGATTCAAAATTTTACGTTTCCGGAAAAAAAATATATTTTCCTATAAGAATACTAGAAGAATACTAGTTTTAAGAGCTGCATGATTAGATCATACTAAATTACTCAATGCCTTTCCTTAATTATAAGCAGCACCTTCAAAGTATTTGATAAAACAATCTTTTATAGAGGAATAGAGGAAATGGCATAAAAAATGCAGAAAATGTATATGCTATACGAAAAAGTTATAGTACGTAAAGTTAAAAGGGTTTTTTCACTAATGAAAAAAAAAGTGCCAAAAATCCCTGTCCACGTAACATGCAGGTAATTTGGAATACCAACCAATTTGCAATATTCCAAAATAGCTCCACGTGTTTTTATGACACAAAAAAATAACCAAAAATTTAATAAGACAGAAAATGGAATAGATTATTTACAGTAGTCGCACACATGTGTTCCGGCGTCTTATTAAACACACTCACAGTGCACCCATATTGCATATTCTCAAAATTTTCAATTACAAAAAAAAACATATAGTCTCCTGATCTTCTGGCTGTTTGTCTAAATCGAATTCCGGAGCAAATTCTCCTGAGGAATTTGAAATATTTAAGCTTGCGTTACACTCATTATCTGTTTCTAAGTCTTCTGATTTTTGCTTTCTGACCTCGTTTTGTTTTTTCGGCATTTTTAATAGTCCGATTCAAAGTTAAGTTAAATCTCACTCTGTGGTGGTTTTTTTCTTGTTGCCTCCTCAAGTTATCTTTTGTATGGAGAACTAGAGACAATTGTTGATTATGTTGTTTTTGGACCTCTATTAGAGTTTCGCTTCTTCGGTAATTGCACTGGTGAAATATCAAAAGGAGTTACAAGCAAACCAGAGCCACATACTATTGTATTGTTGGAACATTCCAGCCAGCCAGCTGAATTCGAATTAAATGGGTTTGAAATGTTATTTCTCACAGCTAGTTAATCTTCTTATATCGATTTGAGTTAAACCTTATAATTTGGCCTCCATTTGAAGGGCATATTCCACCAAAAGAGATTGAAAGTCTTTATTAAAAACAGGTTTTCGCACAATATGCTTATGAACAAGCTGTTCAGTTGGTATAATGTGATTCTTGGTACCTTAAAGTTTATCTATGCCTTAAGGTAACCCATTTTTTCTGCCTTTTTCTGGATTCCACTTCTGTTTGTTTTTGAGAGTATTTTTGGGTGGCAAAGCACGAAAATTTAAAACTAAATATAATTTGGAATATTTGCATCATTTATAAGATACCAAATTAGCAACATGAAGGCGCGCCATAAGCCGTTAAAAAAATGAATGCTTTAACTTATCGAAAAAATATAACCTTTTACGTACCTGAGGACTCAACTAACGTTAATTTAAGAATAAAAATCGGTGGTCCACTAAAAAAGTTTTAATCACTCTGCAATTAATTTTTAACATGTGTAGCCCCTCTACAATCAATCAACTACATACAAGCTAATTAACCTCATTTCCTCTAATCCATTGTTAAAATTATTACACGACAATTGTTTTTGTATCATATCCTAGAATTTTGAAATTACGGTACAGGGTAATCATTTACATGCGAGATACCCTGTTGCCTTCCTTTTTTAACATTTCGCGCTTATGATTAGCTCTTCAAATGAAGTTCTAGCAGGTAGACAAATATTGACCTATCTCGGGAACGCCTTTTCCCACCATATTAACTTTGGCGTCACTGAATTTTTTCGTCTCCTTCAACTGCACTGATTGGTTGTTAAAGTTGAGTAGCGACAAATAACACACAACAATAAAACTAATGATAAAAGCCGTATCTTTTCATTAACTTACTATATTTATTAAAAATTATTCAAACTGCTAAACTAACTCACAGCTCTGTCCAAATGTGGGAAATAATTCTAAAACTACAAAGGTAATCTAGGTTGCCTTATTAGTTTTGTAAATTTGTCCAAAATTTATTTCTGAATACCGAAACTTTAAACTATTCATTCAGCTCAGTAACGAAAATCATAGGAATATATTTTTCATTTCATTATGACGTGATGATTTTCTAACATTATAGTAAAATTGTAAATTTGACAATTGCTAGAGCCAGTGAACAATTATTTGAAGTTATTAATATCCTTGTAGCTTTAACATAAATTAAATTGCTTTTAAAATTTTACCGGTTTTGTTCCTGGAATTTAGACAGTGGGTTTATTATTTAATACAAAGCATTTCGATTAAATATCTCAAACATATGGACAAAGAAAACTCCTTTAAATGACACTGGTATGAGTGTCTCTGATAAGGCGGGTTTTCGAAATCATTATTTACTTCGGAAGAGTTATGAAAAGAAAATCCAGTTAATTTGAATAGTCTTATTTTACATTTACCGTAACGCTTAAACAAAAAAAATTTATTTTATTATTCTGTAATCTAAATCGCCATAAATCAGTGTTGAAAAGTTAAATTAAACCAATATTTTTTTATATTTGGTTAATAAACTTCAACACAAGCTTAGTGAACAAAAAAATTGTTTTTAAGGATTAGTGTTTTTATTTAAACATTTGTTGTTGTTTAAAATTTATTGTTGTGATGAATTATTAGATGAAACATTCAATCTTTTATTAAGTAACGTTTAAGAACGTAAATCTACTTGAAAATTAAAGAAAAAAAACATTTGTAAGATATGTTTACCACTCACAACATTAAATTTTAATTTCTATGTTAAATTTAAAAAATACTAATTGTAAATTTTTGCTCAAAAGTATAATCCATCCATTACAAAAGTGTTAAAAATGGAAACAGTTTACCAGGGTATATAAATATTCCTCTAAACAGTACAAGTAAATGTAAAAAAACTGCATTTGATATAATTAACGTTGGTTTTAGTATAAATCTTTTTTTATGTAAGGTTAAAAGCCTCAGCACATTATTTTTTGTTGTTTTCGAACTCAATTTGTAGAAATGAAATAATTTAAGGCTTATACTTGATGTACATAATTGCGTAAATATTTTGAGAAATCGTTGTCTTAACCAGATCTGTTTGGTTTTTTCAAATATATTTTTATGATCCATTTATTTCAAACGCTCCGATACGTAAAATTGTCGGACACTGTCACTACGGTAAAAAATCAATTCTTATTTAAGAAATGTGTTAGGTAACCAATTGTTTATCATAGCTTCACCTTAGGACCAGGATAAAAGTTATCTAGATAAAATAATAGTAACGTTGAAAACCAAAAACTAAAGCTTTAATAATGACTGTCAGAGATAGACCAAGTTGCTATGATTTTACAAAATATTGCGTAAACTGCTTCTATGGTGAAGTTACGAGAAACAATTGACAATAATAATAAATGTGTGCCGTTATCTTTTGGTGTACATAAGATATACAGTTTGATAAAGGAAACTATTTTACAAATACTAAATACTAAAATGTATATGATGTGCTTATATTTCATGTGATTTGCTCTAGCATATAAAGTGCACTGTTCATAAAATAAGTTGATTTGGATTAATGTAACTAGCAGATGGATCTGTGTATTTTTGTAGATGTCAAATTGCATAAAATTAAAAAAAAATACCAATAAGGCTTCTTTGTCCTTTATTTTTTGTATTACATTGTGACAGGAAATTTATATCATTCAACCGGATATTTATGTTTATTTATTTTGCAATACATAGTTGCAAATAAAAAGTACTCTAGTCTTGTTAATTTTGTGTTATTTAAGTCAAATCTATCATACCTACTAAAAATAACTTTCTATAAATATATATCTTAAACAAGTTTACCCTTTGTTGCTACTGTATTTTTATATAAAATTTAAAACCAAATTTATATGCCGGCTCGATGTTTTAATACATAAGAAATAAAAGAACAATTCTACAGGCTGTCCCACAATACAAGGTTACTTTTTTATTGTAACACATATTTCAATACCTTCCAGATTTCAATTTAACAATTTAACAAACCTCTTAATATCAAATCAAGACCTATCAGTAACTTTGTATTATGTTTTTTGGATCAACCTATTTTGATAACTGGATATAGTTTTTCGAATTACAAAGCAGGAACCGTTATAACGAGTAATTAATTCAATAAATTATATCATGTCAGTTTAACAACCCCCTGCATTGCAATTTTCGAAGGACTACTTTTGTTACTCTATCGCGGGTAAATTATGGGTATAGAGTATTATAGGTATGTATAGAGTAGCCCACAATTTCGCGTCTCGTCCCGTTGGTCGGTAAATTTCAGAAGCCAATAAAATTGTGAATTTCGGTCATATGTGTAAATGTCTGACTAGATTGCATATTTTCGAATACCACACAAGTAGTGGAGGGTCATCAAAATGACGTTATATATGACATCCGCAGGAAGTGAAATTCACCTAATGTCTCAGACGAATGATGTCATTTAAGTGGCGCCTTTTTTATATCAACTTAAAGTCAGATTTTGCTCATTACTGCCGAAAAATATGACCATTTTTAAATTGGTTATTCTTTTTGAAGTAGCGAATATCGAAAGTAAATCACACAGAAGCTGCGGCTTAAATTACATAGAACGTCTTTTACTGTTGTTGAAAATGGAGAATTATAGGTAAATTAAAAAATTTATTAATTGGCACTGTAATCTCAATAAAGAAATGAACATATTCTAATTAAAAAAAAAACATCGGTAAACAAAACCACAGGCATATCCAAGATTTTCTTAAATTTATGTCAACACATCTAAAAGATTTTGTATCATTTAACAAAGAATTAAATATAACCATGAAACAAACAGGGGCAGTGTTACCAAGTAATTAGATGTATAGAGGGAAAATATATTCTCCTAGGTTGATCCCTCCCACAATTGGCAAGCAAATTTTAAAATCTTTACCCGACCATCGCATCACAACAAAACCATTTTTAGATCATTTTTTTTTATCTTAATAATACGTTTTTTTGTCTTCAATTTGTGTTTGTGTTTCTCAGACCACTAACGAGAAGTGACCATTTATTGAGAGATTGAGGCATTATATCTCCGTAACGCAGAAAATTATGGGAAAGTAGCAAAAACGGCTGACCAAACTCATAACTTTCCTTTGTAGAAAGGTTAACAGACGAATTCTTTGATATAGATGGCGATTTCTATCGAAGCGCTGAGTGCAAAGGTACTGGAAAAGGACGAAACTGTTCCGTTAGGATTTATTTTAAAAAATTCATAATTCATTCCATTCAAATGTATTTTGAATATAAGATATTAAACATGTTAGATTGTTCTTAGAATTTGACACAGAGCCAGCCCTATATCATCTGTTCTGTGTTGGCACAAATGAGCAGGACGACGTAGAAATCTTTGCAAACAAAATTGTTAAAAGATAAAGAAAAAAAAAATAATTCGATAAACCGATTTATAATATTTTACGACAAGATTTAAATTATTTTTACGACTATAATTTGTTCAGTTCTGATTTTCGATCTGTTATTAAAAATTTTTTCATTAAATTAAAGTTCAGAAAATCATTATTTTCTGTTTAAAATGAACTTTTTTTTGTAGAAAAAGGCCTATTTGAGAAATTTGGGTAATAATTTCGATAATCATTAAAACAAGTTGCTTAAAAATCACAAAGTCAAATTGAAAAAACTGGCAGAAAAATAGTTTTATGTAATGCAAATTAACTAATTTTATAATCGTATCTTATTTAGAATTAAAAATTAAGATAACTTGTATAAAATTGTATATTATGAAAAGTTATAGTTTTCGAAATATTGATACAAATAAACTTCTTGGTTTTATGCTCCATTTAGTTGAATACACTATGTAAGGTCAATGATTTTGGTTCTTATTCCATCCTGGGAAATTATTTGTTTGTCATTACGAAAGACCCCTGTGATATCAGTATAGGTAACTATAAAACTCAAGTTGCCGATCTATATGGAGGGCTTGTCATATTTGATTGCCACAATTTTGAGAAATTATAAAGGAAATTGCGTGAAACAGGAACATATGAATGTAGTCCCCATATTTACGTAGTGGATATTTGTCGCTAATATTTAAAAATGAATAAGGAAATAAAAAAATGTATTTAAATAGATAGATAGATCTTTCCTTATTCTTAGGTGTAAAATAACTTACTTCACCTGTTAAAAGCCGAAAACTTGACTGGTTGTATTGGTGCCAATCCCTTCAAAGCACCTAGGGTAAGTACAAAATTAATATAAACACTGAAATTCTGTATTATTTTATATGAGTTAAAACAGGTTCAGTACCAAATTTTGATTTAAAAAAAAATCCACATATGGGCCCTAATTAAGTGGGGACAGTATTTCTTATTGTTATTTTGGAGAAATTATTACTTGCACATAAATAACTTCCATCTTTGTCTAAATACATTCCCGTTGTTACCCAAAATCCTACAAAATAGTAATAATAATAAAACAATAATATCATAACCCGAATACATAATCCACAGAAAATAAATTTATAGGTTATATTTATTTAAAAAATTCTAAACAACCGAATCCAACAAAGCCATATCGCAGAATAAGCTAATTTTATTAAAACTACTTTTCAGTAAACCTTCACAATACAATTTAGCAATTGCACAGCACACTTAATTTTATGCCGGTTTTTTATAGCTAATTTCCATGGTTATATATAGCTATCTAACAGATAATTTTGATTATTCACTGTATACATTTTTTTTTATTTTAAAACACTACTGTAGCACATCTGATTAATTATTGGTTAAATTTGGGAAAAAAAACCTGGAGTTACTGCTTTTACTGTGTACATTACTATGACATCTACATATTTAGATTTCCCTACACATACATTTTTAAAGAATTTTGTTATTCAAAATTCATATTTCAGTTGGTATATTTACATGGTTTTTAACATAACTTGGGTCTGGTGGTTCTAGTGCCACTTAATGAAATTTATCAATGGAAGAATGATCAATTTTTGCGAAAGGAAAACATAAATTTATAATACTAAGCATAAAAATTTTCCGAACCTATATATTGTGAAATGTCAATACTACAAAGGGTAACTTGTGATGGGTCTATTCACCGCCAAAACTACATTTTTTAGTTTAAAAAAAACATGTTTTCGTTCGCCTTGTAGGTAATTAGAAACTTACATACATATATAGTATTTCCGAATAGATTTAAAATTAAATTACTTAATGTTTTTATTATAAACTTCATTCAAAATGAATATGAATCAGAATTAACATTCTTATTTTCAACCGATTTAAATATTTATGCCGGCGGCGGTCTTTTCGAACTTGATGAGTCAGGATGACGTAAGCGTGAAGTCAACTGACGTAAGTTGGGTCGCCTTATTTTTAGACTACGTCACGTGGAAAGGCAAATGTGTGACCTTTCCTTTTCGCTACAGCTCTTTTACATGCATTACTGCCTTGTTTGAATTTACGGTTACGATATTACATTTGCAATTACGACACCCCCAAAGACAAATGTTTCATTTTATATTCCTGTTATGCCGAAAATCGCATAAACAAATGATGATGTGCGCTCAAGAATAGTAAATGGCTTTCAAAAAAAGTCTAAAAATGAATTCATCAGTGTAGCTTGTTTCTTTATTCTTTAATATTTAAGGCGTCAGGGGTAAAATTACTGCTGAATAGAAACTTAGCGTGGTTAACTAAAAAGGTTATGAACTTGAAAATGCACTTGCTAATAATAAAGAAACAAAATGTGTCGGGGATCCTGTTTTGCGGTTCGTAATTATACTTAACAAATATAAAACGGAAAATATAAATTAATTTACTCCTTTGTTTAAAGAGAAATGTTTACTAGCGCATGAGCCGTTTAAAATCGTTGCCGAATGGTTCCACCCAACTTAAATTCAATGGCCGTAAGTATCGCGCCAGCGGCCGCCATTGCTATGACGCGCACTTGTGTTTCTCATCCAGTGACGACCGCCCAGAAATTTTGACGTGGCTACTACGTATAGCCTGTTTACCCACTCCGATTGCAGCAAACTTGGTGACGAGGAATACGTAAGTGGTAAGTGCCCAGCTGAAGAATAACACACCGACATAGCCTCTACAACCCTCTGCTTTTTCGGGAAATATTTTTGTACAGTGTCGGTAATAAGTTTTAAAAATGTTTGCAACGTGTTTTGCGACTTTACTTCAAAAGGTAGCGAAATATGGCGTCATATTGGTGAATAGGTTTTAAATTTAGACTTCTCTAACCCATTTGAAATGATGGTTTGCCGCAAAAATACAAATGGTAAACATTACAATTAAACGGAAATTACGTATTTACTGGTTTTCGTGTTGTGTTCTTGCAGAATGTGGTCAGGTCGTGTGTATGCAAACTTGTGATATTTACTGGCAAACTAAATTCCCACCTTAAATTTGCGTTTATTTTGCGCAACGCATTGTAAACATTTGCGTCATCAAGTATACATTTTTAGATATTCGCTAACCATTCATTTTGTCATTGTTTTGAGCTGCCGCTTTTTCAAATCCAATTTAGATTTCATAATGGAATATAATATAGTAGGTATATAAAACGATATTGTGACCTTGCCGCAATAAAAATAAACTGATGTACTTTTACCAGCAATTAATTGTAAACTTTACCCTCCAGGTAACCCGGGTCTTGGACCATGGAGACGATAGAGGAAAATGGATCTGTTGATCCCTTAGCGACGTCACCAGAAAGTCCAATAGCATCATCGGTAGGAAATACTAATATTCAGTCTCACCTGGTGACTGCTACTAACATAGTTCAGCTAACAATTCCGCAAGGGCAAGCACAGGTAGGGGTTCATTATAAACCCCTCTTGTGTGAAGTTTGTTAATTGGCTGGTTATTTCCTTTTGTAACGATTATTTTTGCCTTTGTGGGATGTACACACTTGTGACTCCCGCAATATTTTTTAGGTATACAAAGTGGAACATTTTTAATATTTTAACTTTATAAGCTGACTTGGAAGTGCATATTCTGATGATGCTTTGATGTCATAGATAGGAGAGCTCTTCCAGAACAGAGAGAAACAATTTACATAATGAGCAATAGTTTTTATGATCTGAGAGTTTCCTTTCTAGAATAACAGTAAATAACAATTTTAGGATAGGGGCTAAAGTAAAAATAAGCTTTTTTTGTAATAATTCGTTTTGATTGTTGTTTGGCCTGTATTTAAAATGGACATATCTTCCACGATTAACCTGTGATATTTGAGGTGCTATTTTGCTCTTTAATAATAGTGAAAGTGCTGTATTTAAATACTACTTCCGTTAAATCCAAAGTCATTAAAATGGACCCAATTTTGTTTTTTTTGTGTGTGTTTTTACACTTGAAAACTACTAGAGCATCCTTAAAATATTTTATGGCTAGTTGTAGATAATATGCTTCATCAGTTGAATCGGTAAATCATATCAGTAAGATTTTGATTTTTTTTTTAAGGTGCAAAGTGTTATTCAACCAAATCAGCAATCAGTAATACAAACAGCAGCAAATTTGCAGCCCATGCTTAGCAAAGGAAACGTCATACTAGTCAGCAAACCAAATTCTGTTATTCAGACGACACAGGGGAGTCTTCAGGCGTTAAGGGTGAGAATTTGGGTTGTGTTATATGCTAGATATAAAATAATTTTTGAGCAAATAGTGAATTCAGACCTTTGGCAAATAACAAAATGAACAAGTTGAGACTGATAATAATGACGGGTAATAAACAATAGCAATGCAGGTTTACAGCAGGTGGACAAATCAGTCATTTTTTAAGGTCTAGTTTTTCATTTTTTATTGTTTATTAAACATTATTTTCCAACCAAACCAAACAAAACTGGGTGATCGCAAATTAAAAATGGAACATAATATTATATGCCCTCGATTAAGCTAAAACTTCATATAAATTAGAACACATCTTCTCCTTTTACATACAGGGTGTAAAGGTAACTGATACCCTTGTTGCAAAATTTTGGAAATCTCTATAGATAATTAAATAAAATTTGGAATAGATACTACACTTGTTATCTTTTATTGTTAAACTATTAATTTTTGTATGTATTTTGTATGTAAAATTTGTATTCAACCTTATTAATACAAATAAAGATTCAAAGTTTCTTTTTAAAAAGTAATTAATTCCCACATTAAGTTTTTTTTTCACCAAACTGTATCTCAGAAGAAAAAATTTGGCATATTAAATTTGCTCTAAATAGGGTGGGCATATTAAGTTTTTTCCTTCTTGATATTACTCAATAAAATCTATAAAGTATATAAAAAACCGGACTTAAAAAAAGCATAAACCTCATGGGTCTTGTTTGAAGTTTAAAATTTTTCTTAAAAACCATTAAGCTATTTTCGTTTTCTCCCAAAAATACAAGGAAAGTCAAAATTTGGCTGCTTAATCCTGCCAATTATGCCAATTGTTTTTTCGGCGGCACTCTAGTCACTGTGTTTTGGATTAAGAGACTTTGACTTTTCTAATGCTAAACTTTTTTTAGGTAGTGGAAGCTGCTGGTAGCGACGACAGTTTTTCTGAAGACGAATCTCCCAAAAAGAGGCGCGATCTGCTAACAAGGAGACCGTCATATAGGAAAATACTTAACGATCTTGGAGGGGGTGAGATAGCTGGTATGTTTTTTATTGCATGTTGCTGGGGACTTTTCTCTCTAATTTTATAAAATTTCTAAAAACAAATTTTTATTTTAGTTCAGTTTTTGTTTGAAAACAGATTTACATTTTTGCATTTATAGTAGTGTGTCACACTATGAAATTCAAAGGTTTGTTTTATTTTTTGTATATTTTCTTTCAATGCATCATACAGCTGCAGCCAGTTTGTGAAAGTATTAATTTAAGTAGAGTTGCATTTTCCCTTGTGAATTTAGTGCATGATTAACTATATTTTTTAAAATGGAGTAAACATATAATTTGCTCATGTTTCTAATGTGTAAGGGTAACAAAATTTAACAAAATTATATGTTTACATCATTTAAACCCATTGTTTTTGTTCATTCACATTTTGTATTTTAGCAAAAATATTTTAATTATATAAAATATGCATGATGGGCTATTAACATGGTGTCAGCATTATCAGAAAAATGTCAAATATGTACTTTGTTAATGTGCATGTCAAATACATAAATATTTTTCTGTATAATGCTTTGATCCGTGCTTTTTATCACGGTCTTAAAACTATTTACTGTGGTTGGTATGGGATCATCTTTTGTAGTATAATTCTTGCTGAAAACAATAAAAAAACAATGGGCTGGTTTCAAAAATTTCATTTATTATTTTGGTAAAGATCGGACATTTATGTAATTGTAATTTTTTTAAAAGTATCTTTACGATGTTCGCAGAACCCAAGGTCGAGCAGACATCGTCGGAGGCGGATAGTGAGTTGTCCTCACACTCAATCCCATACCACACAGGTCAGTTTTAGCATCAATTCGTTGAGCTTATGTTAGCCCAAAATGTATATTTAAGGCTTGTGAGGTATGCTTCAAGAAGAAGTGCATTTGTTTTCAATTTTTATCTGTCTAAATATCACGCACTTACACATTCAAATCACAAGATTTTGAGCTGTTATTTGTAGCATATTTCTGCTATTTTATTAGTAGATACGTATATAGATTGTTTTTATATAAATGATTATTAAATTTTTACTTCATTATTTATAGATTTTATCAGTTTATAAAATCAAATTCATAAAATAGAAACATTGGTGAATATTGGCCTTTCCAGTTCATATCGAGCTTAGATTATATACTCTTAGGAAGATAAGTAAGGCCTAACCACTGGGGCTGTTTTCCTGTAACATAAATACAAAATGCGAGGATATACACAATTTATCAGATTTGAGTATATAAACTTTAACCAAGCTACACAAGACTCACAAACATTAAAAACTTCGGAAAAAAAGTTTTAAAAATTTCTAAGAACTATCCTGGAGTTGTGAAAACAAATAAGATAAGTAGGATGATGCTCTTTGTTATGCATGTTTCTAGAAATATATAAATATTGGTATTGGCATAATCTGACATTTCAGTCAATTACTGCTGAAAAGTTTGGTTAGAGCTTGTTTCATTTAATGATGAGTCTTTAAGCATCTCACTACGCTAAGTAGCTACGACATATATTTATCTAAAATTGAGAGAGGTCTGACAATGACCTTAAAATTTATTAATAGCTGAAAAATAAGATTTTTTTGTCAGTACATTTCTTATACATCTAAAAAAATTTACTCGTTTTTAGCTTGTTGAATTTTCAGTTTTTTGTGTCTAGATAATTCGAGGGATAAATAAAAAAAAATGGAATGATAATCACAATAATCAGATCAAGCTTTTTTGTGTTTTAACAACTGGTGGTTTTCGTAGGTACTGTTGATTGTTTTGCAGTGTTCATTGGAAGTATTGAAGTACTCAATCTACATTCTTTTTTGTTTGCAGTTTTACCCGCTACCGCAATTCAGATATCCAGCGGTGAAGGTGGACAGGGTATACATACCTTAACGATGACAAATTCGACAGCAGGTGGAGCTATTGTACAATACTCTCCTGGTCAAGAATTTTTTGTACCTGGTAATTTAAGTAAATTGAATTTTTACTTATTTTTTTTTACTATTTATTTGAAAAAGATGATTAACTCTCTCCTGAAGATTAAATGATAATATTTTCAGTTGTTGCACAAACTGGCAACCTTAACGCATCAGTGGGGGAAGACCAAGCACGCAAACGGGAAATGCGGTTGTTGAAAAATAGGGAGGCCGCGCGAGAGTGTAGGCGGAAGAAAAAAGAGTACATAAAGTGCCTAGAAAATCGAGTGGCAGTGCTTGAAAACCAAAATAAAGCCTTAATTGATGAACTAAAATCGCTCAAAGAACTTTATTGTCAGCATAAAACCGAATGAGGTTGGTTTATTGTTATCGAATTGGTGAAGGAATTGCGCCGAGGGATTATACTTGTCTTATAGATTAACAGTGAAATGAATTTATTTTTGTGACGAATCTTGGGGTAGACGCTTTAAAGCAGATGGTAATCTTGTGGAGGGCAGTATATTGCAGAATTTGTTGGACAAAGAATGAAATTTGCACTAGTTGAGGAGCTTGCAGGGATATCTTATAAGGAGACATCAATTTTCTATGTTTTAAAGTTGGCGCTCAAACGCAAATTCTGTAACATAGCACCTTTAGTAATGCATCCTTGAATTTGCTCAGTTTAATTGAACATGTGGTTACTTTTTGTGTTCAAACTTTTTTGGTGTGATGCTTTGTCAAGAACTTTGCAAAAATTCTATTTTTTCTTCAAGAATTAGGACAAGTGCCCTTTTAATTTCTTATTTACACATCCTAAAGACGTCTAAATAAATAACTACATTATTGTCAGTTCCATTATTGACACTTTGTAACCCGGAATAACAGCATAAACAACATAAACAGATATTGTAGTGTAATTAATTTTTTGTTCTGCACGGAAAAGTGACAAAAAATGCGTAAGTTAAGGTATATAAAATTATTTTTTCACTGACAAGACCGACATTTCATCTACCCAAAAAATTGTGAACCCAATTTGTCCCTTGCCTTGGTGTTATTCTGGTTTTCCATTTGTGTTAAAAGAAATAAAGCCCTAAAAGAAGGCAAATCTAGTATCTGCTGCAGATATAATTAAAGGTTGTCAGGTTGCTGAATTATTTTGGACTTTGTAAATAGGGAGACACTTGTGAATTAAGCAGGTACATGGTTTGCTGTAGCGCTTTACACTGTTTTTAATTACCAGAGATCAAAAACCAGATCTACATTGACAATGTATATACTGTGTTGAATTTAACCAATATCACCAAAAGATGAAATAAACATGTTCAGTTAAAATTCTCGGTATACAGATTGTTCGGGTGGGGGCTACAGGTATTTCGACAAAGATGAGACCTACCTACCAGGTTTCGAGAGAAATCCATAAAAGGTTGTAATAATGGGAGCGGTAACTTTGCATTTGATAACTTGGTAATACTGCTCCAATTAAATTCAAAACTTAATAGTCAAAAGAAGTGATAAGATTTTTCCATTTAATGTGTGAACTTTTCAACTAATTTGACTATTCAAGGGGTCCTGGTTTCCAAAAACCCTTTAAGGTTAAAACAAATATTGTTGGACAATTTGTTGACTAGAAAAACTTAATCTTTTTTGGGAAAAAACTAAACGGAAAGATTCCTATTCAAGCCACCATTCATTTCGTCAAATTTTAGCCAAATATCTCATCCCCTCTTGATCTGAAAGTATGCTTGTTAAAAAAAGGTTAAATTATGATTAAGCTTTCATTCTAGTAGGATTGTACTGTACTGTACCCCAGAATTCCTCTGCGGGTTACCTCTCATAAACGTGTCGAGTAAATACCACAAACACTGATTCCCTTATCCCGACCAGGCTGTATATTATACCAATAGTATATATGGCACCAATTTGATGTTGACCCTTATAGAAAGATAGGCTGAAAATGTTTGGAAATTTATTTATGCTTAAGAGTTCTTGGTCAGATTTTTAAAAAAAGTACAAAATCTGACCTGTTGGAGTGCCTTGTTTAGAAATGTACAAAGTTTTTGCACACTATGAAATTCTTGAAAAAAAATTGTAAAAAGAACCTAATAAATTTGTGCCATAAAAGATTTAAGTTATTGGGACATTTTTACATAGTGTTTAAAAATTTTTCACAAAAAGCAGAAAAAACTGTTGGTCTACTTAGGCTGTAATATGTGTAAATATTGTATGTATTGTATAATCATGTATTTTTACATATCAGAGAAATGTTAAAAATAATTAGATAAAAAATCGGGGAGTATATTTTCTTTATCTTGTTGTTTTTGTTTATATCTTTTAAATTGTCAATAAGATTTCCGCTTATGTTTATGATTTATGGCTGCCCAAAGGCAGACAATTATCTCCTAAGATCAAGTGAAAAATTTTGTTTTATTTTGTTATGTCGTTTTCCCGAATCTCCAAAACATATTTATTATTATATAAACACTCAAACGCAAATAACGCTAGAAACAAGAAAGTACCATTGTTTGTTTGTTTGTTCTTTTTTGCTAAATTGAAACTCAAAAACGTTGAAAATGTGAATAATAAAACTAGTTTTGTTATTCCAATGGGCCATATTTTGTAAATTGATGCTATTTTGGTAGTGTTTTTATCTAGGAAATTTGTAAATAAGATTATAATTTAATAGATGTTATGAGTATTAGTTGACCTATTAAAAGAAAGAATGATTATTTTAATATATGGTATTATTTGTTAGGACATTAAAACTATGTTTTCACTTGTGAAATTCTATATTATTATCGTTCTTAAGGCAGAGGTTAATTCTCTCCACAATAATAATTGATACACCTAGCGACGGTATTGATTTCAAAACTTTCCACCTTTATTTTCCGAAGCATTCATGTCAAAAACTTCGCATAGCGGCAAAATTTTTCTTCGAAGATATGTCTTAACATTGCATTTAATGTGAAAATCGGGAGTGGTAAGTTTTCAAATTAGAACCCTGTTCATTACAGTTCTAGTTAATTTAAAATAATTTTTATTCTACCAAAAATGTGCTTGGAGTGCAAGGAACATAATCTTCAGCCACATTTGTGTTCGTGGCACATCAATATTTTATATTTTCGGTTCATCTCCAACGTTTAACCTCTTTTGTAACCCCGCTTTTTATTAAAAGACTAACAAACTATCAAAGATTGGAAACAGAATATGAATATGATACATTTCATTCTGGATTGGCGACAGTATCCTTTAAAAATAGATCTAAACTACTAAACATTCGGATTACAGCAAAATCTTGTGCTTGAAAAAAAAAAAGGTTAAAATAACACTCAAAGTATTCATGAGAGCATTCATAAATCTATATTATAATTTTTGTCCTCAATTTGAATAGTCCATTAAGCTAGAGCAATAAAACAAAGTAAATTTAATACAAAATACTTTTTTAGCATTCTAGGTGGTTCCGGACTTCATTCTGCACAACAATTAACAAATTTGTTAATATCATTCATCTTTCGATCCCCTGTAGAATTATAGTTTTCACTGCTCTCCAAGCATCAACTGCAATTTCTCGCTAATAAGATAAAACACTTACTTAAATGACGCTATAAAGTCATTTATAGCAAAGGCCAACAAGTGCCCTTCTCAAGAATCTTTTCACCAGATCATATGTTATTAAAATATTTCTAACAATGTATATTTTTAAATATTGACTAGATACTAATTTTAAATGTTTAGTGAGATCATTGAATGTAACATAAAAGACAATTATGGTGTAAATGCTAAAAAAGCTAAGGCAAAAAACAAACACCTTCACAGAATGTAGCCTATGTTGCGACATTTGCGCTCCCCAGTCTTAATTTATCTTCAACATGTGAATTGTGTTTAGAGACTAAATCCTGGGAACTTTGCATTCATAGGATCCTGGATGTCAAGCAGAAGATACATTGGTCCAGAAATGCCTTCGAATAATGACATTGGCCGATCTGGAGTGCACTCTTCTTTTTGTTTGGTATAATCCAGACAGTACTCTGCAAACTTTATTGCCCGATAAAAATGTTTCTCTTCCTGCAAACAAAATCAAAATGAAAACAAATAAATGCCAAAAGTGCCAAAAAATAACAAATGTGTGCATGTACAGATTTTAACATCTTCAAAGTTCAAGTTACTTGAGTATCTTGTGCACTATTTGAATCTAATAAGCAAAATAAGATAGTCAATGTGAATCATTCATTCGCCCAGTGTGGTTAATTATATTTACCCCAGTTAATTGAAATAACTCCAAAAAAGAGTAGGCGTTTCCAGAAACTCCATGGCATAGGCTGTACCCTTTTTTTAATAAACCTCTCCACCAAATAACATCGCCGCATTTTATAGCCGCTTGAAGATAAGATCGTTCTCCAAACACCTTTAAAATGTGTACTTATTATCTCTATGAAATTACATTCACAAACCAAGTATTTACCCTGTATGCTTCACCATACATATACAAAAATCCTGGGGCTCCATGGCACCATTGCACATATTTATCCGACTTTCCGGGGCCAAGCGATGAAGGGAAATTCCCAGTTGGAAATCTATACAGACAGCGCAACAGGAAAATATGTTATAGTTATAATTTGTACAAACATAACTGAGGGCATACACAAATTCGTTTCTATTATAAGGTACCTAAAAGCTCCCAAGAAGTCGATGGTTGGTTTAATTTGATTCAGTAATTCATCTTCAGTTAAGTAGTCTTTGGCTTGCAGAAGAAGATAAAGTATGCCAGACGCGCCATGGGCGGCCCCCAAATACTTTTGGCCGTGCCACTCCCACATTAACGGGACGTCAATTTTCAAATGCTTTGCAAGTTTTTCGCCACTTAGCAATATTGCTGTTATAACCTAGCAAAATTAACTTTATAGGCCCTTATCCTTAAACATAGAATAGTGTGGATTTCCCAATAGAGGACTTTCTTGTCAAAGGAAAGATGACACAAACATAATTTGTTGTACTTAACTTATTGAAAATGTAATAATTGCTCTTTATATAACTGTTAGCAAGGAATCTATTACCAGGTCAAAATGGTTTCTGATCTTAAATTATTTTTTTAAATGGAAAAGCTTGTATTTTATTTTCGATTGACTATATATAGAGTTATTTTAAAAAACAAGCTGCTTAAAATGTTTGTTAATGTTTTTAAAATCATTTATTTAACTAATTAATGTAAATTAATACATACTTAATTAGCGGGTTTACTTACTTTACTTAATATTGCGAAAAAAATGGAATGACATGACATTAAAAAAAAATTGTCATAAAAAAAAGCCAAAGAGAAAGAATCCAAGAATATGAAACTGTTTTAATAAATTATAAATAGTCACCTATTAATGTAAGAATAAAAATTATTGAAAATTGTAGACTTTATGAGTGTTTTGTTATCTGTCAAAATAACATATAATATTTGTTTCACAAAAACTGGAAACATTATAATACTTACACTTCTGATGACAGTTTCATTGAAGGGTTTAGGGGAGACATGTTTATTAACATACAAGAGGGCATAGAGGAAACCCGCGCGTCCATACAAATACTCATTAGGCAAATCCGAACCCACATTTTTGACAAACTTTAAGAACACAGTCAACCTAGAAAGCAGTCAAATAATATCTTTAAAAAAAAGAACCATACGTTTATGTCAATATACTTAAGTCCAGGTATTTTATTTCAATCACACACTAACGAAATAGGAGGAAGTCAAAAAATATAACAAAGTGTGACATGGGGAAGTCATAAACTTTGTTATGTTACATGAAAAAATCTAAAGTATTCCAAGAAAATACTTCAATATGTTGCCAACTCCATTAATATTTATGCAAAATAATAAATTTATTTGTTATGCAAAACTTAGATTTTTTGTTGATTTTATAGAATATTTCCCGATGATTTTAAACAAATTATTATAATTGCGAAAAGTAAAACTGCAAAATGTGCCTTCATACCTGGAGGTGAGTGTAATATAAATATAACAACCTTGGATAAGGATGTCACTTCATTTATAGGTGCTCATATTTAGGTCAATAATATCACATTAACAAAGAACAAAGTTCACCAAAAATCTTACTTTTTAATGCAGTAATCAAAAATTTTTTTATCTTCAAGTTTGTGTGATATAACTGCACCAATTGATAAGGGACCAGCATCTCCACAAAGAAATGAAATTTTTTTCCCCTTCAATGCTTCAAACTGAAGATAATTTTTACGGATATGCTAAAATCAAAGAAGTTAATTTTATATGTGTAATTAGAAACAAGAGAATTTAAAACCCACTTTTAAATTAGTCCTGTCGTTTGGTGCTTGTCTTAATAACAGCATAGCCACACCAGCTGTACCAGTATAAACAGAGTAATCATCAGTTGTCCAATTCTCTAGTTCTTTTAATGTTTCATCCCACTTAAAACCTAATCTCAGGCTAATTCTGCTCGTATTGCTTACCTAAAAAATTCCGATATTAAGGATTATATGTTCAAAATACGTCGTTCTTGTACCTGGGTTTTATTTTTGATATGATTTTGGGCGTTATTCTCGGTGTAATCTTCATAATCGTTTTTGAAATAATATTTTTCCATGTTAGGCGACTGCGGTTGCGAACCTGGAGACATCGTGATAGGACTTCCCCGATTCTCCATTTCTCAAGAACTTATACGCAAAACAAACAAAAATATGAATGCGTTATTGTTTTATTTGTAAACAAAAGTTTGTTGACAATAGTCACACAAAAATCAAATTGAAAATGACAACCTCATTTCTTCTTCTTTACTCTCAGTGGGCAATCTACTTGAGATATTCGACCATTAGCATACACCATGCGGAATTTGTTGACTAGATATACAGGGTGTTTAGAAAAGACGCGGTAACATTTAAAGGGATGATTTCTCATATCATTTTATGCAAAAAGTTGCCGTAAATGTGGGGGGGGGGGACAACCATATAAATTTTATTGATAAAGATATACCGCCACCGACATTAATTTAATTTCGAACTTCCCTAAGATCGAGCGCCAACAACTAGTTTTTCGTCTCCATTTTTTTGCTTCGTTCTTGACATAAAAAATAAAAACTAATTTGCACATATTTAATGGACTAAAAAGGCATTTTATAACAATTGCTAAAATATCATGCAGCACTACTACAATATGTCGAAATTTTACGTATGTGCTCATTAATTGAAGATCGGTAGACACCATCAGCAGCTTCGTTTATATTTTTGTAAGCACATTTTTTTGTATTGTATGAATACACCAAAAAAAATAAGTTTAATTAAAATGTTTAAGATGCCGATAAATATTTCACTTTTTTAATTTTCTTGTCTGGACGTTTAGAACTAGGCAATTTAGGACACAGTCATAACAATGTGAAAAGGAATTACCTCCTTCAATACTGACTTGCCGTAAACCACACCCTGCACACTAGATAATGACAAAGGAAGTTTAAAAAACATTACAAATAAATTGTCGTTATCACTAGCCAAATCATCATATATTTTGGGGAGCATATGTAAAATAGATTGGAAATATTTAGTAGTATCAAATTTAAATATTGAGTGACATTGACATCAGTGTTTACATTATCATTGTCAGTCAATTCTTTGTGTATTTACCCAAAATTTGTTACTTTTAGCCGTCTACATCCATGGAGTCTCTTTGTTATCAGGAGTTAACAGTTCCTCCAAGGTTGTATGTTTTTGGTATTAGATTTTTTACATGAAACATAGTATTTACTTTACCGAAAGAAATACAATCAACAAATTTACGGTACAATCTGCAAAATGTTTGAGTCCTCCTAGTCCAGACTCTCCACCTGTAGAGGTTTCTCACAACGGATTGGTTCAACCTGATGAAGGTGTACAGGTGGTTTTGCCCATTTTTAACTTCACTGATTTTGGTGACCAATTTCTAGAAGAAATGGGTCTAATTGACAGAAGTCCTGGGTTTGTATTTACGTTAAAAAAAAATTTGTTTCTTATTTTAAATATGATTTATTTCTATGTACAGAAAGAAATTTAGTACGGACGAAATGGAAAAGGTGGTTACTACACTCGTTGTGCGGCATCTTCTAAATTCTTCACATTTAAAACAAAGGCTAGATAATGAATACGAAAAATATAAATCCGAATACGATTGCCTTCTGTCACTTGTTTGGGATATATCTAATCGCTTAAGGTAAGGAAATCATTAAGTATTATTTTTTATTATTATGAGCGTTACTAGAGACCATCGATGCATTGGAACCAGCGAACCCATAAAGCCGGTGTTTGTTTTACTGGAAGAGATTAAATTGAGACTTAGAGATTTATTGCAGACGACAGGTCAGGTTGCAATATTGGTCCACGAGAGTAGAATGAGAAGGTGTTGGAATTTAGTTACAAACTATTTGGCAACGCTCAGACAAGAAAATGAAGAACTAAGGAATAACGCGCTTAAGTAAATTAATTCTTTAGCGCGTCGATTGCCCACGTTAACTTTCTGGCTCTTTCTATTTAAATTCACTAATTGATTTACATAGTTGTGGTTCGAGTTGTTTCAACTGCATGTAGGTTTATAATTGCCGGGGTGTAGCATATTTAATTTAGGGTTACGGTCTAGGGCTAATTTTTTACTATTGTTTGTTAGTACAGGCTTTGCACCACATAGGAAACTTTTTTATTCCTGCTTCGGAAAAACGATAGATTGTCAATAAATTTTGATGCGGCATTCCCTCAAAATATGCCCAGATCCCATTACTCGGGCAAAACGAGTGTACTGTGTTTGTATGGCTGTTTAGAAAGAAACAATTGAATAAAATTTAAACGGAAGCGAAAAGATTCCTATTAATTACAAATCTTCTGGAGTCCTTCTGCGTCTGTCGTCGATAAATCGAACTTGCTGACGTTTCCCATCATCCTGTTAGTATTTGAAACTGGTTCGTATTCTACTCTGTATCTGCTTATATACTGTTTAAGAGGACCGGAAATTAAGGAGGGGCATGAAAATTTTCTCGGATGACTGATTCTCACATTGGTGAAAAATAAAGACCTGAGTCGCGGTTAAGATTGTTTGGTTGCTTATAGATTTCTATGGAATCTCGAAATTTTCTTTGGTAGGAAAATTGGTTACATTTTTTTACATTTATTTACAAGTGGTAAATCTGGTTTTAAAGTTACATTTTTTTTATAAGTTTTGATGTGGGGTCAGCGATGTTTTGAATTTAAGGACGGACCACACTGGGAAGTGTGAGATTATTTTCGCACTGATTTTCTTTGGAAAATTGTGGTGAAGTGTATTTTGTGATGGAACCCTTAATATCTCTAATGTGGAAATTATCTTACCAAAAGATTTTAAGAACGCAAAAAGTTAGTAAGTATGGGAAAAAAATATTCATCCAGTGGCGTTCCACAAAAAAGTTCTACAAGGTTCCAGTACGGTTGACATCCACATCATTATTTATTTCGATTATTTTTACCGATACCTGAATTTATTATTTAAAGATATAAAAATTTCCTATATGGTGCAGACTTAATTAAATTTTGTCAGTTTTGTTATATTGCTGAAGTTAATAAAGCCCTAAAAAGAGTAGTCCAATTAGGTTAACCACTTTCCGAAGAGCGAGATTTCTTGTTGCATGCAATACATTTGTTATAGTCATGAAAATATCTCCACCCAGACTGGTTTTTTTCGTCATAGATTGACAATGCTCAGAGATAGTTCACATAAGTTACATCACTTCAAACTTGGGTAGGTAAATTGAATTGACATTACAATGTTAGTGTTAATTGTAGTATCAATTCAACTAACTTTTAGTCTAAGTTTTAGGAACAATTGCAAAATGAAGATACTCATAGGAATCTCTGTGTGCGTAATAGCTATTGTATCTAGTTTAAATGTAGTACTGCATCTGAACTGTCGACTAACTAGTTCGGAAACTCAATATTGCCCGTTAGATGGAATTGTTAGATCAGCCATAGGAATTCCACCAATGTAACTCACAATCTTCATCCGATTATTAAACACTTTCAAAAATTGTTTTTTCGTATGAGTTTTTGTACCCTCTACTAAATTTTCAATTATAAATGTACCCAAAACGTAATGGTTTCCGAAAATGTAATTATAGCACGCGACACGTTGATAAAACTTTGCTCGTGCCAAATGCAACTAGTGATTAAAATGGCGCTTCTCAAACTTATTTGTTTTGATATGTTTGATGTGCGCACTATTAGTCACGTCGCCTTAAAGTTTTTCCACTTGATCTTGATCCGTGCATTATTGGTTGCTTTAGAGTAAAAAATATACATTATCATGTATTTTCTTGGTTTATCAATATTATATTGTATTGTATGATAGTTGAAGTTGAAAAAGGAAAACATAAAAGAGACTCCGGAGTTACGGTTTTATAAAGTGGGTGGGTGACCTTTGAAACGAAATAAGAAGGGTGAAATGTAGATTAAAAGAGACAAAAAGGGTGAGGAAAAATCGGAAAGACATAGTTGAAACGAATGGTGGAACCATTTGCCAGATTCTACCTTTATACGGAACGGTTTTCACCAACAAACTTGGTAAGGGTCTTTGATCTGGTAGACCATTTGGCTTTCCAATTCCAAATCATCATCGAAAAATGATTGATTCGGGGGTGCATTTTCCGAAGATGGCGATTCTGGTAATTGAGGGACACTGGTTTAGTATGGTATTGATTGTTATGTTGTAAGAACCCATGATAAACTTAGATGGGATAGCGATCGTGATCATATTCCTCTTGTGGGTAAGATGCCCATAAAAGGGCGAGTTATTGGACTTGCACAGTCGCGAAATATATAAAAATGACTGGGTAGTTATCCGATCTGTGTGTTTCATGTCCAAAATGTCTTAAAGTTTGGATTGCATTTAAAATATACAGGGTTGTTTAGTATAGCTCTAACTGGTAGGGCGCGTAGCCCCATATCTCTTTACCACTGCAGGATAAACGAAATGCAAATTTGTGAACCTTTTTAAAGGAGATAAATCATCAAAAATTCAGTTTTCTGCAACATACGATTTAATTCTTTGAATTTTGGCCATATGTGAAGTTAAAGTTGACAAATAAAAAATACTACAATTATTTTATAGAAAACATGTTCTCTTACGAAAGGAACAAATTATTAGAAACACTTTCGGATGCGGCCATCTTCAGCAAAATTTAAAAAATGTTTAAAACAAAACAACTGTTTTGTCCAAATTGGTTGAATTTTAAAAAAGATGCATCTTATTATAAAGGGATCTGAGTGGATCGATGGTTAAGACTCGAGCCTTCCCTGGAGGTTGTGGGTTTGCATATCACTGATAGCGGCGGTGGTGGTGTGTTTGCCTGCCATTTTACCGACATGTGCGTATAGCGCTCGCATTTTTTTTGTAGCAGCGCTAAACACCGAGAAGGAGATTGTTATATCACACGTTTAAACAAATTACATGCGTCGTTTGTATAACAGCTTCAAACAGTTTACTCACTAAGTTAAGTTTTATTTTAGCCTTTTAAAGCTGTTATTTGGTCCCTTAATAAATTTCCACTTAAAAGATAAGTTCCTGGTACAGAACAATGTTATACCAAATCTTTGGATTGCACCCGGCACATGTCCCCTTTTGCCCTCATTGAATAATCACCCATGAGTACACATAGCGACTGACGCGATTTGTAAATATTACAAAATTCGGTCGTTCTGTTGCTGGATAATGTCTAATAACATTATGTACATGCGAAATAGAAGTTTTCTTTTTAAAAAATTAGCAATGTTGCACATTACTTGTCGCTATCTTAATATCGTGAAATCACCACTGACCATAATTGTATTTCTGTTCCTAATTCATTAACTCATATCTGAGCGTTAATATAAATTTAGAGTTGGCTCGTTTTCTTTTGAACATGATTTTCTTCTTTTAGCATGAATGCAGTTTCCTTTAGATTTTTCGCTGCTGATTACTGCCCATGGGAAAAAATCGAACTCCAGCGTTGTAAAATCGCTACACTACAATTTACTTGTATCTGTTAAATAAATTCTTGGTTTCCCCAATGCTCTCGGTATAATAAAAACAATAACTCTTCAATTAGTATAACCTATATTTTTTACAGCAGAAGGAAAAATAAATTAAATTACTTTTGAAAACTTTACTGTGTACTTAAATACACATTGTATGTACAATGGTAAAATATATACCAAAAGAAAAGAAAAAATATGTGAACAATTGTATAAAATAAAAGTATAGATACAGTCAGTACATAAACAATAATAATAACGATACATTTTTTTTGCATCTAGACATGACTTTTATCTACTCTTATCACAATGTCCGTGGCACTGACGCGACCACTCCACACAAACAGCACAGTATAAATAAGTAACATGAATTTGTTTAATAATTGCGAGTTTTATATGTAGTTCCGGTTCTTCAAATTGAATTTGCGAGTATCTAAGTGGGCCCTAAATTTCAATTAAAGACTCAGAACTATGGACATGTTTGTATTGCAGCTTCTTTTTTTTACCTTTATGAGACTATGTACAGTAAGATTCAATTATTTCGATTATCCGTTCAGAAACCAAGCTCAACCATTCATCCTAAATATAACAATGTGCAATATACAGTAACTGTACAAATTAAAGTCAAAAACATACATCAGTCAAAATAGTTTTTCGATGTTAATTTTGTTTAACTTTTTTGCACAAACACTATTGTTGATTTGTTTGTTGTAAGGACACTTTATCATTTATGTCAATTACTTGAGAGTTATTACGAATTACGCTAAAACTGAAGGCAATACAAATCTTTGGGTCAAAATATCTAGTAAAAATGTACGATGCAAAATTAAATCAAGAGTTACAAAAATGTTAACTTAGGTAAGAAGATATTCCTTTATAAATTAAGGCAAAAAAAAATACTTCACGTGAATACTGATTTAAATTAACATCGAAAAGCTGATAACAAAGTCGAATCCAACCATATTATTTATATAACACTGGTTGATGTCCAGATTTCTGAAACAGATGGTGATTACCAAGCTTTTGTTTATTTCTTTTAATTAATTAATAATTGAACACTGAGACATTTTATGATGTACCGATTTAATTAATTTGAACCAATTAGTTACCACGAAGCTATAAAATACCGCAAAATATAGTTTCCAAAAATTTGCTAACAATTGTTTACATTATAATTTTCATGCCTATAGTTACTATTGTTTAAAAGAAACATTGACTAAAAATCAGAAAAAAAAAATCTGCCGCCTCGTCAATGAATGCGTATACATAAAATGTCTCAAAAAAAAAAAATCCGGTGCTCCATTTTTTTAATAAAAAGAAAATAACTGCTTAGAAAAAGCCATTCCAATACAAAAAGTACTTTTAAAAAGTTGAGAAAGGATTCCAGTCACTGTGTAGTAGTACTTACATTATTTGACACTGTATGGCGAAAAAATCTTACAAGGAGAGAATAATCAGATTTGCTCGTTAACCTTCCGTAATCTTCGCGCGACATGAAAAAAAATGACGTTTAAGAATTGCTGAAAGTGCGTTGAATTTACCTTTACTGTATATTAATTAATAGTGAAGGAAGTCTTACTGAGATTTAACATTTAATTTTCGGGTACGAATAATCCCAAAATGGCTGCCAAGACTTCAATGATCAGTCACCGCAACAGATACTTGTAGTAAAAATATGCTTGAGAGATATTTAAATATTATTATTATGGTACATGACAAAAATTATATGAAGTAGTATTAATATCTTAAAAACTTCCGAAGAAGCCAGACAACCGATAAAAAAAGTAAATAAAATATTAATTTATTAAAAAAAAGTAAACACGAACATAATTTAATTATTTTGTTTTTTTTAATCATAGTGACAAAGAATTCTATTCTGATTAAAATATAAATATAAACATTTTTTCTGAGCAGCTGTAGTCACTGTAGTCATAGGTTTGCGCTAATTGGGAAGGTTAACCACCTTTCTATGTATGACTATTATAACAGTCATTTGCTTTAATGCGTTAACGGAGGCATTTATTTGCAAATATGGATCTCTGCCACAGTATAAGATATTTTCTGCAAAAAGCGTTTAAATGTTTTCACGCAACTATGAGTAGTGCAATCAAATATCGAGCAAATTGTAATGAATTTTTTGGCCTGAAACGTGATGAGAAATCAACTACGCATGGTACAAAGCAAGGACACTTTAAAAATTAACTCACCAAACATTTTTTCCTCATTTATACACAAGTTTTATATACCTATTTATAATGTGAAACAGATATATTTTGGGGCCATATCCTCAGTTTTGCACTTACACCTCGTTTTTAAAAATTCTTCTGCTACTTTTATTTTATTAAGCAAGCGGTCTTACGATGGCCATCGAAGAGCTTCTTTAATAGGAACTCTTTTGTTTTGTCACAACTGTAGTCAAGAAACGTGCCTGGAGATACCTTTTGCTATTGCACACCGTCGTTTTATTAAAATTATTAATGGAATTTAAGAATTAAAATGTGGCGGTGTACTTTTTTTTTTTTCATCGGTTCAGCCAACCTAACCAAATTCACTTTACATTGTTATTTCCAAACACGTTACCGTTTAGAACCTCCCACAAGCTCAGAACCTAAAGCTTCTAACTACACCATTTACCAGAATGGCCCCTTAACAAGCCAACTTTTTTTTTGACTAGATTTTATACAACTTCGTTAACTTCTGGCAAACCCGCACGGGCTGCGTATGGATGGAAACGCTTCTTCCTCGCAACTACTACAGAACGCCGCTTCGCGCTTTTTGAACTGGAAATAACTCGTCCTCGGCCATCGCAACAGCCGCCTGATAAGGGATCGAAGCGAAACATTAAAAGAGATTGACGTAAAAAGTCCACACTAACTCCGAGCGTCTTCTAATAATTCACAACATGTTTATAATTCTTTCTTACCGTTTTGACACTACGATAAATGTTCAACAAGCGTTTCATGGGGGTGAGCAAGTCCTATCTCGCTTAGGATCCTGCGTACATATATATATATATATCGAATAATGGAACATGAGAACACGACAATCGAATCGATTATTTTTTCTTGTGGCGTTGATTCTGCTGTAATGAAATCCATTCGTTTGCAACCGAAATAAAAAGAAAAACAATGTAACAACGAAGACCTCGAAAACAAATTTTGCAACGTCCGTTTGCCACTGTGCTCCAGAATGAATGCCGCGAACGCGACGCGGCAGCACGAGCGACGCCAGTGTCAGAATGACGGGACCGTCGGTTTGTTCCGATCTCCGGCATCATAATCATTTTAATAACTTAACAAACACAGCACTGCACTAAGATGACGACGAAGCGTTCATCGCCCCGAATATACCCGTCGAAAACGAACTGGCCTGTTGCTGTTGCTGCTGTTGTTGCTGCTGCTGTTGCTGTTGGTTCGATGTGACTCGCGAATGCTTAGGCATGGGGGGCTGTAAATATTCATGTTTGGCTAATGACAGAACATCGATACGATCCTCTTTCCTGTAGGCTAGGCAACTTCTAATGAAACTCTGTAAAAAGAAATTACACGCTGATACCGACGTACTACCATCTCCGCTGGATAATGAGGAAGTGTGAGGTGGGAAATCCTTTTTGCAAAAATGTAATGATTTATGGTATATGCACATAATTACGTAGTGAGTGTAGTCACTGCGTACCTTTGTTATGGATTATTATGCCATATTTAAAAAAAATGTTGCTATTATGAAAATTATTCTTACAAATTTTATGTTAATTCTAAAGAAACATGATGCGGTCGGTTGTGTAGCAGAATCAGGATTATATTTCCACGATACGTTTTGTTAAAAAGTTTTTATAGGCTTTATCGTATTTTAAGAAATTTGTAATTTGGTCGAAGTCGATCAACCGTAAAAAAAGCATACAAGTTGTTGCTAATTGAGAGTGACATTTTCAATATTACCTTGAAAATATGAAGGCGTTTCGTGCGAAGTTTTAAATTTCCTTGTTAAAGGTACTAATTTGTTTAAAAAAAAATGTAATTTAGCACCTGCCTATCTATTGTTCCTACCATTTTTTCCAAAACTTAATTGTGACCGTTGTTTGGTATATTTAAACAAATATATACAAAAATGACGTCACTAAAAAATGTCATTAGTCCAGAACGAAAGGCTTTAATTGCTTCACATTTTCTAGCGATTTACTCTGTACAAAGGTTAAGTTTCTCAAGAAAGGGACACTAAAGTCGAAATAAGATTTTTGTTAATGGCAAAATGGAAAAAGAATATCAGATAACATGTTTGACGTAGTAGACCTTTGTATTTAGTAAGTTAAGAGTTGCGCTGTGTTGAACCCGTGGATACTCGACGAGCTGAAACGTTGTTAAGTAAATAATACAGGCCACAATATCCATTTCATTAACATTCGTCATTGTTAAAAAAAAATCAATACCTAAAAGATTAATCGGCAGTATATTAGAAATTGATCACGCGCATGAGAATTATTTCATAACCTTACATTTTCTACAGACGCTTCTTGCAGAAGGTTGAAACCTTCGCGTTTTATTTTCGTTCATTTCAACTTGAAATATGCCACTGAACTCTTATTCTTGTATTACAAACAAGCGAGTTTCTTTGAATAGCTGAGACAAAAGATCTCGTCTTTGTCAATCAATTGAAGTTGCAGAAAATATCAGTTTCTAATGTTATAGATGCCAATTCATGTTTAACAATGAATGTTCAATATATTCAACAAAAATCATGTAAATTATAATTTTTTATGCTTATGCTTACAAATATATCACTTAGAGAATAGCGTTTTTCGTATTATTTTTGGTTAATTTAGTCACGCCGTCACTAGTAATTTTTATTACCAACATGCCATTGTGTGGTTTAATGTGAAATCATTATTTTGATTATTAATTATAAGCTTCGAGCTGTCGGTTATATGTCAAATTTTAAAATTTTGATCCACATTAAGAAGTTTTTACTTAATTGCTTAGTTCAATATATTGCCAAGGAACGCGATTAACAAAAAAACATTTTTTAAATTAAGTGAGGTAATGACCATAACGACAAACTTCTGAAATATACGACTGTTTGTGCTTATGGCAACGCAGGAAATTTTATCCACATGACGTTAATTTAGAATTAAATAAGAACACTATAATCGCATGTATCTTATCTAAGCTGATCAAAGAAACCTAAAAGTTGATCCTTTTTCCAACAATTTTATGTAATAAAGTTTCTGGACTTTAAGGGTAATTATAATTAAATCTCTATTTGTTTCTTTTTAATAAGACAGGCGTGTGACATATGTGTTCAGGGATCGGAGCTGATCGTGTCCGCAAGCATCTATCTACTACAATCTGTCACATCATAAGGACACTTCTTACCTTGGCTTCATTTGTCACAGCAGGTTTATTTGCAAACTGAACATCAGTTGCTTTTAATATAGTGTTTTCTTCTAATATGGTGGCCTGGGACTGATTATGCCCGAATGGTTTTTTGCCGTACAAGCATTGATAAAATATCACACCGACACTCCAAACGTCCACCTTCGAGGAAATTTTTGGAGGATTCTTACCAACAACAAAACACTCAGGAGGAAGATACCTTAAAAACAATAAAAGTGAGTGACCTGGTCTCAAAATTAAAAAAAAAAGCACTCACCAATAAGTACCCGCCCCTTGCGACGTTAAATCCATGCCATGGTCGGGGTTGTAATTTTCCTCATCCATGACTTTGCTTAAACCGAAATCAGTAATTTTGATTTCGCCACAAACATTACCCTCAGTCAGCAAAATATTGCCGGGTTTGAGGTCATAATGGATCACAGGGGGCTTGATTTCATTCAGGTACTTGAGGGCAGACACCACTTGCATTATTATCGACCTGGCTTCCCTCTCTGGTATTGTCTTGTGCTAGAATCCATTTTGTAAATCTCACCCTGCTTTTAAATTTTTCAGTTTTGACCTCACCTGCTTCAAATAAAAGTCAAGATCATGACCATCACAGTATTCCAAAACTGTACAGAACGAATTCGCATCTATTTCAAATACATCATACAACTTAACTACACGGGGGTGGTCTAACGCCTTGTGAATATTATATTCCCTCAGAGCGTGTCTATAACGAAAAAAGCCTCATAATTATCACGAATGTTCTTCGGTCATTTGAAAACTAACCAACACTAAACATAAACAATTTTATGAACAAATGGACTTCTTTTCAGTTTCAAGGAGAATTACAGAGAAATTCCAACCAACCATCTACTGTTTATCCCTCTCTCGACATATTTATTAACAAAAAAGTTAACAGTAAATTTGACGTTTTTTCACTCACTTTATATAATTCGCTTTTTTGTCCTCCTTCCAGTCTTTGTTGAGCTGGTGCACCTTGCACGCTACATACCTCTGCTCCTTCAAGTCAAAGGCTTTATGCACCTCGCTAAAACCTCCTTTCCCAAGAAGCATTAGCAACAGGTACCTGTCATTTAGGACTGGATGGTTGTTAAATCGCGACTGGTCCTCATTGTGAATCCGTTTTAATTCCCTAAAAAAAAAAATAACATTTAACCTTTAAAAGAAAAAAAAAAAAAAAGAAAAATAATATACTGGCGTTATATAAAAATGGAGTGGTACTGGTGTAGGTATATTAGTCCCTGTTGGCAGTGAATTTTTTGTTGTTGTAATGTTTTCAAAACGAAAACTTTTTGTAGCAAAAAGCACAACAAAGCGATTATTACCTATATAAATCATTTTTTATAATAAGCACTAAAAACGAAAAAAACAATTTGTTAAGGCTAAAACGTTATGTAAACTATATCCCTGACTGCTGAGTTTTGAGATACGGAGTATAAATGAAACAGAAGTTTTGTAAGTTTTCTTATATAATTTGAAAACAATATAATAACATTGTCCATTCTAATTTTTAATAGAGAATAATTAAAGTTTGGTGGGGTATAGTTCAAATTAGCATTCAAATTATAAAGTGCGCCAATTTCAAGATAAAAGTAATATATCTGTAATATAAAACATAATGAATAAAATCATAGACAAGCCAAGAATGGTAAAGATGTTCAACGAAATCTGTAACAACTGTAACACAATTGATAAAATCCGAATATCGATATCTAACTATATATTAAAAAAATGGTTTGCTAAATCGTTTTAAATTTTGCGTTATTTTTCTTGAAAATTACAATTTTCGAACTCAACTAAGTCCCGTGTACCCTAGGACTTAGGGCCAATCACAAAAAACGAAGTATAAAGCACAATTGAGTAAAAACAATTACTATATAACTAAGTATACTCCAGTCAGGGTAGTTATGCAGTTACGTCACGTAATAACAAATGATCCGTATGTCTTAGCTATATTGCCACCGTGTTTAGGACAAACGACATCCAGCAACTAGACAGCCATGCTATGATGTAACTTCACAACTGCTCTGACGAATTTATTACATTTAAATTAAGTAGAAGACAAAGACAAAATATGCAAGACAAAAATATTATTTCCTTATCTTAATTTACGTTTCAAACTAACGGTAGCTCATCATCCGGTAATCAGAATTAGTACTACTGTGGATGTCAATTGACAAGGTTGTCATTTCTTGGTCGGCTTGTTATACCAAAACCAAAAGAAAGTGTGTTATTTTTTTCGATAGTTGGCTTACCGTATATGAAGATTCCGCTCCCGTTCCAACTTCTCCATTTCCAGTTGCAAATCGGCATCTTCTTTTTTCAAAGCGTTTTGCCGCAACTTGAGAATCTCGTCGGCCTCATAGTACTCTTGCAACGTGAGAGACCCCGGAACAGCGTCAGGCTTCAGGAAACCGCTGTCGGTAGTAGTACCGTTGTGCAGTACGTTTGAGTTGTTCCTTTTCCGACCGCCTCCCTCGCTGTTCGATGGTCGCTTTTTTAAGAGGAGCTTCTTTTGTCTATCGATCTCCTCCCTTTCCGCTGTTATTTCCTCCTGCCGCCTTGCCATACGCACAAAAAAAAAACAATATTAATTGCCAAAATTTGGTATTTATAAATATCTACATCGATATTCGCAAGAAATCAGTCCCGTCTTGAAACATGTTGACCATCACCGTAGTTCTGGATCTGGGTGTATCATCATATCGTCAATAAAAGAACAAAATATTTGCCGAATCGATTTTAATTAATATAAGTAGAACTAGGTAGTTTTTGTATATATTAAACTTAAAAATTATTCAAGTAACTTCAAAAACAAGCCTTCCACTAAAAAAAACTGATAAACAAGGTAACCAACAAAGACAAATAATTAGCGGTTTTCCATAAACACTGTTTGGATAAATTTAAATTTTAAGTTTTAGCGTTTTATGAAAAAAGAAGCGTCCATGGTGAAATTACTAACTGCCAAATATGTTTGTAACGTTTTAAGCACCTAGTTTTGAAAAAGGAAATCTTTTAATTCGTTGCATAACCTAGATGTTTTTTGAAGATTTTATAGAATCATTTTTTAAAGAAAATTTGAAAACTATCGACGAAAAGTTAAAAACATAAATTCTGAATAATAAAAAATATTCACAGAAAATTGAAATGATATACAGGGCGTTCTTTTAATAAATCGATAATAATCGATACATTTTTAAGTTTACTTTATATTATTTTTTTAGTCACATATGGGTTGCCCTCTAGGTAGCAGAGAGGTAAGAAAAATGCAATTGATAGACCGCAGGAAAAATATAAAATTATGAACACACAATTAAAATCGAAACCTAATTGACAAATGAAAGATAATGTTTACAGACTCTGTGTATATTTCACAATGAACATAATACATTAATTTTAAGATTAAGTTTTGTTAAAAATAAGATAGGAAGCCTTCGAGGGTATAATTATTGCCGCAGGAAAATAGATCCTATAACATTTCGAATATTTACGGCCAGGCTTTGCGATGGCGATTGAAATTGAAATATTTTTCAACAGCTCACGAAACTCAAGTAACAAACCATTCAGTCATCTTATCAAAGGAAAAAAAAATTAAAGGTTCACATTAAAGTGAGTTAACTGAGTTAATGTGATAAAAGTCAAAATTTTGTGTTGTTATGTTATTGCGCAAACAGCAGGAAGGTTTACTATTTTTCAGATTTTATAAATGTAAAAAAAAAATAAAAATCAAAAGATATATGAAATTTTAATAAAATTTAAATCAACAACTTATGTAAGTAGTTATGAATTTTTTGAAATTTCTCAAATTAACTGACACTAAATGTGTTTTATTGTTTTACTACCTGGAGGCATTGAGGCATAGACGGTAAAAGCTTTGGATGATCGACGGCGTGATCTTTTAAAATCCGTAAATATTACGTAAATAAAAAAAATCAAACTGCAATTACTAAATTCTATAGAAAGAAAATGTCAGTAAAGCTTGTAGAAAAATATTAATTAATATAGCCATAACTAATTTACATATGAAAATGTTTCGGTGCTTTGCGATATGAACTCTGATGCCACAACCAATGAGAGCCGCCTGTTTAAAGTTTGAAGAGATAATCCCTTCTATTTTTTCGTTTCTTTCGCCAAAACCGACGGATTAATGTTGTTTTATTAACCGTAATAAATTAAATAAAACCACTTTTGTGCATTTTATTATAATGTGGCGAAATGATCTTTTTTGTAAACAGTGAAACTACTGAAAATATAGGGAGAATTTTGCATTTTACCTATAAAATTAATGTTGTTTTTTTAAACTCCTTTATTCCTCCTGGTTCGGTTTTTATTTACTCGAACTTGCAAACGTTTCGCCAATCATCCTGTTGGTTTCTTTAGAGCTTGACTGGCTCGCATTTTCCTGGGTACCTGCTTATATATTGATGACGGATGACTGATTCCAATATTGGTGACAGGTAAAGATCTGAGTCGCGGTTCAGATATTTTACGTCCAGTCTCTCCAATGTATCCTTGTCGCATATGCATGGAATGCTGCAAACTACTGGCATCGAAGATGTTGGGAGATTTTTGGACAAGTGGTAAATCTCGTTTTGACGTTATATTTCTTTAGAACTGTTGATATGTGGTGTGTGATGTTTTGAATGTAAGAAAGAACAACAGTGGCAAGTATGGGATTGCTTTCGGCTTCGTTGCTATTGCAAGGTTGTGGTAGTGTATTTTGTACTGGAACGCTTAATATCTTTAATGTGGAAATTGTTAGAGAAAAGAGCAGAGATAGGGTGTTTTAATTCTGAATTCACTGACTCGGGTTGAGATAGTCTTACGGCTTTGTAAAGAAGAGAGTTGATAACCGATGATTTTTGGGCCGGATGGTGATGTGACATTAAGGTATCGGTCTGTGTGCGTAGGTTTTCTGTAAACGCAATGACCCAATGTTAGGTCTGATTTTCTACTGATAAAAATATCTATTAATGGAAGGTTATTATTAATTTCCAACTCAATGCTAAAACGTATGTTAGGGTTTATAGAGTTGAAATGTTTCAAGAAAATCTACTAGGGATTCTTCACGATTACGCCAAATAACGTAAATAATATATTTTTGGTTTTAGATGGAAGGTGTCGAGAGCTGTCTTCCCAAAGGCTTTATATATTCCCGGTGACTGGTGATGGTGGAGAACCCATAGCTGTTCCCGGCGCAGACAAGCATTTATGAATAAACATGAGAATGTTTGCTTCCGGATTCTCGGATTTTAATATATCTGAAATGATGGTGAGAGTTTCAGGAATAGGAACTTTAGTAAAGAGGGATTCTATGTCGAAACTCACCAGAATATCTTCGGTATCTAATGTAATGCTTTTTAACTGTTCAATGAAGTGAAAGGGGTTAAGTATGAAACTACGAGTACGAGTTTTCCCTGTAAAGGGTTTTAATAAGGAAGCTAGATATTTTGCTAGAGAATATGTGGGAGAACCAATGGTGCTGACAATAGGTGGAAGGGGTAATCCTGATTTGTGAATCTTTAGGAGTCCGTAGAAACGAGGAATTTTAGAGTCATGAGGGATTACAGATTTTTTCACGGAGTCTGATCCGCCCCCTCAAACAATATCTACGGAGGTACGGAGTAAAATGCGAGTCAGTTTCAGTCAAGCTCTGAAGAAGCCAACAGGATGTTTGACGCAACGTTAGCAAGTTCGAGTCAACAGAAACCGACGCAGGAGGAATCCAGAAGTTTTAAAAAAAGTATTACAGTAGAGTGTGGAAGTTTCTTAGAAAAATAAATGCTCCTTGCGTGCTAGAAAATGCAAACGTTGAAAATGAACCTTTTTAATTACTTTCCAATGAAAAAGTTATATAAATCGATTCTAACTAGCGTGATAACATTCAATTAACGCTTGAAATGGAAGCAACAAAATTTTATTCTGAGACAGGCCGTAATGTGTTTGTGCAACCTATACAATGTACCAACAAACTACAAGTCATCGGCAAAATTCCTAAACACCAAGCCGCAAAAATTATAAATTAATAGCAGTCTCCCATTCATTTCGTGGGAGAAAAGGAGGCAGTCAAAATATTCTTTTTTTTAGTTATAACAAATTGATACTTGTGTTTCAAAGATTGTTTCCATAATAAATATTAAATGTGGTAATAATATTTAAGGGAGAGAAACAACTTAAAAATGTGAATTAAGAAATCAGTTTTTCAAAATATCCGTTCTTCCGTATTTTGCAAAAAAAGTGCCATTAATATAATTCAAATCTGTGAGTATACAAACAACGTTGGTTTTACTTTGGTCACGTCTGCACAAAATTTCTATTTTATATTCTAAGATAACTGTAAAGCAGCCACCTTTGTCGATAGCGATTTTTAATTATTTTTATTGTCCTTAAGATTACGATGGTAAATGTGATTTAGATCATTGTAAAATCAAATGGGGAGGCTTTCCTTACCACTTATAAGTTGCAATCAATTTACTAAATTTAATGCATGGACGTTTACTGCGCTAAATTTTTCAATCAAGGTGCACAACTCAAAGTAACTAAATATTTATAACACTTATTTTTATATAGTGCATCGAATTCCGTAGACTAGTAATCTCAAATTGCTGCGATGATAAAGGCAAACCTCGGAGAGAGCGCAACATAATTTTATAATAATAAGAACGTTTTACTCTCTAACAGGTAGATTCTGGTCAATTGCATAACGCGAAACATTAAATAATGCACAATAGTAAAAGAGGAAAATGATAAAAAGAACGAAAAGATCGGATAAAACAACATATATATTATACATTATTCAGCTATTCCGTAAGTCTGTTTAAACAAACCGAAACTGGTGTTAAATAAATCCATGCCAATCTCGCGTTCAAACTCGTGAAAGTTCTTGAAATTGCCCGAGAAAATGCGGTCATAGCATTGGTGGAGGTAGTTAGCTGGTGGTGATAGCATATTATTTCATGCGTTAAAAGAGGGTGCATGAAAAATAAGTTGCTGGAGTAGTTGTGGACATTCTTATTCAATATATAAAAATATCACAGAGGCGCTCATTCTCTTACGACTCCAAACGGGCCAAATAAAATTGCCTAAAAAGGTCAGCACAGTCGCCACTGCAAGATCGAAATAACGATTGGAAACGATTTTTCAATTGCAATATATTTTTAATTGAAACCAGTTCTTTGTGTTTTACTAAGACTGTGAATCCTTGCTTGGACGATTTCACAAAAAGTTATTTTTTTATTATCGCGGTTCTCGAAAAAATGGACTTTTGAGTTGCCAAACATACCTAATAAAATACTTAATTTGTGACACACGGAAAACCTCAATCGACCACTCACCTGGCCAATTCCTGAAACGCGTGTCCGTCCGTCCAATTTTCCTGGAATGTGGCGCCCACCCGCTGTGTCACAAACTGTCCTAACCTTAACCTGTTCTGCATACACTTTTGCCGCGCTTCCTTCTTCTCGATCGAGCTCTTTTCTTTTAACAGTTTTTTCACCACCTCTATGCACTTGTTCACCTGCTGTTTGTGCTGATCGATCGCCTTCTGCTGCGTTGAGATCTGGTGCCTTAACTCCTCGTTCGTCCGTGTTAATTCCTCAATCTTGTTGTTTCGTACCTCGAGATCGGAAGACGCTTGCGTTTCGAATTCTTGTATCCGTTGACACGTCAATTCAGTCTGGCGACAAAGAAGATATTTTTTTGATAAACCTGCTCGACTATTTTCAAAACTCTAGGTACTTGTTTAAGGGGAGATTCAAATGTCAAGCCGATTTAATTAAAATTAAACAAAGCTCCGTTTTGGTCGTAATCAGATTTGCTTGGGTAACTATGCGTTTTAGAAATACATAAAGGGCAAATTTATATAATTTTTATTAAAAAAATCTGTTTGGACTTATTTTTGACAACTTGTAGGAAAGGACTGGAAATGAATAGAAAATGCAACTACAGAAATCTCTTATAAGACTTTGTTTTTCCATATAAAAGTAAATATTGAAAAATCCCAAATATTCATATAAAAAAGTTATTCAAACTTCCATATGCTACATGTTTCCTACTTTATTTCAATCTCTAAAACCACCTACATTAACTTTTTTCAAAGAAACTTCCACAGGCTACTGTAAAGCTTTTTACAAAACTTCTGGATTCCTCCTGCGTCCAGTTTCAGTCAAGCTCTTGAAGAAGCCAACAGGATGATTGGCGAAACGTCAGCAACTTCGACTAAGCAAAAACCGACGCAGGAGGAATCCAGAAGTTTTGTAAAAAGCACCTACATTAACGCTCTAGTTTCGGTTAGTTTCAGAAAGTTCCAATGAGAATATATTTTCTCGCTTTTGAAATAACTTCGTAAAGACAAAATCCAAAGTTACAGTTTTTACGCGATATTTTCGCAAGTGCTAACGATAATTACAAGAAACTTTCACCCAGTAATTGAAACTACCCTCTAGCTCATACCGTTTCCGAGATCACAATGGTGAGAAATTTGAAATAACCTATTTACGTTACGGCAAATGAGATTCTAGGAAATTCAAGGCCATTTGAGTTTTGAAAGAAAGCTTTTGCTTTAAGAACTTATTTGGTGTTGGGTGGGGGGGCGGAGGGGGTAAGCGATATTATTAAACAATTTTCTGCGTAAGAAACCGCTTTTTTTTTGCTAAAATCTTGTAGAGCAAAAACAAAAATAATTTTGTGACAAAAAAGTCCGCGTTTTGCATTTTTTATATATATTGTAAAGTTTTAAAACGTTGTGTAAACATAGCATGCAAAAATGTTTATTCTGTACTACCTGTGTTAATCTGCTAACCATAGGAGGTGGGGGTAGCCTTTGGTGGGACTGCGTTTTGTAAAAGTCGAAGGGATTACTTGTAACTTGCGGGGAGGGTAATCCCACCTGTTGGGGAGATGGTGGTAACTGCAAAAAACACAAATAAATTAGGTCTAATATTCCCTGTATAGTTGTGAAAATAGTTATATACAATTTTGTTTTGATTTTGCCCAACTGCGATTTTAAATGATATTAATTCGAATAGGATTTCGTCACTGTGTTTACCGACTTGATTATGCACCGGTAATATAAAATTTGCAATTAGTTTAGGTAGAGTTTTTTACGGTAATCAACGCCCGCCGCGCGGAGGGACATCATTTGGTTAAATTCAGCAATCGGATAAAATAAAATAATTAAATATAAAATAAATTGGATAATCTAAGTAAAATTACCTCGCCACGTTTCCGATGGTTCCGATCAAAATTGGAAATTAACATTTTTGCATGGTTTTAAAAATATAATGTGCTTTTTAAATATTTTATTTGAGGGGTAAAGCATAATCGAGGAGCTTTTTACTGCAAGAAATACTTGTAAACAAAAATAAATAGGAGATATAAAATTTGTAAATAAAAAGAAACAAAAGGAAATTTGAGAGATATGAGCAAGTCTCGTTACAAATGTTCCGTGTTGGTCTTTATTTTATTACTTAATCTTGGTTAAGTTCATATTGTGTCAAAATTTTTAATAAGCAAGCAAATACTGATGAATACACTGAGACTGATAGCTACCAATACTGGCAATCCACCATCGAAATACGAGTGAAGAGCCGATCGGCCAGTAAAAAGCCCCTCGAGAAGGAAAGCATTATTTGATGACGTCAGTTTATCAAAGTGGATCACTAAAATATTCCTTCCTATGTAATCAAACATGTAACTCAATTTCATGTTTATGTACAATGTGAAAAAATCATACATGGGAACAAATTCGATTTTTGTGTAAAAATATATTATTTTCGTACACGACCAAGTTGCAAAAATTTCAATTATGTTAATTTCGAAAACAAAGTATTTCTCGAAATACGTTTAAAGCGGGCTTATTCTGGACGCAAAATACGCTTCTAAAGTTGGGACACTGCCTTTCGGGACGCACCTACCAAATACGAATATTACGAAAAAATAAACGAAATCGAAAACGAAAAATCTAAACCAAAACAGAAGACTTGACGTTCTCTCTAAAAAAAAAGAAAAAAGACCTGTGAATGTTTGAATGCCATATAGTTAGAAATTTCTTTTCATGGCGCTGGTAATTCATAATTCATCATCATTTTTATCTACAGATGTCATTTTATTATTTAAAACACTAATCAGTAAAATTTAAGAACGAAGAAGAAAACACACGACTTTGAAAACAGATACGAATTGAAACTAGAAAGAGTACTATTATACAATTTATTATAAGGAACAGCACATAGATAAAATTATATGTGAATAAAATTCTAGTATTAAAAAAAACTTTGGACGGCATTCAAAACGGCACACCCATCACGCAAAAAAAGTGGATTTTTTATAGTCCTGACATCCCCTCAAAATAAATAAATATAATTAATATAAAGCAAAACCAGATATGAAGTGCTGGTTAGGTCAGTACTGTGTTCGGACACATTATGAACACTTGAACAATACTGTTGGGTACACCTAGATATGTTAGTCAGCAAAAAAACGTCTCTGGAGTAAACGCGCACTCTCGAAGCCAAAACTATGTGTATGGAAATGGTTTTGGTATTAATTATTAAAATGATTGCACATTGCATATTCAAAATTTAGCGTTACTGCTAACACTGCCGAGACAGACAAAGCATTTGCCGCGAGACTTGCTCTAGATCTGGTAATAATTGAATAACGATTATTTCAATGCAGACATTTCTAAAATATTCCAATTTCCGAAACGTTGTTATCACGGTTTTCTTTACCTGTCAATAAAATGGTCAACTTTTAATCATACTCGCTAACATCCAAAAAATTGCTCCGTTTGTTCGAAATGCCATAATAATTAACGAATAACAGGTACTTAAATGCTACTGTACACTTCACAGAGCTTAACCTCAAAACTTGTTTGAAGCGCTCGATTCTACTTACCATTGGATAGGGCTGTTGAGGCGAGGGGCTCTTCGCGCCCCCGAGCCTTATCGGGCTATTGCCCGAGTGCTTGAAGTAATCGTTGATTTTCTTGTCGGGCGGCGCCCCGGCGTTTCGTCCCCCGCCTCCGCCCACCCCGACGCCGCCCTGAACGACGCCTTTACCGCCGCCGGTTAAGCCACCCCCGTCGTCCGCCTTTCGTTTCCGTTTCCTTTCCGACGGTGTCCGAGCCACTTTTTCGGGAGTATTCGAGTCCACCTCTTTGTCGCTGTGAGACGAACCTTTTGTGAAAACAATCATCATTAGTACGACCTAGCAGTTGCGTCCGGTACTATTACTAGTAGCACGTCGTTGCGCTGAAAAGAGACCAAAAAAAGTACCATCTTACTAAAACGGTTCAAATTCATACCGAAGGACTAGCAACTACTAGAGTACCTTGTTAAAAAAGATCTGATATACACTGAAATATTTATACCCGAAATTAAGGACACTCCATATAGGCTAAATGAGCACTTTTTCAATAAAACTTTAAATTGAAACAACACATAACCTCGATGATTAATTTTCAAATTTAAATGAAATATCAGTATCGGTATTTTGGTGAAAATTGGAATAAAAAGATTGTTCCGCTAACTTAACTGCTTTTCACTTTTTTTTAATTTAATTCCAAATTTTATCTAGAGGCTGTGACGTCTATGAAAACTTGAAAGCAATCAGATTGAACGACGTTTCAAATCAACCTTCTAGGATACATTCAGTTGTGTTAAAATTATTTAGATTTCACTATAAATATTAAGCTAAATTTGGAATCGAATGTTAAACCATTTAACTATTTCTTATCTCATCTTATCTATACTATTACACTATACACTAAATATTGTTGCATGGTGTATGTTTTCCTCGCAAATAATAGATTGATTGATTCAATCGAAAACGCAGTACATGTTCAAAATATCGTTCTTTCGTCGAATCATTGTTTTATTTATATCAAAATTTGTAATAGTAGTTAGTAGTAGTATTGTAGATCACTGCAACAGAAAGGTTAAAAACTCAACAAAAAACTTAGGTTATATAAATTTAACTGATAAAATATACCACAACATTAACTATCTCAGCGCTAGTGCTGACTTATTAATTAAATTAAAAAAAACTTTTGTCCTGAACATCTTAAGCTTTCTAGAAGTTGTATAAATTTTATGAAATTCTGCACTCGCTTTCTGAACATTAACAGCTATTTTTTGTATTAGAAATTTCTTTAATTTCTTAAACAGTGCCTGGACATCCGCCCACAGGTTACGGAATGATATTTTTGGAGAAACATCATGCTTACATAGCCCTTTCTTCAAATAAAAATTAGTTTTGGTTAGTTTTGGTTCGTTAGTGGATTTCAATTACTTCTAAAAAATAAAGCGGCGAGAAATGTTATTGATTTAATGATCTGTTCATAGATATAAGAAAATGACTTTTGAACGGATTATCCAAAGGTGGTCATTAACATACAATGCAACAAGATTATTATTATTAATTAAGGTAATTATTAATTAATTAATTATTAACTATCAATTATTAATTAAGGTAATAATCTTGTTGCATTGTATATTAATGACCACCCTTGGATAATCCGTTCAAAAGCAATTGGTCACTTTCTTATATCTATGAACAGACCGTACATGAGAGGATCTAGACGATATATAGACCTATTTAGATCTAGTTTATTTTTTCAATGTCAAGGGCATATGCATTGTCTGAAAACTAGTTTAAATTTTAAGTTTCAAAGGATATTTAGCTCCAAGTTTGTTAAGGACTGATCGAGGATCAAGATAGAAAAAAAATGTTAAATAAACATTAATTAATAATATCCATTCTTATTTCAGGAATAAATAAATAATAAAAGAAGAATTTAAGAACGCACATGACATTGACAACCAAATAGTTTATCGCTAACTTCAAAAGTTATCCACCATTAAAAACAATATAGCCACTTCGGCGAGCCACCATTGGCACAAAAACTTATTCTGTATGTATATTTCGAAACCCAAATGGCTAATTAAATAACCTAGTATTTATTAACCTCAACTATTTAAACGGCTTCAAAATCATAATCTCCAATGCACTTACTATTTCGTATTTCAGCACATATTTGCCTCACTTAAATCGTTTAAGTATTTTGGAGTTAGCCCTGACAGTGTAACAATGATAATGTTTATCGATCTCGAATACGAGTAAAATTATTTCTAAATCAAAATCAATTAACACATATTCGATTAAAAAAAAAACTATACCAATCCTAATGTACTCATTCTCACTTAATTTCTATTCATCGGGCTTAGTTTTTGATCCGGGGGATTGACCCAGCACAGTCGGAACGTTCGTGAACCCAAACACCCAAGATTTCCTTGTTTGTCATACCACGGTCGGCTACGTTGGCTTCTCTCTTTTTTTTGCCACATCACATCGAAATGGCGAACGGCAAGCAAAACAATGTTACCGATTCTCAGCCCGCTCTCTGTATTTTGTTACCCAGGATAACGTGAAAATGTTAAAGTAAATATTTTTAGTTTGGCTAGTAGCGGAGGTGTTTGTGTACGAGCGAGTGAGAAACACGGGTCGATTTTAGAAAATGTTTTATTAAACAACGTCTCTCTCGACGCAATAAGCATTCGAGCGTTTACGTATGCACATATATCGGGTTTTGTCTCCATTGCGTATCACAGAGGTATTGGAAGTTGATTTGTGTAACGTCAAAAATGTCCAATTAATTTGGGGGGTGAAATGGGGCACATTACCTAATGAGAAACGAGGATTATATATATACCTCTCTTATAACTACGTAACTTATAACTAGGTAGAAATAAAGACGATTCTTACCTGTACTCATATTGGAGTCTTGGTTATATACGGGCTGGGTAGTGTTGATCGCGGACTGCGGTGCCATCTGTATCTGAGATCCAGCTGACATCTGCAATAAACGAAACTACAGATACTAAAGTGTTTTGAAGACATCCGAAATCAGTAACATCAGTAACATTAGACAAGGCATGTAGGAGGGGAGGGATACTTTTGATAGAAAATTGTGCCCCTTTGGAAAATGACTATAAGAAATAGAAAGCATTCTATTCGCTATAGCAGCGTTTTAACGCAGTGGTAGTATTGCATTTTTCCATTCAATTACAAATTTCAATTAGAACACACTTTTAAACAGTTGTTTTATTCCTTATTACATCTGCAATGAAAGACATTTGTCTAGCTGAGACTCATCTTACAAGAGATTCCATGCATCTTCTGACACAACCATCTTTCAGAATTGAATTTACGGTTTATCGATTCTTGTCTTAACAGTACTTTCCTTATCCCAAACTTGTAATGCGCTATGTGGTCGGCTTATCCCTCTTGTTGGTGGTAAAGGTACATATCGTAATTCAGACTGGGTCGGTAACTGTTTACTGAGTTTGCAGTGACTTTCACAAATCCATACAGAATTCAACAAATTATTAAGGAGTGGCATTAGTGAAATATCTGAAGTAATTGAAGTGACTTGACAATAGGTTTAGAGTTTAGATTTATACTTCTTTGGATACAGTCAATATTGACTCAGTCAGTCAGATTGACTTGAATATTTTATTTTTGTCCAAAACTCATGGAGCTGGAAATATATATCTATTTTCTTTTCGGGCGAATTTCAAATTCCTCCTCCCTTAAACAAATTGGATGCGGAAACAAAAAAAAAATGACACCAGGGAAATTAGAGGGCAGATTATGTTGACTATGTTACAATAGCAAAGATCAGAGGCAAATGTCCTTATGTCCTCAATTTCTTTATATATTTTGTAATATCTAATATAGACTCTGTCTCCTGCTTTAAAAAATTAAAAGAAAATCTTACCTGCGTCACTACTCAACATTGGCAACAAAATATTTTTTACTACTAAACGTCTTCTATTCTTGTTAATGATTAACAAATGAGATTAGAGGTGTTATTTAAAAGCAAATGTAAAGTTTGAACCAAGAAATTATTTCTTTACCGAATATGGTTTTCATTCGAACTGACAATTTGAACATCCTAAATTAAAATAAATATTTTTGTAAAATGTTATTATTTATTTATTTATATCTGTCCACTAACATCTTTAAGATAAGTAATATTATGTTTATTTAAAAAGCTGAAGATATCATTTTGCTGTGAACAATTTTACACTTTTTAAACTTATTATAGATAAAGATCTGTGAAAAAGAAGTTGAAATCTTATTACTAAAAATATTATTATATAAATACGGATGTTTATTGTAAACTATGATTGGAACATTTTTCTAGGAATGACAGGGAATTTTTATGAAGTCTGTATGAATATTTTAAAAATTGAATTGCTGATAATGAGGTTTGGATTCAAAAAGTAAAAATGATTAAAACGTTAAAAATGTCAAGTCAAGAGCAAACTAATATTATTCAAAGAAACTTCCATAGGCTATTGTATGTTATTTTTTTCTACTCCCTTCTGTAAAATGGCCAATTATACACCGATCAAGCGTGCGGGAAGCGCCATTTACCATGTGAGTTTCTTGTCCCACGGATCCGAGTCATTTCGGACATTTCCAGGATATGACCGCACGGGTTTAGGAGCAATCGGATGTTTTTACGTTTGTCAATTCTGATGGTCATGTCAGTGAATGTACCCAAAAACTAACGGTCGTAGAAAAAGCGTAGTATGCAACACGTTTGGTAAAATTTTTAAGTCAATCGCCGATGCCAAATAAACTCATGACTCAAATGACGTTTACCACATTTGCTGCATAATATACTGTTACAAATCTCCTGTGCCTCGGTTGATGATGAATCGAGCTTGCTGACGTTTCGTAAATCATCCTGTTGGTTTCTTCAGAGCTCAACTGAAAACAGTTTCAGTTAAGTTCCGAAACCGACGCAGGAGAAATCCAACAGATTTGTAAATAATAGTCACAAACATTAATACCTACCTAGAATTTGTTTTGGAAACGTGTCATGTGGTTAAAAATCCAGTATAATAAAATGATATAAAATGCAACAAAGTTATCCTTTTTTGCGAATATTTCTCTGCAGTCACAAGCTTTTTTTATCCGTGTTGAGTTGTCATCAGTTTCGATTGACATTTTGATCGATTAAAAACAGTGCATTTAAATTAATTTTTTAATTCACATCCGGTCTCATTAATATACAGTTAACTATTTAAGCACTAATTAATTCCGTTTCTGCCATTCAGGCATCGAGCTAGGCTCGGAACTATGCACGACGAATAGCGAATCAAAAATATCTGGGACCGTTTTCTATTACAACACCATCATTTAATTTTAACTGTTTTATAAAATATAAATTGACGAAAGTCATATGGACGAACTTTTTTTTTTTTGCTTAAGTGCCCTTTTCTAAATTCCAAGACGGATCCCTTTAAATTCATCTATCCTAGATGCTATTAAAACATCTTAACATTTTAACTAATCTATGCAACATTGCCTTTCATTATTTTTTGTTTAATCGCATATAAAAAATTCCAATCACGACCTTTACCACGAAACTACAACCAAATATGTATGATTCCCAATATAAAAATTCAGTTTTAAAAGAAATTACATTTTTTTTAAGCTATGGCCGAAACAGAAAATTGTAAGTGGGTTCCTGAAATCATATTTGGTATCTACCTTTATCCATACAATTGGGTAATGCATGTTTGATGTTTGTATCTATAGTGACATGGATTTTTAGAGTTGATACCACTAACCTACCCAACTAAAAGCAAGCAAAACTAAACTTTCACGAACAGGAAAATAGAGTGACACATTTCTTCGCAAAATCTTCTTAAACAATAAAAGAACACTTCACATTCGAGCAGCAAGTGAAAGCGCTTAATTTAACTTCTTAACAAACAACACTGAAATAAGTAGGATATTACTAAATTAAAATTTACCTGAAACCCAAAAAGAACCTCACAAACGCGCCTCGCGAGTATCTAACGATAGTAACCTACAAATTTTTCTAAAGGTCTGTCTCACAGTAAACAAGGCTAATGATGCAGAATATATGATAAAAAATCACTGAGTATAATCTATTACGCATAAAAATGAGTTTATTTATAGATCATCTGTGTTCGGAACCGCACCGAGTCAAATAAATGTTTACTTTTAAATAATTTGCATCAAGGTTAAGCATTGCGAACTTTCTTAGCGTTAAGAAAAATTTGCTAAAGCAGAGATCGATCGACATTACCAAACCGCGACATTTTGCGTTTGTGATTTCGTGAAAAAATATTGCCATAATCGTTATACTAACCGTGGAGGAAAAGTGCTACGAGCAAATGTTACCTTTAACGACGGCGATTCTAAAAACTCTTGAGAAATTTCTAATTGGAGAACGAACAAATAACTAAGGTATTAATATAACAACAGGTCACATTTTCATTCGTCCACTTTTAGAAGTCGACGTTTTCAGGGCAGGTAATATTTATCAGTCGTCGTCGATGATTTTGTGTTCTCTCTTTTTGTTAATAAAAGCCGAGTGAATACGTGTGCAAGCGCCTGACGTCATCCGCATATTTTTTTCGCGTAGGATTATTCTTTAGTCTTGATTCGTTCGTACAATACGAGCATGTTTTGGCAATGCCACACCGACCATTTTCTACGCGACACGATTCATTTGATGACGGTTTGAGTTTTAAGCGAATTCGCTACCTCTGTAGAAGTCATTGCGAAATACGTCAAATATAAATTCTCCAGTTCGGCTCTGGAACCTGTACTCAGTGAATTAACTCCATCTAAACTGGAATTGTTCTGGTAATGCAGAGAATATCGATTTTGTTAATCAAATTTTATTTAGAGGAAGACGGTTAGTGATGGGGATTCTTTTCTTTTGCCATACATAAAATACTAATAAGTGTAAGTGTAATAAGAAAATGTTTAACATTCAATGTTTCTACCTGTTAGAGTTTTCTAAGTGCAAATCTTTTGATTCTCTGAATTAAGTGGTAGCGACATTATAACTATTTTTCATAGTGACAATCTTGTGTATGTCAAATAGTAATAATTTCCTACTACACGTCTTTTAGAATGGTCCATTTTTGTGTGGTATTTTTTACAAAAAATTAAAAAAAAAAGTTTTTTGATCATCAAATAATATCTAAATGAATTATTTCATTAATATAACGAACGAGACACGAGTCTACTTTAGATCCCAGTTCATATTAATTAGATTTGTTATTACAGCTCTATGAAACAATCTTCGGACAAATCATGCGTAATAGGGTAAGCCGCGTTCACACAGTTTCTGATTCGTTTTAAATCAAAACTAAGCTGTTCGCACAGAACTTCTGAGTTATATCAGTCAGACGAGTTCAGGGAATGTTTCAAGTAAATGTTTGGAGCATACGCAGTGGTTCACCATTCGCGAATCGACGTGGTCAAACATTTGACAAATTTGTGCTCTACACGAGTGTTGTGTTATCTTTACCTACATTACAAGCACATAAAGGGTGTGCCAAACAAGTTGTTTTCTTATATGACCGCAATATCCATTTCATTTCATAAGAATTTCTTCAAATAAGATGAACGTGTAACGTGCAAATAGTAAACCAATTGATGATTCTCCTAGAATTGAAGTACTTTATTTTTAAGAGGAAAAAAACCTATTAGCGTTAGAAATAAGATCTGCAAAAAGTGGACGAAAATAGTATATCGTCCAAGTTCAATTTCAACTAAACACATAATTCACGGCACCAGAACGTATAAGGAAAACCCACGGGAAATACATTACTTTTAAACTGCATTTTTCGAACCGCCATTTCAGTTGTTAATTATTAGTCGCCTTATATTAAAATTCTCACCTTTACATTATACTACGCCATTACAACTACATCACGTGTGGCTTAAAAAGAATTTCGACAAGTTTTGAACGGTCTAAATACCAACGAATTTGCGTTAGAAACTACAAACACTTACCACTCAGCTGCGGAATATCCAGAATGATCGAACGTGATGTGACATATACTAAACGCAGGTAAATACTCTCATTACAGAGATGGAATATTTTCCTTTCGAATTGTATATACCTATATATATACATGGGATGCCTATGTGTTCTAAAAATAACCGCATTATGTCCCGAATTATAAATAAATCCAATCCGTTCGGGTTTCTCGCCTCAGTACCTACTTAATTCGATCGAACTGCGAAAAAGAACTTTACGTTCTAAAAATTAAATAAAACCTGAAGATATCAAGCTGGAAATTTGCAATTAACCAGTTTTTAAGTGCCACATCGACACATTCGTAAAATCGGAAAATATGTTTGAGATGCCAAACCAATACTTCCAATTGTCTAATCTATGCGCTATTCTTTCTTTAAAATTTGGCGGCCGGGCTAAACCAAAATAATAATTAAAAAAAAAAAAATCGTAACTGATTTGGCGATTGTCAGCAACCAATTCGGTGTGCCAAGGCCTACGTCTTTTCTTCATTATTCGATTCACAAAACTCACTTGTGATGAGTCACCGGCGCAAGGGTCGAATGTCACGTGCCGCGTGACGAATCGAGTGACGTCAAGTAGACGTTTAAACGGCACTGCTCCTTTGATTGTTTCCGATAATAGGACAAAAACTCTGAACAGATCGAGGTAAATTTTGGTTATTGGAGACTGGCGAACCAGACGGAACAGTTACACCGAGTGTGAAAAAAGTATGGACACGGTAGAATATCTTGAAAATTAAAAATCAAAAACCAATCAAATTCTTCCCCCGCCTCAACCCGCTGGTGGAGGGCAGGGGAAGCTTTGAATGCCACAGGTCAGGTTTTGTTCGAAGTTTTCTTTTCGATTCTCGATAGATGGCTGTATAATTGCACAAAATCTAATTTCCTATAGAAATACAATACTTAGATGGAATGAAATGTCACCATAGGATCTGCACATTATAGTAAAACATATGACGGCAACAGAAACAACAACAAAATGTTCACATAAACGACAGAACAACAGATTGTTAAAGGAACAGAAAATCGAACTGCCTCCATTGCCTACACCACTTTTCAATGAGAAAAAAAAAATAAACTTATGAGCTCCGTTGTGAAAGTTATGCATAATTCTGGTGATAATGTTGGTAGTTTTTATTAGCGCTGTTATAGTTAAAGCCTTTCAATTATACATACACCAAAGGAATATACGTTCTTAAAAGAATAAAGAAACCAGCGGCAATCCATGCTATACGACAATTTGGAAAAAGTTTTCTACAGAACGTCGATTGTGCTACAACTGTACCACGACTAGTAGAAAACCATCTATCTAATTGCGAAATTTCGTACATACCTTGGGTACCCGATGGACAATGAGGGCATAGAGACATTGCTGCGAGGGTCGATAACCTACATTATTTAGTATTCTATTATATACGTTTCCACTTGGGACTTGGTTGTTGTATATAGGTATTACCTGAGTGGTCGCGTTTCTTTACAAACCAGGCATGAGCTTAAGTTGCTATATAGAGAGTGAACCGAAGACACGTTTATTAGCTGTTCTAAAAATGTTCGTCATCTTATTCATTCTTGATTTTCTTCGAAATAATATCACGGACGGAATGCGTATTTTCGTCGGATTGCGTTCTAAAAATATCCGACAACAATCAGCCGATGTGATAAGTTCGAGTACAGTTACAACGCGGAATATTCACTTATTTAGTGGCACTTTCTGTTTGGTATTGTGCGAGAAATACATTCCAGTTTTAGCTTGCTTATCAATAATTTAAACCATAATTCCTTAATTCCTAAGGTTTAAGTCGAAATTCCGACATAGATGCACATGTTAATGTTGAAGTTGTCCCTTGTCAGGTTCGATGATTAGAACAATACCATTCTTCTTCAGTTGACGAATTAACAACAAACCAACATCAACCGAGAGAACAAAAACAAAAACGAATTGCTTTAGTGGCCTCGATTGTGTAGGAACGCAAACTTTTTCAAAACCTAATCGGTATAAATAATGTCGGTGGAGAGAGTGATAAATTAATAATTCCTTGATAGTTTTTCCAAAACTAAAGAACCACTATGGTAGTTACTTTATTAGTATTGCGTGCAATCGAGTAACACTCAAATTAACAACTAAGCGAGTATATTTCTAATCTCTCGCAGCCAATGGCGAATTCTTAAATTACATAAAACTGGTGGAGTAACCGCTGCTTAGTTTTTCTCACCACAAAGAAACGGTCGATACAAAATCGGTTCAACCGAGAATTGCTATGGAATTAATTAAAAGAAACAAAACTGTATAAGCATCGTGAATATTACGTTCGTTGTCGAGTACTTTAAACTATTCGAATCAACATGGATGTAAGGAAACTTCCAGAAACGGGTCGAGAGGAACGGGATGGCGAAGGGGAGGGGGAGAGTGTGCAATATTGATTTTATTCTTCCAAATGTGTCCCGAGAATTTAACCACTGCGGTAGTGATTATGAGGGTTGTCTTCGTAAAGGATATACTCGATAACTTTGCAGGAACAGGAAATCGATTGGTCTTGAGTAAATCAGTCTCTAATCTATATCAATCATTATATACACGGAATTATTAAGTGGCGGCAACTACTTCAGCGTTGCAAGAGAGAACACATACAGTTAAGTTAGAGAAAAACTGCTTTTTTGACGCAACTTTAAAAAAATTGTTCTCAAGTAGTCACCGCACAAAAATAAAGTATTTTTTGGGTTATTTATTTTGAATTTCAATTAAATTAATTTGTTTGTGCGTGCATTAAAATAAGTATGTTAGATATTTCTTTAATCATATTAAAATCACAATATATTTTGCGTCAAATGTCAATAAAATATCCAAGAGTCGTTTGAAAATTATGATGAAAAGCGCTAAGGACGCGTTTCCGGACTTTACGGTTGAACAAGTAACTCCATTAGATTTTTTTTTTAAGCGGAAAAGTTTCGCATGAAACGAAACCGATAAGAACGAACCGACATCGTCGCAAAGTAAAGCGATGATGAATTGGAACGACGTACGTGGACGCCACGAGTAATAAAATACCCACGCAACGCATCGGTTTTATGGTTCTATTATTTCGGAACAATATTTTTGGAAATCGAATCTCATCCGGGGCGTTTATAGATGGGTAAAAAATGGGTTCCCTGGTGTGTGCGTTATGTACTATGGGATCATTTTCACCCCCTCTCCACGTCAACAACAAGCGCGCAATCGTTTCGCCATTATTTTGTTTTAGATAAAATACCGCCGAAAACTGCCATTAGAAAGCTCGAGCGTTCGACCGACGTTACTAAACAAATTTATCCGCCATTAAATTAATAGTTACGCAACACAAATAGCAAACAACGAGCGCATATAATTTCGACACGATCCACGTTATTTGCTTGACACAATGATTAGGCACCCACTACCGTTCCGTCAAGACTCCACCACCACGATAACCTACATTCCGTCTCTAGAACAATAAATTTTGCAGCATAAAGAAATCGATTCGATACATTATAATAACTACATACGCGGCAGTCACACTCGTCGCCTCGAAAGGAAATAATCACGTCAATATTCGTTCAAGCAAAAGCATTTTTCGATAACTTGTCATGAGTGCGGCAAATGCATGACAGCATAAAACATTGTGATGAATCTAAACAAAGTTACACATATTTTTACAAATTATACCAATCACAAACACAACCAATATTTCTACGGGATTTACAATGACAATGTCACCCGCATAACCTTATAGTACATGAATTAACAGTTGAATATTACGGTGTAACGGGTTCCTGAAGTTCACCCACGGCCGTGCGGAAACCAAATTATCCCGAATCCGTCTATCTAATCTAAAGTAAATCCTACCCTGCAATTCCAAACAAAGTAAAAATGTTCGTCGTTTATGCGCATGCTATTTCGGTCGCTTGTCGCGTAAAATCGCACTTCACACACCGGCCATGTTGATTCACGGTCAGCTTTCGAACGTTCCGCCGAAGTGACAACTCGAATAATGAGCCATGCATTCTGTCAAATGTAATTTTAAAGGTGCCGGGCGCGAATGCATCACACTCGGAAAAACTTCCGATCCAACGCCGCACTCGGAAGAAGTTTTACAAGGAACGCACTTTTAAACGCTTTCGAAACGAATAATAAAACATGATGCCGATGTACGACTTAATACGCCGACCGTAAAGGAACTGAAGAAAACTTATACACAGAGAGAAATAACACGACGACGAAAGGCGAAAACTCCGAACAGCTGGTCGTCCAGATAATCAAGCGCGCGACGGCGACCACGTTGCCGGATGGCCGTCATTTTACTGGCGTTTAAATAGAAACGAGTTTGTCGTTTGACGGGTTCAATACGACCGCACACCTCTTGATGACCGACCGCGCGGCATTTATAATCATTATATGTGTAGAAAGGTGATCCAATCATGATAAATACATATAGTTGGCGATGTCTAATATGTTCTGACATAATATAGGAAAAAATGAAAATTGCATTTAGGAGATCCGCCACAGGACATTAATGAATAGGAATTTAACGATACAATCGCTTAGTTAAGAATTTAAGAACAAAGCGGTTTGAGAAACTAGGGAAACGTTTTTTTCGTGGATATCTGATTGTGTAGTCCGTTGGCTATTTAAAATCAAGTCGATGTTTCCGCATGCTTAAGTTCGAGTACGTCATCCCTCGAAATTTACAAAACTAAGAAACGGACGTATATCGATGATAAATTTATAAAATCATTTTCGATAAAAATAAAAAAAATGTTTATATTGGTTGTTGAGATATCAAAATGGAGAACTGCTTGAGAAATATTTAAAATATCTGAAACGAATTTCTTATTAATAACACAAAAATTGTATTAATGTTCAAGACGCGTCACGAGCAAATTTTAATGTGACAAAACGAATAATTACAAATTTAATGGCATCATTTGCGAATAGCACATTTCTGGATATTTTCTTTGTTTTTAAGCTGGCTTCACTCTAATAATTCACTTGAAGAAACCTAAAAGCCAAGCACACAAAATAGGCAGCTGCCCGAGTTGTTTAGAAAAGGATAGATCGCATTTCCGTTTTGTGTATAGGCGACTCACACAAATACCGTCCCCTTAATTCGTGCGCCTAACCACCAAATATTTAGTGAAATGTTACTAAAGGATGCGTTCAGATTATCAAAATAAGTGGTATACAGAACATAAAATTCATGGGATTGGGGGGTTCACACTTATAATGTTTGCATATTTTGGAGGTCGCCGTAATAAAATTTTAACCCCTTTCGGTTGCTATACTAGCATGGATTACAACCCATACTTATTTTAAAACAAACTCTTGCTTATCTATATTTTACAGCATATTTATTAAATTAATTTCCCAAACCAAAAAAGAAAGAGTTGGTAATCATTCTTTTGTATTATACCACATTCCAGAAGAAACACTGGTGGTGATAAAAATAGTAAAATCCGAATTAGTACATAACACATTATAAATGAAGATGAGAGACATATATCTTTCTTATAGATTTAATTGCACTTCTTCGACAAGTTAATGATCATCGGGGATGAGAATTTCAAAATCAGTTACACGGATGATCGCGTATCCATCGAAATTCTGCTAAATTTATCAGCAATTGTCAATTCTGCGAAACCGAATAAATGAGAAGCATCCCAAGTGGTTCTCGAAAGGCGCGCTTGCGCATCTATTCACTATCAGACGAAATAGAGGAATACAAACATGTCTATTACAATGCTAATCTACACGGGTAAAGGGCAACGAAGTGTACAGGTATCATTTTCAGGCGCCTTTCGAAAATGCAAGAAAATTTTGTTCTTTAGTGAAAATCTGGCCACATTTTCTGTATTGTTTACTTTCTTAAAATATGACATGATACATATTTTCACAAAAAATTGAAACTCGCCCGAATCGCAATACATTTCATTATAAAAAACAAACTCATTTAGAATTTTAAAAAAGGAATATTTTCAAAACTTTTGGATATCGGAACAGAACCGTGAAGCAATAATTTCCGAATATTATAAAAGCTAAATTAATATGTACCTATCAGCCACAACTGCGATCGCTCAAACTATAAAGCGCTCAAAATAGAATTCCAGCAGTCGTCGCAACACTACTACCCGTATTAATAACATACTCGGTGCCCGATCTAATCGCTGTCAATCAACACCGTTCCGCCGCACCGTCCCGAGAAAGGGGGAAACTAGGCACGGTCCGGCAACGCCGCGCGGAATTTCGAAATCGACCAACAACCGACGGCGAGACCGACGAAAAACAGGTTCATTTTGAACCCGTCGACGCGACGAAGCGCCCGAAACGAACGCGGACGAGGGAACGACGTCTGGCGTAAAATCAATAAGGCCTGCTGTTGCCTCTCCGCTGGCTGCTTACCGCGAGTAGGTCAAACCTCATACGTCTTCGGCGCCATGCGGCGTTGCCGGCTCCGCCCGCGTGCAGCGTTCAACGGCATTACCGCGTGCGCTACGAATTAGAGGGACGAACCTCCCGACGTGCCTTTTTGGTCAGCGAAAAGTTTGATTTCAAAATGCCCCCGAGATGACGCACAAAAAGTGACGTCGTCGAAAGAAACGACAATAATCGATGAAATAAAAAAGTACTTCCTCAAATATTTGTTTTCCCTCTGACCAAACCTAACCTAACATTTTTTTTCAAACGTTTGATGTTTAGCTATAATTATTGGATTGGCGACACACCGTTGTAGTGATGTTGCACAACAGATGCGCTCCCCTACCTGCCGATGGATTCGCAACCCGTAACAGTATTGTTGGACGAGGAGCGCCCTGAGGAGGCCTTCCATCGCTGCTTAATTCCACACCTTCGGAGTCGGTACATGTTTACGGCATCTCACAACAAACGACACACGCACACATACACAGACATCCGCCCGTCGCGCACACACACACACACACACCGCAGCCGAAGCTTTGAAAATCCCGAGCGAGCGAGACCAAGCAGCGCGCGGCATCCAACACGACCGACCACGAGCACCGTGACAGCGACACTACAGTGCACCGAGCCAGACCTTGCAATGCCATTCATCGAGGCCATCGCACGGCAACAACGCCGCCCTCAGCCATCAGCTGGCGCCCGCGCGATGTTGCCGGCTCGCCGGTCGATTTCGCGCCGGTCCACCGCTGGAACGGGTAATATGAAGATCTGGGAAACGCTCCGAATTGGCGATTATACATTTCAATGAGACCTCTGACGGAAAAAATATTAAGCCAAATTTTCATGTTTGCGTTGTATATTTTTTTTGTTGATATTGTTTTGATATCCTCCACGATTGGACTATGGATTCATCGGACTGTTTATTCAACAAAAAACGTACCGAAAAGCTTAACATTAAATAGGAATTATCCTAAAAACGGTAAAATTGTATTCTTTAGTAATATATTTGGCTTTTTATCTACATCCATTTAATAATGCTTCGCCTTCTACAAAACTCCGTCTTCCACATTATAAATTAAAAACAATAAAAACAGATTTTATCGATTGTTGAAAGGTGACATGTAAACATTATGGAAATACTTCCAAAGGGCCACAACTGGTCTAGTTGTTCCACACACACATCTGCAACGTTCTAAAGTAACTTATTGTTTGTTTCTTTTCCTTTTGCACAATGTGGAAAATATTTCCAACTTATTCAACAATATTTCAAACTTCGTCTTTTTGACCATTTAATACAAAATAATTATTTACTTTTTTAGCAATAAAGACGGCTTATTATTATTATCAGTATTACAATACGAGGGAACAAAACTTGATCCAAATATGTCTTGTGTGAGTGTTGATTGGTTGACAAATAGCCGAGGTGCTGAACATTAAAGTTGTTTTTTTGCTATTAATAAGGCAATTCTTAATTTTTTTTTCTCAAAAAAAAACAATGCTTAATGTTGCTCATAATTTAAAAGGGCGATTTTTTTTGTCAACAATAAAAATGTTTTGCTAATCCAATATACATAAATCGGTAAACAATATAACAACTTACCAATAAACAAAGGTTTAATAAAACTGAATTGGAATATTTTATCAATCAAAATCTAAGGAAACAGAAAATTACGAAAAGGATCCGTTATACCAAGCATACTTCGCAGTTGACTGCACATCTAGTGAAAAAAGAATAAAAAATAAGCAAAAGCTAACAAGCATTCACAAAGTTTAGCAACGTTGATTACAATTTATTCTATAAATATCTGCAAGAGAACCCGGTGTCCCATGGAGTTTCCTTAAATGTCCATATCTTAACAGCGCCATTTGTCACCAAGTGATTGGTATGTCCGTCACGTAGAATTATATTTATCAATTAAATTCGAAAGGAACAACAAGAATCCAGTTGTGAGAACAACGTAATTTTTAAATAAATTAGTTTACTTCAATGTTGGTAACTCCAAGTAAATTTTCAAATTCTAGAGAAAAAGTAACAATTCTGGGTCAATACAGATTATAAATTGTTTATAAAAAATCTATCCAATGGATGGTCTTTCCAAGTAAACAACTCTATGAAGTCAAATTTAATATATAAAATTTATTGCAGGTTTGTTTAGGTGCAGGTATAGTATGATGG